ATTGAGCTGAGGACTCTAATCGAAAAAGCTGGGTGGCATCTCACCAAAGAGACACTATTCAAAAACCCGATGCCCTCGGTATTGGAATTGGCGTCCATGGTCAGAAATTCATGGGATTTTGCCAGGGCGGGAACCGACTTTCCAGCGGAGTTGTCGACCCGCGTGTCCGGGCAGCTGAGGTTTTATCATCAACGGACTCCTTCACACATGATGGAGAAGGCAAAGGCCGTAATCGCGTTATATTACGGCCTAGCCAGCATGACCGGCGAGCAAGCAAAAGCCCGTTTCGATTACCTCCTGACAGATGACCGTTTCAATTGTGATCCCACTCATTACGAGGTATATCCACTGTTCGTCCAGGGGCACAGATTTGGTACTAACGTCTTTAGCCCGCGCAATGGCATTTCGCCGCACCTCAAATACCGCGTTTTATCGTCTACGCCTACTATAAGACCAATCGTGGTATTGCCGTCAACCATCCGGAATTTGAGAGTTGTATCAACCCGTCTTTTTTCTACCTGATTTCTACTGTACTTTACCATGCGCTGAGAGTCCACGTAATTGGAGGCAGCAAATGGAAGAATGGTGTCTTCAATAAGGACTATTGCGGCGGTGAGCACCCCGTCTTTCATCTGGTCAGGTTATCGACGGGTATCATTATTGACGGTGGTGCTAGTAATTTTCGAGAGGCACATGCGCACATGGAAGAGGTCCTTCCCCGACGATGAGACGTCAAATCTAGTACTGAAAGGGATTCGACACGAGATATTGAAACGGATTAAGAGGACAAACTGCTGCAGGATTACCGCTACGGAGAGGAGGGAGGCAATTATTGACCCTGGAGTAGGCAGCTTTTTGGAGGGTCTCCGATCCAAGCTCAGTACGGAGACTGACGACGACGATATGGGGTCCGACGAGACAGGCGACCCGCCGTTTGACGATGACGACGGGGAGGAGGGCAATGTCACTCCACCCACAGTCGGGGACTACGTAGTCGATGCAGAAAGCCAGATAGATGGGACTATTGGAACAATTACCGGGATTAATGTAAATATTGAAAACGACGTAGAGAGAGATGTCAGTATGACGCAGGGCGGAGAAGAGCGCTCGGGAGAAGTGGTCAGAAGACAGAGAGAGAGACCGTGCAGGAGCAAAGTACAAAGGGTCAGATAGCTCTCACCTAAATAGACGAACTACCTAGAGCGAGGGGCGTCAAAAGACAATGAATCAATAGACAGTATCACCTAAAGAAAATTCAAACGTAGAATCAAGGGACGGAAAGACGAAGAGTTTGGACCAAAAGACGAGATATAGTTGCCGTAAGACGAGATGTGCGAATGAAAGGACGAAGAGTGTGAACCAAAAGATGGGATAGCTGTCGGAAGGCGCAGATTAGTGAAAAAGGACGATATAAACTGTCAAGAGACAGAGAGTGCGAGTGGAAAGACGATATGTAGTGGTCGAGATAGGCAGGTTGAGGACATAAGTCGGCCAATATGACGTAGGTAATTAGACTAAAGGCGAGGTGACGAGGGCGTAGGACGACTTCCATAGACCAAGATGCGAGCATAATGGTAGAGGGGCTACCTCCTATGTCCAGAAGACGAGCTCATCTTTAGACGTCGTGACGACGTCTTTGAGGGATGGGAGAAGGTTTTCGTCTTTAGCCTTCGCGACGTCGTCGGTCGCCCAAGAGACGCAGGGCTCTCGTCGCGGGGCACCCAGGTATCGGTATGGAGGTAAGAAATCGCTTTGTGTCATCTGGAGCGTCTAAGGCGTCTGGGGCGCCCAGGCGTCACAAGACGAGACTTCATTTTTTGCTGATGTATTCGGTTCTATCAGGTTCTGTGGGTTGTAAGCGTGTGAGTCACTTTTGATTTGTTATCGCTAGGATTTCCTTGGGTATATTAAGGAGGTTTTGTGTTCGTTTCTTATTCTTCTTCTTTTCTTTCTTTTATTACGCAACGTCTTCTGTATCTACGCTGTCTATTACTATACAACATTACCTTCCTCTTCTTTACTCCAGAAGACCACCGTCTCGCTTCCTCTTGTCCCGTTGATCCTTCCTGACGCCAGAGTCCCTTAGCACCCCTATTGCGAGTTCCCACACTGACCCCTACTATACCCTTCGTACCCTACGGAGTACTCCCTACTCGCCCCCTTGAGAGCAGCAGCATCGTTCTCATACTGCTGCTTAAATTCTTCTACATCATTGGGTGAGGCCCATGCAGGCGGGTCATAGGTGGGCATATCGCACGTTGCGGATGATGATGCAAAGTACTCATGGGGGCAAGTAGCGAGTATTCTGCAGGGTATGAAAGAGGTAGTAGAGGTTGGTGGTGGAGCCTGCAATAGGGGTTCTGAGGGACTCTAATGTTGGTAAGGGTTTAACGGGACAAGGAAAGCAGCAGCATGGTGGTATTCTTCAGTAAAAAAGAGGAGATAATATTGGATATTAATAGACAGTGTAGGTACAGAAGATGTTGCGTATTAAAAGAAAGAAGGGAAAGAGAACAGAACTGAGGACGAAAACCTACTAATATACCCAAGGAAATCCCAGCAATAAAAAATCCAAAGTGACTCATACCCTTGCAACCGACAGAGCCCAATAAAGTCGTCTGTAAAGTGGTCTGTAAAATCATACCCGGCATCAACCGCTACCTCTGCCTTTTTGTTGGTAAAATCATTAGTAAAATCGTTGGTCGTGCTCAAGATGGCGCAGCTCAGGTGATGCATTAGTAGGATTCGGATGCATTATGAGATGCCTTATTGTTATACATTATTGTGATACATTATATGATGCATTACTTGATGCATTATCGATGCATTATCGAGCAAAATTTTGGGGATTAGACTCGTTGCATTTACTGACCATTTTCACTCATGCATTTTCTAGCATAGTAGAGTCGGCGCTGGGTAGATGTTGGATAGGTGAGCAGGAGGAGAGGATAGTTTAGAGTACAATATGTAGTCATGCGGAGGGGTACTCTACTTGTACCAGGTATCAAGTATCCAAAAATTCAGCTTAATTACATCAATGTATTTTTCTTTTTTAATCTAATAGTAATTGCATCTCAGCACTTACACACTCAGATACCTTTTATCTAATGCGAGTATGTACAGTGATAGGAATAATTATTGAAAAATTAGCGGGGTCAAAATTGTATATTGAGATATATGTGGACGACGCAACAGCATACAAATTTAACTCCCTCTTTTGCCATTGAGAATTTCTATCTTTGTATGTACTCGCGACAGGCATCAAGTACCTGAAAATACAAATCTTATATGTGTTTTGGATAAGGAGGTTCAGTACAGAGTCATTATTGGAAGGGATCACGTCCACTGTAGAGTAGAGTGGAAAAGTAGAGCTGACATGATAGTAGGAATCATATAGCAGAGAATAAAGAGTTTCGTGATTGTGAGTTACAATCTTTCCAATACCAGTGAACCAGTGTAGCTATCAAGTCTGCAGAAACCTCCCATAAGCAACGATGAAGTGTCAAATGTCTCCGGTTTGAATCTGGTTGGACAGATGCCAAATTTGCAGAAAATCAAAATCTTTTTATATCTACAGTATTCGATATCTGTTACAAACTAATAACTCCACAGAAGAGAACTGGTAGGTTCTTTAGTATTGATAAACCCACTCAATACCGCTTGTTTATACTGCTACCCTTAACTCATAAAATCGACCCAAACCCTACTCGGAAATTACAGAAATTTGGGGTGTCAATGTATCTAAGAAAACTCTTCACAAAGCCTTCATCCTGGAGGGATTTGGTTGGAGAATAATGCAAAAAAGACTGTTCCTGAAACCCAAAATCAAGCAAAAATGACTCACGTTCGCCCTTAATCTTCGAAACTAGACTAGATATAGTAGGAGATGTGTTATTTTGACGGATAAATAAAATATCTGGCTCGCTGGTGCGTGTGGTAATATCTGAGTTACACATAAATCTAGGGAGAAGTATTCAGAGGACTGTATCGCACCTAAATTCAAAAAGCAAAATTCAGTCATGATTTGGGAAGGGATTCTAGTTGAGAAAAAAACATCGCTCATTCTTTTAGGTAAACAGAATTGGGGTACCATCACTGCATCCACATATATCCACCATATCCTCAACTCTATCCTTTTGGCTTTTCGGTATCGGGAAAACCAAGCAGTTGCAGCAGCGGGAGCAGACCCGGTAGGAGCATGAATTGGTGCCAGAATTTGGATAATGGAGGATGATGTATCTGCTCATAGAACAAGATTGATACACGTACAGAGAGATTTGTACCAGATGCATTCTCTACAGTGGCCACTATCATTTCTAGGCTTGAACCCTATCGAGAACATCTGCAATCTGTTGAAAAACAGGTTTAATTTCAGAAGACCAAGGTCCAGGGATGTTGACCAGATTAAGGCAGCAATCGTTGATGAATGGAATAATAATATTAGGGGTGAATAGATACTATTGTTCATAGATACCATACAAGAACTGATCACTGCTATAATTGAAGCTTAAGGGGTACACACGCGTTGGTAGCTAGAAATAACTACTTTTTTATATTTAGTCACATACTTTCATTGTATCAGGCTTTCCCTCCGATAATGACTCCGGACTGAACCCCCATATCTAAAACACGAATAAGTCTTGCATTTTCGTGTACTTCTTGCCTGTCACAAGTATTATACATAGAGTACAGTGACCTGAATGATTTATGGAAAAACAGGGGTCGTGAAATTGTATGGTGAAATATCTGTGCACCATATACTTGTTTTTTCCACAGATAATAGACAGGTTTTGCAACGAAGTGCGTACTAGCAGGGGGGTGACAAATGTGGTTCGCTCGAGTTTGGCAAAAGTGAATACTTTGACGAGGTTTTGCAAAAAGTGTAGAGTAGTGAGGCCACTAAATTAAGTTTACGCTAGTGAAATATAAAAAAATTATTTTCTTTGACTTCACAATCCATCAACATCACACACATGCAGTCTTCTCAGTCCCTTCCAACTATGGGTATTTTTTATAATCAATGTGTAAGTATCTAATTCCTGTTCCAAGCACTATTGCTAACATCTATACAGCCAGTGGATAGTTTTCAGAACTCTGCCGAGACGACCACCGAGAGTTCCGCTCTTCATACACAATCATCCAGCTCCCAAGCTGTACAGAGTCTTAGAGATATTGCTACATCTCGGAACTCTGCCGAGATGCACACCGAGATGCAGGCCAATGTTCCTCCTTCACAGATACAGCAATCCGCTACACAGCTATATACTCTTCAGAACTTCACAACCTTCCTGAACTCTGCTGAGATACGAGCCGATATGCGTGCCGAGAGTATCAATCCTCACCCAGCTGCTATCTAGAATTCGTGCTTTCAGAACTTCAGTGTGGTCCGGAACTCTGCCGAGTTATGTGCCGAGCAACCCGGAAAGAATTCTGCTTTTGTAAAGCAGGTAGAAACTTTAGAGGTGCACTCAGGTGACCATGTGTGCCTGTGGTTGATGTTTTCAATGCCTTGATAGCAAAGCAGACAGTGGCAGGTACGGCTTCAGACTTGATTCTTGCTTGAGCATTGGGGTTAGATGACTTGTCCAACCCGGTGTAACGGCAGCTATACGTTTCGGTTATGCGAAGTGTCAGAGTATGTAAAGGAAGGATTGTACAGTGTGTATGGGATTTGTTAAGTGAGTTTCTATTATGTTCTTTTTGTTTCTGTTATGCGAGAAGATGAGTCATCGTTAGTTGAGGTCTGGATATATAAAGGGGCGTTGTCTCGGCTTTCTTCTGTTTTCTTTTCTTTCCTTTCCTCTTTACGCAACCTCTGTATTTATTCCACGAATACTATTCTTTGTCCTCACTACGTCATAGGGCTCCAACCGGTTTATCATACCAGGTATAGCCACCCCATAGTTCATAGTCAAAGTATACCTTTACGTCTATATCTACGTCTACGTCACTACCTAGGTTGTATTCCTTGGCACCACAGTCTATCGCCTATAGTCCCTGTGATACCCAGGAATTATCTCCAACTTGATTGCCTACCTTGATTCTCAAGCAACTCGCCATGCTAATCGCAGGAAAATGCCGGTGGAAATTACAAAAGCAGATGACAAGGCTGAGCTCGTTAAGCTTTGTCATGAAAACTTAGATGTTTATGCAACCAATGAAGCCAAGGCAAAGTTTTTTGACTTAATGAGGATCAAGCTTTGGGTCGCGACAGGTGGTAGATTGGATGTGAATGTAAAGGGTTACATGGAATGATGGGAGGACAAGAGGAGGCAGGAGATAGCGGAAGACATGGTGAAGAGTGGGGTAGCAAGGGCTTATGGGGAATGGGAGTTGGCGATTGACATATGGATTGTAGCCATTGATGATTTGAAAACAGCAAGAGGATTGCAGAGAGATAACAGAAGCTCAGAGGCCGCTGCTGCTGAGGAGGAAAAAATCAAATTGGAGGAGGTTAGAGAGGATATGGCAAAGACTCTAGCGGGTAAGAAAAGAGAAAGGGAGGAAAGGAGTGAGGGAAATGGCAGTAAAAGACATTTGACGGAAAAAATGCTCGAGAAGTTTAAGAGAAGTGATACGGAAATGATGGCATACCTGGCTAGGAACGATACGAGGAGACTTGACAGATGGGAATCAATACTATCACCGGTTTTAAGTAGCTTTTCTACGAGCAGCAATGCAAATCAGAATATTTCACAGCGTCTTGACTTATTAGAGGAGGAGAATAAATCAAGAGACGCAAGACTATCAGAGAATTCTAGGGACTTAAAGGAATTATTGGAATTGGTTAAGGCGATGCGCAATAACAATTGAATGTAAATAGATATACTAGTCATGTAAATACTCTTCTATTGACGGGGGTAAACAATCAGTAAAAGGATGTGTTTGAGCCATAATAACAGGTATAACAGTTAGTCAAGAAAACAGCTGTAAGATAATATACGGCTACAGGTGAAAGTCCCATCTTCATCCCCATTTTATGCCCGACATAACCAAAATACTGCAGTACCTTCCCAAACAATGACTCAACACATATCCTTAACCGGCACATTTCAGTATTAAATGTCTTTTGCCTGTGCATCAACGGAACACGAGGCAGAGCCTTATATGTCCCTATTATACCACGTTGCCGCCGATAAGCATCATCACTATACAGGAACACCTCTTCCCCATTCAGATTGACAGAGTGAATATTGAAAACTGCTTGCAATCCAGAGAGTCCCCATATACCCCAATCTCCATTCCGTCCTTCAAATGGCCCAGCAATAATTCGTATCATCCCATCTGATGTTGTTACACCTTGAAATTGCATCGTATGCAATTTTTTATAACCCGTATAAAACCAAACTTGATCTGCGACTGTAGGTGTTGGACGGCAAATTGTACGATGTCTACCATCAATGAAATCCCATACCTTGCTCCCTGGACAAGATTGTGCTTCAATGACAGTGCAGTATCGGGTAAGAGCAGCTGGTGTAAGCTGACTACTATTCCAAAACAATTTCCCCTCGTAACGATCGTAGATATGGATGCAAACATCATTAAAGATGATGCTGAGATAGGATTTGCTGTGCCCGAATATCTCCAGTGCCTGTTTGAGCCGAGAAGGGTAGGATAATCTATAGAGCGTGACTGCAAAGGCAGTCGTTGGTACTGAATGGTACCGTGATCTGTATTTTTCAGGTATTTCAAGCAGTTCCGCTAACTGATTGATTTGATATTTATTGAACCTCAAAAACTCTATGCACCAAATATCTGTCAGTTTTTCTATACTGAAGTTTGAGGGCGTATATGTGAATTGGAGTTGTTGAGCCCGTATGCTGTTTGATTGTCCCAAATGGCAAAGCGAAAGAAATTTTTTTCTTCGGATTTCTCGCGTAAGCATCTCTTCTCTAAAGGCTATTACGGCCTCCTCTTCCGCAAAGATTGAAACAATCAAATATCAACAGCTGAACTGTTCTCAATTCAACAGCTGTGTCCATTTTAAGGTGGAGGCGAAACCGCAAAACAAAACGAGAGCGCTGAACAGTTCTAAGATTTCTCCCGCAGAATCAACAGGCAAGAACTACAGTCTACAGAAACCCATCCATGAGGTCCAGCTGGCCAATGACAGCCTTTGTTTACCTTGTCCACTTCATACTTAATGCTACACTTAATCTGCATTAAATTAATGCAGATTTAGCTTGCATTTCCCTTGAGCTTTCCTAAATTCGTAAATATTGTTCATTATCCCTACAATTACTATCGTAATGGCACTAAATGGTAATGTGCGCTCCGTTGCAAAACCTGTCTAATTCCTATCGCTGTAACTGCAGCCATACGATATCCTATTTAGTGTTCGACAAATAGATATTTAACATCTTTTTAACATGTATATTAATAAAAAATAAGAATGTAAAGCTAATAGTTGTCAATATTTTCCGATGTAGTCATAATCTTGTAATTCTAACTTATTATTAACCAACTTGAACCAAACAATTTGATTCATAACTGTAGAGTTTTGTCAATAGTTAATTGCTGTCAAAATACCCACTATCGAACACTAAATTACGAGCCTTAATGATTTAATCGAATACTCTTTTGGGCTATCTGGAGTCATATTAGGCTCTTTGAGATTCATTTTTTCTTGTAGCAACCAATTTGACCCCCGCTAGTACGTTTTTATGTTCAGATTCTTTTTGTTGATGGTTGACAGAGCAAAAAAGAGACAATTAAGCCAACCTATTACTTGCAACTCGCCTATACCCAGTATACACCAATACGGGCCCCCCAACTACAGTAGCCATATTTCATGGATCGATTAGTTAATACACTGGGTTACGAGGAGTTGGATTAGTCATAAAGATTCTATTGAGTTCTATCGGTTTCTGTTGGGCGTAAGTGTATGAGTCACTTTGGATTTGTCATCGCTGTGATTTCCTTGGGTATATTAGAAGGTTTCGCCCTCGTTTCTGTTCTCTTTCCCTTCTTTCTTTTAATACGCATCGTCTTCTGTACCTACGCTGTCTATTACTATATAATATTATTTCCTCTTCTTTACTCAAGAAGACCACGGTGCCACTGCTTCCCTTATCCCGTTGACCTTACGAATGCTAGAGTTACTCACGACCCCTATTGCAAGGTCCCATACCGACCTCCACTACTCCCTTCGTACCTTGCAGAATACTCGCTACTTGTCTCCTTGAGACTGTACTTACCTTAACTTAATATTATATTCATTTTTATTGGTTGGGTTGGATATATATCTATCCTACGCGATTTCCAGCACGTGGAGGGAGTGTTTCCCAAGCATCACCCACCATACATTTCGGGTTGGCATTTACTACTCTCTGTATTTACGATAACGATATAGTTAACTGACGATGAGTGTATTGTATGTAGATAATGATTAGATGGCTAAAGGAAGCATATTAAAAAGATAATCTAATCTAAGTAATACCCTCCAGTAATTCATGCCTCCAGCTTGTGCTACATCTCATCACCACTATATTGATCACAGCTGTTGACATGATGTGAATCGCACACATACATTGAAGATTGCTATAGCCGGAAGCGGCATACATGAATCAAACCCTAAAAAAAAAAAAAAAAAAAATGATAAACAGAACAAATAGCAATAATTTCAGACGCTCCTCTCAAACCCAATCCTTCACTTTCCTGTTGTTCTTCATCCTCCACCTTGAATTCTTTTTTTTTTCTTTCCTCTTCCGTTTTTTTCATGGTTCTTGCAAAGGCCAGAAGTATTCATAATTGGAGTGGAGGTGTGGAGACGAAAGGAAGAAACTTGAGTTCTCAGGAACATGAAGCTCCGCAACTCGAGGGAAAGTCCAGAGTAACACTACCTGTCAGTACTAACAGTGTCTTCAGCTGACTAATATATAATTAACCAAAATATCGCAACTACATAACTGTATATACTATTTGCGTCTGTATGCCCATTGCTGTTACAATAAACCCTCAACTGATCGAATGCCGTTCATAATATGGAGCCTGAAATGTTGATTTGGCTAGAATTATTCAGGTCGCTAGATATATCCTTGATTCTAAGAGTTTCTCTTTTGTAGTGCGCAACTTCGGTGCTTGTAAATGGCTGGAGTTGTGGGTTCCCAATAATAGATATATCTTGCAAGGGGTCGTGCTGGTTGGGCTATCCGAGGTCACGTGGTATGTATAGTTCAGGGTGTCACCAGCTGAGATCAGTACAACACCTGTAACACTTTGGCTCTCAGTGGTGGATGCAATGGCGCAAGTGGCCAATGCGAGGGTAAAGAGGATACATAGATAGTCCTTTATTCTTAGTATTGTTTCGTGAAGAGCAGGGAAACATCGTGGAGGTACATGTACTTATATAATTGTATGGCCAGCCTCGTCTTAATTAAGGGCCTCTCTGTCTACCCTAGCTATCTTCTCTACCAGGATTTGCTCCGGCCTGGATCTAACCCATCAAAGGCCTGAATAGAGAGGTTTTGTAAGAAAATTTTAACAAATGCGTTGCAACCCTGGACCACAGTACAAGGAAACCAATTCCGATCGAGAGAGATAATGAAGCAAGCCATATAGAGTGGGTAGGACCCAAGCCAGAGGCTACTTTCAAGGCAGTGTCTCACATCTGCTCTCAAGGAGGGAACTGCCCATTTTTTAGCAATTGGCCAAAAAGCCGACTCCATCTTGGAGTGTCAATTATGACAGGCTAGCTGCACCACCAACCCTACCCCATTGAAAACCTCTTTGAGCGAATATATTGAGAGGACCTGATATCCATAATTGCGATTCATGGTTATGATCTGGTCTACTCCTAGTGGTCGGTACGCGCAAGCAACAGAAGTATACCAAATATCTACCTGGGAATTTGCCCAAGCTTCAGGAGTGGCCAAGGATATGGAAGCATAGTTGGGTGTTCGGAGTTGCCGAGGTAGTCCAAATGGGACAAACATTCAGTGGAAGTGCGTCCAGCCCTGTAAGAGCACCGAAGCTGTTGGGTTTTAATATAGTATACCAATTATTACTCCTTTCTTTTCGCAGCAGCAATGCCGTGGTGCTAGAACAACGCCGCAGCAATAAGGGCATTGGGTAGAACTCTGCGGCTTGCGTTGAGGTTAACTCACTCGGATACAGGTAGGTGCATAGTTTATATATATATCAATACCCTTTCTGCTACAATTGGCATGTGTCGAATGGTGTTCTTACTCGTTCAGTGGTCTTGGCGCGAGTGATCTAGTATGATTGGTTGTACCGAGATTGTTGTTTGATACTGCGTGCTGGAGTAGCTTAGTGGGACATGATAATATGGCATTAGAGGGGTTCAGTGTCTGTTGGAGATTGATCCCACGATCGGATGTGTTGGCGGGAGTGAGCTCATGTGTTTGGCTTTATAAATTTAGTGAAACTATGGAATGGGAAGATTGTTTTCGTGGGTTATTCTGGTGTCGGATGGAGTGCACAATTCTCTTGGGGTCTGGTGGAACATAGTGGGCATAGATTTGATAGATTTACATGCTTGCGTGGTTGGGGATCTTGGCGAGTGACATCTTATGATTTAGTGCACGGGTATGCCCTTTTTTTTTTTGTTGTTTAATTCATTAATTGTATCGTACGGAGATGCCTGGCAGCGACAATGTCGCTTTTTATTCACTATTTGGAGGTGTGGTGATGACAGCTTGGAGGGATTGCGGTGCTGTGCTGAGGATTGCGGCATTGCGGCGTTGGGGGGGTGGTCGCTGGCTACGTCTTCGATTTTTGCAGGAGCGAGTTAACTATGTTGTGTTGGGAAACCGCGTTGACGTTGCTTGAGCTTGCGCAACGCCGTGGTGGTGCTGGCGCAATGCCTTGGTGCAGTACAGCAACGCCGTAGATTCGGTGGTGGTGCTGCATGCAACAGTGCTGTGCTGCAGGCAACGGTGCTGTGCTGTGCTGAAGCAATGCCGGCCACGTGGCGCTGGACTACGCCTTTCCTTTTTACAGAAGCAACGGCGGTGACCCTTTCTTTTGCTGGAGCAATGCCGACAGCATGGTACTGCTAGCTATGCCTTCCTTTTGGGAGAAGCAACGCCGTGGTGCTGAGCAACGGCGGTGACCCTTGCGTTTTGCCGTATCTAGGATATAAGCGGAATGATCGTGGGTGTGGGTGGGAGTCACTTATATGCTTGCGCTAAGTTCACGGGCAGGGTCTCGGCACGAGTGATATTTTATGATTAACTGTATGGATTTCACAGTCAGGTGCGAACAGCATACCGATGATGCGAACCGCAATTGAAGGTTACATGCAATTAATGAATTAAACAGAAAAAGAAAGAAAAGAAAAAAGCCAAAACCCACCCCCAAACGCCTTATTTTATTCAGACCCACACGTACTCATTGCTCTTCCCCAGGTACACTATTAAAGCATAGAGAGCCTTTCTTCTGTTCCCGTTCTGCAAATCTTTCTACGAAAAAGGACGGTGTTCGAAAAGGTCCACGTCATGGATGAATTGCTTGATTCTCAGATCATGCCGTGCATCACAAGTTATCACTTGATATATTCACCGGTATCATGGTGAGGATTGAAGCAGAGGGTTGAGCAAAAGGGGGGGGGGAGGGGATGATCCACGTTTAGATGTGGAGAGTACACGATTAACATGCAGAGGAGGATGCCTTGAACGGTGTGGTGCATGGCACTTTATCGGTATGTGCATAAAGAATAGCACACTTCCTCTGCAGTTAATCGGTCTTTTCTGGTCATCCCATAGATTCTGCGCAAAACTGGCGCCTGGCAAGAATTTGGAATACCATCCAGCCGATTTGTAAGTCCAATTCCTATTGACATTAAGACTTATTTACAGCAATTCTTACTAATATAATAATTGACCCTCATATTGATCGGTTACAATTATATAGCGGTTGGAGCAAAACAACTAGAGGCGGCCAATTACCTGAAACATTATGTTGCTACCGCAGAGAATCGGGCCGTCGGAAAGGTTTCGATGGAGCATTTTTCCTGGTTCTAAGAGGGGCGTTACTCCATTTGTCTATCTAAATATTGTTGAACAAACCAAGAAGAGTTCACCATAAAACAACTGGCAGATACAGACGGAATGGATTTAATGGTTAATTCAGAACAAACAACCGAACGTGAACTGAAGTCGAGGCAGTATCATCATCTCCTTTGAGCCTTCCAGCACCAGTTCTGGTAGGGTATACCTTGAATCGGGTAAACAATGAACTTTTGATAATTTTTTAAACTCAAATTAATTATAATTTCTTTAACGCGGTTTTGAAGAAAATAAATCCTCCCTTCCATTGGGCTCGGTTTCGCGTCCGCGAACAGGGGCTTACAAAAAAAGCCGAACGAAAAAACAACTAAACTAAATATATAATATTTTTCATTATTCAATTGTTTGCATCCCGTTCCTTCATTTTTTCCTCCACCAAATCCTTTACTAGCAATGCATACTCTGAATGCTCTCCATGCCAGCCCTCTTCAAAATCCTTCCATATTTAAGTTTTGCTGTTCCCACTGCAGAGGAACGATTCACATTTTTTGCCGTCCATCTTGCTGAATTTGCCCGCCCGCGTTCTTTCTTTTCTCCAATACAAATTATTAATAGTAGATTCTTATTGGTAGTTAATCAAACGGAGTGGGGTAACACACCTGTTTTTTATTTTTTCCTTCTCTTTTTTCCTTCAAACCCACATGTGTTGCTTTATGACTACCTGTAGCAAAATACCCCTTTGTAATTGGAGAGAGTGTTGCCAAACAGCTCTTTTGGTATCTTCTCGGTGCTGAAATTCTTACCACAGGCTGGACACCTGGTAAGTTCCTCTGTAGGTGCGGGCACAGGTGGTGGTGCAGACCCGGTGCTCTGGAATATTTGACAGGCTTTTTCCCTACACTCCGTCAGTGGTAGTACTAGTATAGCCATAGGGAGCATCGGTATGAGAAGACATTCTGTAGTTAGTATATATTGGTAGTTGAAAGGTGGCGTGAAGGACGCAAACACCACAATGATTTGCAACTCACTTTTATTAAGGGGGTGAACACCACAATGGTTTGCACTATTCACGTTTGCGACCGCGACGTATGAGCGAGCGCCTTGATATGACAATTCTCATAGTACAGGTTTTTGTAGCATAGTCGACAATAAACCTCCTATTATGATAACATAACAACAAAACTGATAATAGAATTTGTTAACATGACCGTATAAGTATAATGATATTCTAGTATCCGCTCAATATCAAGACTAATCGTACTATGAACTGGGACACAAAAATGATGTAATGTAATGATGATGTTGCCAAAAGATCTAAAACCATTTCACTTATAATTACCCTTTCACAAAAACACCTATGTGTAATTCCGAGCTATGCCATGCTTATCTAAAATACACTGCTTACCTAACCAACCAGTGATTGCTTTTGGCGGACTCCATAACGTTAACCCCCGGCATATGTATATACCGGTAAAGTACGACTAAGAACCCGCGCCAAAATGGCGCTCAGGACTCACGTCCCCAACTCCAAACCTCGTCCGCTTGGTTAGCTCACTCAGTTCATGGAACTAAATACACCAGGCTGCCGCTCCCCCACTTCGTGGGGCCCACCGCTCTAAATAAATGAATACTCTTACTTCCATCACGCTTTTCCTGCACTCTGCGCGGCTGCGCCTGCGGCTGCTTTCCCGGCAGCCACCCCCTTCAAATCCCCACTCTCTATCCGAGTTATGGCTTTGCCAACTGCTCTATCAACAGCTGTGTCAATGGCTGCGAGCATTTCGGCCCTCGCTTGCGAATCGTAGTAAAAAACCTTAAGTATCATCTGGAAATGATATGTCAGCGAAAGAAGCCAGTAACTTGAAGGACTGGTGCAACAACGTACTCCTCCTAAGCCAAGACCGGTTGTCCCTACACTGAACCCTACTATCCATCTAATGCAGGTATTCAACTCATCAAATCTTTTGTCAACCCTCCTAAATCCGTCCTCAACTGTTGATCTCAAGTTCTTGACTTCTATAACACGAGTTGCATGTTCCTGGCAGCCATTCAGTATTTTCGCAAGTGAATCCTGGTGCGGTTCACGGATTCTTACCTTCTCAAGCATAATTATCCTGCCAGGTAAAGTATTCGGCCCAGGGAAATCCGTGCTGTCATTCTCGTCATTACCGGCACTTTTTGTATGGGCCAGCCCATTAGTTTAGCTACCATAACAGTTGGCACTTGACACTTGACACTTGGAGCTTGCCTTAGTTACCCTGAAATAACGGACTCGTGGAAGTCCTCCAATCGAGATGAACTGTTGATAAGCGTTGACTCGGAGACTGGTCAATGTAAGAAATCTGGACATGTACATCTTGTGCTAAAACAGAATGAATCAAGTCAGCCACCTCCGATAACATGAGCCTCCGATAACATCATCTGCTAGACCAACAATTGGACACTCACCCGATGGTATGATGATGTTGCGTAACTGAAGGCGTGCAACCAGCTGAAGGCGTTGTGGTTGTAACGGAGATGGAGAAGGACCGCTAGGAAACCCCAAACCAAACCTTTCTATTTAATCGAAGTCTGGGTGACATGATGTAATATGTCTTTGGGCCGACAGGCCTTGGCATCCTGGACGGTGGCGAGCTAGTGTCCAGGTGGTAAATATAGCGAACATGTGAATTTCACTTTTGCGGGGGCTCGCACTGCACTATTGATTGATTGATTGATTTGTTGTTTGCCGGTATGCCTTAGAGAAAATATGTAGAGAAGTGTAGTAATTGAGCGTAATATTCCAACTAACTAGAGAGGGGGGAATGCCCTATATTTATACTAAAGAAAGGTAACCCAAAGACATTGTAAATCATAAACATATAAGTAATAGAAAGACATGACTAATAAACCCAGAAAAAGAATGAGTCAAAACCCGTGACTCATAATGACAAATGAGAATCCTCCAATACTATGAAATGTGCTGAGTGTACTATTTCAAGACTTCCCCTCGTGAACCACAGTGAATAGTAGAAGAAAATAAAACATGCTTGCCCTTATCCAATCCCTTTGTAAGTAAATCCGCAACGTTTTCGTTTGTAGAGATATATTCCAACTCAAACAATTTATCCTCGTATCGTTCCCGAACAAAATGAAAAAGCACATCAATATGTTTAGACCTTTTATGAAAGACAGGATTTTTAACCAAGGACAAAGAACCATTATTATCACCGCGAAGAATAAAAGAAAGTTTCGGTTTCCGTTCCAACTCATGTATCGCATTCCTTAACCAAATCAGTTGTCGACTGGTATCCGAAAGGGCCATGTATTCTGCCTCAGTGGTAGAGGTTGCGACGGAGCGTTGCTTATAGGAGCACCAGGAGATAAGAGCTTCCCCTAGCATAAAGCAGTGGCTGGTGAATGAGCGGCGATCGTCGATGTCAGAGGCATAGCTTGCGTCACTGAAGCCGATGAGTGCAGTGGGTGGCGTTTTGGCGTAGAAGACTGACCAATCGAGGGTACCCTTGAGGTAACGAAGGACGCGATGGACTGCAGTCAGGTGAGCTTTAGTGGCACAGGAGGAAAATTGCGAGAGCATGGTGACGGTGTAGGCGAGGTCCGGTCTGGTACCGATTACTGCATACATTAATGAACCGATTATCGACTGATAGATTGTTGGATCGTCAATTTTCTCCGCTTCTGTTCCCTTTTGTAGGTGAACATTGCTGTCGATGGGTGTTGCCACAGGTCTAGATTCATCGAAACCGTATTTGATAAGTACACGCTTAAGATAGGCTTCCTGTGATAGGATCACGCCAGTCTTAGTGTGGATCAAGTGGATTCCAAGTACCCAATTGGCTGTGCCAGTTTCCGTCATTTCGAATTCTGCATGGAGTTGGAGGCTGACACGGTTTTTACGTTCAATGGACCAGTAGAAGATGAGGATATCGTCCACGTAGATGGCGATAACAACTTCCCCTGTTTTGTGGATGAAAACACAAGGGTCGAAGTCCGCTTTTCTGAATCTCATTTTGATTAGCGTTTTGGAGAGACGAGCATACCATTCCCGAGATGACTGTTTGAGGCCGTAGATGCATTTGATAAGTCAGCATGCTTTGCCGGGAGTAGGGTAGCCAGGTGGAAATTTCATATAGATTTCTTCCTAGAGTTCGCCGTATAGGAAATCTCTAGTGACATCCATCTGATCGCATTGGCCGCCAGTTTGAAGGCAGCGAGCGAGAAGCAGTCTGATGGATTCGTATCGGGTGATGGGGGCGTAAGTCTGATCAAAGTCTTGACCAGGTACCTGTGAGAATCCTTTTGCGACAAGTCGGGCTTTGTACCGAATGGGGTTGCCATCGGGACCGAGTTTGATTTTGTATACCCATTTGCAGTCGACCAATTTTCGGTGATCTGGTGTATCAACCAGCTTCCATGTATTATTCCTAGCGAGTGAGTCGAGTTCAGCTTCTATAGCCTTTTGCCATTTTTCGGAGTCGGGACTGTTGATCGCTTGGTGATAGTTTGTTGGTTCTGCTATGTTGGTATCATGCTGAATGTTGTATCCGTATCTGACCGGAGGTTTCCGTTCACGTGGTGGGTTACATCTCGGCTGATCAATGTCTGTATCAACATCATTGTGCGGGGTATGTTCAGGAGTATTTTCTTCTTCTTCTTCTTCTTCTTCAGATTCGTCGTTGGGAATTTGTTCCATAGTTTCTCGAAGCATTTGTTGGTTAAACAAGTCTTCGATATCGGAATCTGAGAGTTTTGCAGGTGGTGTTGGTGGTCATTAAGGTGGTTCTTGTTTGATCTCGATTTGTTTTGATTTAGGGGGTATGTCGGTTTTCATTATTTCAATTTCTTCCTCTACGGACGGACCTTTAAACCTAAAATGACGAGAGAGAACTAGTTTCCTTTGTGATGGTATATAAACGTGGCAAATTTTATCAGAGTCTCCATAGCCGCAAAATTGTCCCGTGATTGCCCTAGCATCCAACTTTGTTCCAGCTGGTCGTGCTTCGACAGGTATGTGAATGAACATTGTTTCACCGAAGGATCGGAGGTGTCCAATGAAGGGTTTCTTGCCGGTAAGTGCTTCATATGGTGTCATGTTTGGGAGTGCTTTATGTGGGAGACGATTCTTGACGTGTACCATTGTATTGATTGCTTCTGCCCATAGATTCCATGGAAGGTCGTGGTCGAGCAGGGCAGATCGTGCTATTGTTGCTATTGTTCTGTTAAAGCGTTCTGCTGTTCCGTTTGACTCATGAGAGTAGAGTACAGTGAATTCATGCTTTATGCCTTTAGAGGCAAAGAACTGTTGAAGATCATTGGAGATGTACTCGCCACCATTGTCGCTTCCAAACCGTTTAACCGTTTTGTCCAATTCATTTTCCATGTATGCGATTTACCGTTGTGTGGCAGCTGCTGTATCTGACTTCTTTTTAAGGAAGTAGAGGTGAGCGTACCTGGAATAATCGTCGATGAAAGTAATCTAGTAACTACAACCGCCAAGAGAAGGAGTGGAAAACATGCCGCTCAGATCTGAGTGGATTAGTTCTAGTGATTGTTTGGATCGTGGTTCGGTAAGAGGAGCGAGGTGGGATTTGGTAGATTTAGCGAGTTCAAATGTGTTGCATGTTTCCATGTGACCTGTTGTGGGGAGAGACTTTGGGTCGGCGATCATGTTGCGTAACCGTGAGAGCGAGGAAGCGGGGAGATGTCCGAATCGTTGGTGCCAGTCATAGAAACTGGTAGCGATGGAGATATGTGCGCAAAGTTCCTTGGTTTCAAAAATGTAAAGACCATTACTATTTGCGTTAGCGATCCCAACGATTTCCTTGCTGTTTGGTTTGTAAATGGTAAAGCCGTTTTCAGTCCCTGTCGTTGTAAATCCCTTTTTAGCAATACATGACCAAGACATTAGGTTGGTGTTGCCGAGTTCTGGGATTAAAAATACGTTCTGCAGAGTAATGGGGCCATGTGATCCGTTGATGGTGACGTTTCCAATTCCGGTTATCTGTAGCCTTCGCCCGCCGCCAACAGTGACTGTTCCATTGTAAGGTGAGGGGTTGATAACCTGAGTTCCGATCATGTGGTTAGTTGCACCAGGGTGAAAGATCCATGCCTTGTTGTCAGATGCGGAAGGTCCTGCAACGAAGCCAAAGTAGTCTTCCATTGTTACATCCGAGGTATCTGAGAATGTGGTGAAGTCGAAGGAAACCGGCATAGTAAATACATCAGCTTCTTCGAGTGTGGGGAGGCCAGAGAGGTCAGGAATCCAAGAAAGTTCTAGTTTTGTATGAAATGCAGTACTGAACGTGACGTTGAGGTTGCCAGATGCAGCGGACTTCTCTTTGTCTCTGAAAGCTTTGAGTTTCAGGCAGTCTTTGTGCGTGTGGCCTTTTGCAAATTCGCCGTTCTTGGTACACCATGTGCATGTAAGATCCTTTTTGTCCTTTTTGTTATTCCGTGCTTTACCGACTTTATTGTTGTTTCCATGTCCTGGGTTTCCTCACCTGATGTTGTAGGCTTCTCCAGTTGCTTGTCCATCGTTGTTGCGCCGTGAGTCCAGATCCAACAGCTTTTCATAGACATCATCAAAAGTGACGTTGGGCTTGGTTTGCAGGTTGTCGACGACTGATTCGAGGGATTCGTACCAGAGTGAGGGTAGTAGGAAGGATGCCTTCACTTCTGAGACTGATGCGAGTTGGTGGAGATGGTAACCGAGTGGGTCTTTGGTTTTGTCCGTAGAGTTACTAGTTCTAGTGAGGAGTGATGACCAAAGAGTATTGAACTGGGTTAGATGTTCCTTGATGCCTTTGTCAGGCGTATACTGTAGGGTTACAACGTTGGCAAGAAGCGAGTGGAGGGAAGATACAGTTTTCCGGTCAAATCTGTCCTCGAGTTGAGTCCAGAGGTGGTGAGCGGTATCAGCCGGAGTGAGCATGAGAATGACTTCAAATTCGATATTGGATTGAAGGAAGACGACAGCGAGGTTATCTTTCTTGTCCCATTCACTGATTTCTTCGGCATTGTCTGTAGTTTCTTCTTCGTCTTCTTCTGCTGGTGTTGCTGCTGCTGCACCTTCTGCTGGTTGTTCTGCAGGTGGTGCCTCTGTAACTGTAGTGGTGAACGCAGGAAGCTTACTCGTACCATCGACTAGATTCCACAAATCGTAAACTTTTAATATTCGACAAGCGAGGTCCCTCCAAACAGTGTAATGGCCTTGGCCAGACGGCTTGCATGGGAAAGCGGGAATTTTTACGCTGTTGTTCGACATGTTTGAAGTGAAACGATAGAGTGTACTTTGATAGTAAAAATGATTTGGAGTGTTTTTAAGCGTAGATGGTCTCCGGGCTCATAACCTAGAGAGAATATATGTAGAGAAGTGTAGTAATTGAGCGTAATATTCCAACTAACTAGAGAGGGGGGAATGCCCCATATTTATACTAAAGAAAGGTAACACAAAGACATGGTAAATCATAAACATATAAGTAATAGAAAGACATGACTAATAAACCCAGAAAAAGAATGAGTCAAAACCCGTGACTCATAATGACAAATGAGAATCCTCCAATACTATGAAATGTGCTGAGCGTACTATTTCAAGATGCCTGCCCTGCCTTGGGCCCACCGCGAGCACCGTCAACATCAACGTCCTGTTGACGCCCGTTGATGGCCGCAGGCCGCCAGAGGAAGCCGCTGGGAATGAAAACGACAGTACATCACCACAAAGTAGCCCACGTGTCTAATAAACTGTGATATCGCCGTCTGTTCTTTCCGAGCGTAAAATCTGTACAGCTAATCATAATATATCACTCGCGCCAAGACCCCGAGCCGGCGATCGTGCCCCTCCGGCTCGTGCACCAGGTCCACGGCATTGCTCCAGCACAACATCCATACGATCCTTCCGCACCGTGGCGTTGCTCCAGCATCATCGCCCAGCACCACGGAGTTGCTCACAAAGGTCAACGCCGCAGACCGCCCCTATGCCCCCGCGGAGCAGACCGCCAGCAACGCCGCGCCACCATGCAGTGTATACGTATCTGCATCCCCGTGTACGGCGATGGGCGGTTGCCCGGCAGGTACACTTGTATATACTGGGAACCTCAAGGAGAGAATCGCTGAATTTGAGAATGGAATTTCTAGGTGAAATGGATTTATTTCTGACATTACCTGTGATCCAAAGAATGCGTGTCTAGTTTATGTAATCAGTCTTGGCACTGATTACACCTAAAAGCACTTTTTATTGTGTAGACTTGTACATCATCTACTAGCAGTGGCCACTTCGCGACCGCGAAGGAAGGTTCTGGAAACCTGGGCGGGTTACTGCTGCAACTTCAAGTTGGGGTTGGGCGGGTTACTGCTGCTCCAATTATGTATAAATAGAGCCAGTAAATTCCCCTTATCCAGTTCATCCATCATCAACGAATAATGTCTACTACTGCTACCCCCATCATGTCTGCTAAGACCACCAAAACCGGCAAGCTTCCTGCCAAGCCTCGCGCCAAGCGCACCCGGGCTGCCAAGCCTGCCGAAATCGCCGAGAGTTCTAAAACCGCTGAACTTTCCGCCAAGTCTTCCGAGACCGCCAAGCCTGCCGATTCAGACACCCCTGTCGCTTCCGCCAAGCCTCCCGCCAAGCGCACCCGGGCTGCCAAGGTTTCCAAGACCGCCGAGAGATCTAAAACCGCCGAGCTTTCCGCCGAGCCGGCTGCCAAGCCTTCTGATTCCGGCACCCCTGCTGCCAAGCCAACCGATTCCGTCGAGCCGGCTGCCAAGCTTTCCGATACCGCCGAGCCGGCTGCCAAGCTTTCCGATTCCGGCACCCCTGCTGCCAAGCCTTCCGATTCCGCCGAGCCGGCTGCCAAACCTTCCGATTCCAGCACCCCTGCTGCCAAGCCTTCCGGTTCCGCCAAGACTCGCCCAATTCAGTATCATGAAACAGCTGCTGAAGCATTAGTAATGGGTGGTGTAACCAATACTGCTACTGCTAAGAAATTGGCTAGTATGGATTGGATTAGGACTGTTTTGGTTAAGGAAGACAGGGGTCTCAATATGGCTAGGCCAGTTAATGTTGAGGCTATTTTGGGAGATAGCAGGGGTGAACTTGCAGAGGCAGTTTGTGAGTGTTGTACTGACGGTAAGGGCCCTTTTGTTGAATGTGTAACTGTGGAAGGCATGTTTGCAGGTAGTTGCACCAATTGCCACTACAATAGCCAAGGCAAATATTGCAATTTCCGTCCTGGTAAGTAATCTACAATTCTTACAATGTCTTACAAATGGTTTACGGTGACTTACAAATATATACAACAGAAATCAAACCTCGCGAACGTTCTGCACCCATTGCAAGCTCTTCTACCGGTACTGCGGAGGCTGCAGACAGGCATAGAAGAGTTGCAAAGAGAAAGCGGTCCACTCCAAAGGAAAAATGGCGGAGGCTTTTGATGGCAGTAGAGGGAGTGGCTGATGCAATTGAGGATATCATGGAAGACATGGAAGACTAAACGTAATCAGACTCTAAAGTAGTTAGAAATATTTCCAATAGCTTTAACAAAATAAAGTCTGTGTTTGCAACTCTCGCAACCATTTTGCAGCTGTTTACAATTGATATTTCTTTATTGCAAGTTCATGTAATGAGCTGTATGTAATTGCAAGCTTTGATTTGTTCCTGCAACAGTGCAAAGTATACCGTAACCCACTGTAATTAAAGTATATGAAACAGTAAAGGGCCTTCTGTAATGTACAACTGTCATTCCCTCAACAGTACCTCCGGATACACTATATTCTCGGTTTCCCTCCCTCTCCCCTCCGTTTGCAAGATTCGTAACTTATTTACATCTGTTGCCCTTGACAATGCGACATACAATTGTCCATGCGTAAAAGATGAAGTCCGCAAATCAATCCCTACAATGTCAAGTGATTGCCCCTGTGCCTTATTTACTGTCATTGCAAAACACAATCTTACAGGAAATTGTTTTCGAGTTAAGATAAAGGGCAACTCCCCTTCAGTTGTAGAAAGTTTGATGCGAGGAATAATCTTTACTTGCCCATCATTATCGCCTCCCAATATTCGCACCTCAATGCAACGTCTTTCCATACGAATTACTGTCATTCTTGTTCCATTGCAAAGCCCTTGCTTTGGATATAGATTGCGCAAAAGTATTACCGGAGCGCCGATCTTCAATCGCAAATGGGAAGGTGGTAATGCAGCTGGATTCAGGTTTTGCAAATACTCTGCAGGGAGTTCGTTTGATGCTTCTTCTGAGTTGTTGAAGTCTGCACTATCAATGGAATAATATGTCTTAGCTTCACCGTTAAGTGTATTGAGAACAATATCATTGAACTCCGCAACTAAATCATTTCGGATTGCAAGTATTGCACGCCCCTTAAATGCCGTGTAATTGGTGTGAGCTGATGCAACTATTTCTGCAGGGAATACATGCTCGCAGAGATCTTCAACTGTTGTGCAAATAGATATGAATTCCGGCAAACATATTCGACCGTTCCATTGTGGATTGTAAGATAATTGTAAGAGCCAATTGGCAAATTCCTTATTTGCTTCTCCTTCCCTAACTCGCATATTTGTTTTCAATAAAAGTTGCTGAAAACGCTGCCATAGAAATGATCTTTGCAAACATGCCGCAACTGTTGCACCGCGATTACCCCGTCTTACAATTGGCAGAATCTGGGCAAAGTCTCCGCCCAACACGATTGGTATATTGCCAAATAATGCATCTTCCCCAGAACCACAAATATCATTGAGAGACCTATTTACAGCCTCAAAACAATATTTATGTTGCATTGGTACCTCGTCCCAGATGATAAGACTTGCTTGCTGTATGAGACCGGCCAGGGAGGTATTGCGAGAAATAGTGCAAGTTGATGATTCATTAATAACAATGGGTATCTTGAACCTTGAATGCGATGTTCTGCCACCAGGTAGTAGCTGTGCTGCAATGCCGGAAGATGCAACACAAAGAACAATCTTGCCTTCAGACCGGAAATGGTTGCAGATAGTATTATAAAGAAATGTTTTTCCCGTTCCAGCCGGGCCTTGCAAGAAGAACTGTGTTGTTGCGGGATTATCAACACTTCTTACAATCGTATTGTAGCATTGCAATTGTTCGTCGTTAAGCTTTGCAATCCTCTCATTACGCAGCTCCAGTTCTGTTTGTTGATTATACCGCAATTCTGCCGCAATCATTTCATTTCCAGCAGTACGATGCCAATTGTGGATATATGGAGGCAAATCGAAGTCTGCAAGAGTTTTGCTTGAATCTGCAAGTATCTGCGATATCAAATAAAGACCATAATCAAGATGAGGGTCTTGCAAGTCAGCTGGAGCAGCAAGGGCCTCGTTTGTTTGAAGAGTGTGAGGTATATCATCGCAAATATTGTTCCCAAATTCGGCCCAAAGAGCTTTTGGATCAGTTAAATCCCCAAAAAGAAGGGCTGTTGCAAATAATGTACGCAGTGCAGCTCCAGATGCAAATAGAACAGCCTCTGTAAAACACTGCACCCATTCGCGATCATCCTCCAGTAGTCCCAGAGCAAGACATGCCGCTTTGAATGTAGGTTGCAACGCTCCCACAACAGTTCGCAAATCATCAAATGATTTTGCACCATGGACAACTGTGAGCAAGAGTCTTAAATAGTACTTCTCACCCATCATAGGGTTGCAATGATACATGCGTCCAATTGAAACACCTGCTTTTCTCCGTTACCATTTGCGAGTAGGTTTATTGTAAGTAAAATGAGTCGGAAATTCTTGATATAGGTATGGGTGACCATCGACATTCTCTGCATTGTATTGGAAGAATGCCATAAGTGTTGACTTTGCACTTTCCATTCTTTGCAAGATATCTTCTCGATTTGCATCTATTCCGTAATAAACTGCCTGTTCACCGGGCAAGTGTACAGCCAGGTGCATGACAGCCGGAGATTCCTCATGCATTGCAAATTCAAAAATCCTCCATACAGCCTCTGTTGGCCCAATGTAACGACCTTGCAAATATCGCTTTACTTCATCAGGTTCATTGCCAACCTGCAAAGTAGTGCGATCAGGTCCTTTGTAGATGTATTTGTGTATATATTTGATTGCATGAATGGATGCACAAACTTCAACATTGATATGCGCTTTGTATCGCCAGGAGAGATATGGATTGTAAGGTACAACCCAGCGATTATCAAATGAAAAAGTTTCATTTCCACCGGAGCCTCGCAAAGGTATTGTATGAGTTCTTCCATCGTTGCGGCGGCGGTAAAGAGGATATCCATCTTCTTGCAATACCGTCTCTTGTTGATATTCTTTAGGAAAGCGTTTTGCGCATCTTCGGAAACCTGATTCCGATATTGACATGCATGGAGCATTTGGCATCCGTTCGCCACAGGGACCATGTACCATGCAGCTTGTAATAATTGCTCGCAATTCTCCGTTAGGGTCTGCAATGGGATCCGGCAATTCAGCACACACTATTTCATCAATGCGTTCTGCTGTAAGAAATCGATCATCCGGATGAAGGAATAGCAAGAGATGCATATGCGGTAATCCACGTTTCTGATACTCAATGGTCCATACACATCCAATATAGCGGCCAAAGATATTTTTATGCTTTATTTCAGCAAGCAGTTGCTGTTGTTTCATATGAAAGACTCTTGCTGTAAGATCAGGCCTGTCAACAGCTGTTTGCCCCGGAAGCAACTCTGCAACGATCTCTGGCCACTTTGGATTGGCTGTAAATGTGATAAAGAGGGTTGGACGTCCAAAATGTCGAACTATAGCCATAGAATCTTGATACAATTGTTGCATATACCGGTCTCCACCTGTGTAGCTGCTGGGTAGTATTACACGACGTCCTGTCTCCTCTGCATTGAAGTCTTGCTGTAACATCGCGTCTGCAAGTCCATTGTAAAGGTCTGCACGCAATTGTGATTGGTTGAGACGTATCCAATTAAGCTTGTTTTGATCGCAAACAGACCATGCATCAACCAAATATTGTTGAAATAAGCGTTGAGAATAAAATAGAGTTGAAAACTCTGATTGGCGGGTATGCAAACGATATCTGTTATCTGGGTCAATTGCTTTGATTCTGCCAGTGCATACTGTTTGCAATGAATTCCATACCTATAAAATGGTCGTTGACTGAGACGTAAATTTTTGCGAGCTTGTAAATCATTTCGCAAACTCAAACCCCAATGCCAACCAACATCACCATTCGGAAATAGCAATACATAGTGCAAGGGCATATAAGCAGCATTATTAGGATTAATTATGTTGAACGATTCATCGCCATCCATATCACGGTTTGCGAGTACAATATCTCGAAATCCTGCCTGTCCATACTCATCAGGTATGATAACCGCAATCTCATTGCTGGTTGGCAGGTTGTGGCGACGCTTGTCAGCACCTGATTCCATTATCAATTGCAGCTGCGGACTTAACAATATTCTTGCAGGACCTTGCAAACGTTCTGCATCCATTAGTCGCTCCCGGGCTGTTTTATAGATTGCTATAAAAGGGTTGACATCATGTAACTCGATTGTAAGTCTCTGCAATATGGTAAGATCAAGGTTGGGATGTGCCTCATGTCGTACACCAGCTGCATACTCAGGGTCGTAAAAATATAGCTGTGCAAAGCTTGGTGAGGCGTTCTGTTGTGGATGCAATGGTCCTTGCATATGGTAAAGCTCTCCATGGATTTGAAAACATTGCAAACCACCACTTTGCGCTGGAGCCCGTTGATCAGCAGTATATTTTACCGATGTAAACGTGAGTGCAGAATTGTATTCACGAATACTGGTCCGAAATCTTCTTGCAACCGGATCAGGAGACTGCAAAAGATATTGTAAATACGGAGGTGGTGCTTGCAAAGGTAACAGCTGAACATCTCCCTTTTTACAACAGATTTCAAAGCGTGGCTTTATCTTTGAACTTGCTGCAATTCGCTCATCAATCCAATGCAAAGCTGAACAGGACTCGCAAACGATCGTCATTGAGCCCATATTCAATTCTTTCCATTGTAAACGGGAACTGAGAAATGCGCAAGGAAAGGCAGAACGTATTCCTTGTCTTACAGCTCTGGGTGGGGATAGCTATCAACAGAAGTTGTAAGCATTTATAAGATGCAATTCTTAAGTATTATAGTACATACCTCCAATGTTTCTACTGTTTGCCCGGCTCGCAAAGAAGCACGTCTTTGTCTCATCTCCGCTTGTCTTCTCTGCAAATTGTCAAATAATATTTCTATTGGTTGTTGCAGAGATACATACCAAACAATCTCTACATGATCTCAAAAGAGAACCGCGGCGGTTTCTATCATATTCCGCAATGGCTTTATCATGCTTGCATTGGGAGCATCTGGCAGTAGACATGATTGTGAGGTATGGATGCTTTTTGTTAAGATAATTGAATTGAAAGATGGTGGGGAATGAAATTTGTGGTCAAGAAGGTGTAGTTACCCATCCCTTGAAAACCGGGTTTTTTTTTCTTTGGTTACCCTACCTCCCCAACCTGTTCCCATCCCATAAAAATACTATTGTTACCGCACCTCTGCACCCCTGTCACCAACCCCTGTCCAATTCCGAAAACGGCTTAGCTTCTTATTTTTGAGAAACACTGTATTGTAGTACTATATAGAATACAATTTCATCACGTAAAACACTTGGTAGTAATCCTTCACGGAGCTCGTGTTACATGGACACTGAGTAAGCTACATGTACTTAATTATTCTAATTACTATTTGTACCACTTGTTTTGTGACTACTCCCAGTCCAACGCTATCTACTCGTGGTCCGATACCCTTGCTCCCAGCAATCGCACGCCTTCCCTAGTTTTTTTTTTTTTTTGTTTAATTCATTAATTGCCTTCCCTAGTTAATTTCTAAGGTATTTTTTCACTCTCAAATCCATTTTATTTACTCTCAAATGTATTTTATTTACTCCTAATTACCTTCAGTCCCTGGCTTTATGCTACCAAACCTGCATCACTTCGCGGCCGCGAGGTGGGCCACTGTTAGTTACCAGTATCGTATTCAGAAACCCATAGTAACGAATCATTGAAAGGTGTATGTCGACCCGCATCGGAATATTTTTGCCGCAAGGTTCAGGCGTCCTACACCCTGCCAAAAGTATTCTGCCCGTATACAGGTAGGTTTAATGTGTTTAGTACTTTTCTTCATACTTAGCTCACAGTAAGATATTTGCCTTCAGCAGGACTACATAGCTTGATACATGCATATGTAGTTACATACATAAACCAACGCACATTGCCCCCCTCTCCTCCTCCCTTCTTCTTCCTACTTCCTTCCCTCCTTCTTCTCTTTCTTCGCTGCCTTGCGCTTAGCTTTCTTGCTCGCTACAGCACTCACAACTACCGCCTCGCCCTTGTCGCCCCCAGAGATGTCCTCTTGAATTTGGTCCTGTGGTAATTCCGGAGGCACCAACTGCTCGTGTGTTCCTTCTTTCCCTTCACACGCAGGGAGTACAGGTTTTGCCCTTTTCTCCGGTTTTTTTGGGCCCTTTTGCGGCTTTTTGGCGCCACACTTTTTTGCCTTCCCATCAAGCTTATCTATCCAGTCATTGAGCATTTCCTCAATCTCCCGTGCAGCGGCCATCTCCTCTCTACACCTCTCCCTCCATCTCTCCGCCTCCACATCCACAGTCGTATCCACGTCAAAGAACGCATTCCGCTCTTGTAACTGCAGATGCAATATCTCCGACTCTGTTTTCGCCGTCTCTGCGATCTGCTCAGCCGCCATCGGCCCCTCGGCACACTTCTGCTCCGACTCCACCGACGCCACCACATCCACCTCCTTTTTATGGGGCGCATTCCGTATCAAGCCCTCTTTCTCTGTGCGTTGTCTATCTTTCTTATCCGCTGCACCTAACCTTCGCCAGAGCTCCTGCAGTAGTAGGTACAGGTCCAGCCCGTCAGTCATCACCACTGCTCCCAGTGGCAGACGGTTTTTACAGAGAGCGTGTAGGCGGTCTACTGCTTGCCAGGTAGCGCTTTCCATGTACCTTTTGTACTCAGCTCGAATATCGCGGCGGCGGCGGTACCAGGATGTGATCAGGTATCTGCTATAGAGTGTGTCGCGGGTGGGCGGCGGGCGTTGTGGGCGCGGGGGCAATTGTTGGAGGGCAGCAACGGAGGACAAGTAGAGGGCTCGTTTATCCAAGGGTCCCTTGTGGACATGGAGCGTGAGTGTGTCGGTCCCATTGTAGAGTTTGAAGGCCTCAGAGAGCTGTTCGATCAGCTGGTGGGGTTGTATGTGCAGAGCTTGCCTCCTGTCAAGGGTTTTGTTTATGAGGACCTGCAGGATTGATTAGATGATCTTTTATATATATACTACCTTCCGCGGGGGATATATAATATGTCTACCTTCTGCGCCTTTGCCCATAGCCCCTGACACCCCGCCACAGTCCCGATGTTTACAAGAGCGACAAAACACAGATCCAAGCACCGCCTCTGCAAGGACACATGTTGCGTCGCACTCTCATGGCCTTTAATTACCCACTTGTAGAAGAGACACATCGTCCGAACCAGTGCCCGCCTGTAGCAGTCCATCTCGTTGTCGGTACAGTCTCTTAGTGTTGGTGCCCAGAGCGGAAGATGAAGGTGTGTCCACGACTCGGGAATCACAATATTGGTGCGTTGGGAGGCGAACAGAAGGAGAGTCAGGATGCTTTCAAAGACGGATATCACAGAGGCGTGATAGAAGGACAAGTACTTTGTAGCCTGCAGCATGCTGTGCAGGGTCAGGAGGAGGCGATCGATCCAGTTGAGCTAAAATTGGAAGGGCATAAATGATTAGGTATAGGTGATTAGGTGCAACGCATGATCACCGCTGTATCAATTGATAGAGTTCTTGGTACATACCAGTATCCCCATCGAGCATTGAGATGCGTCCTTCCACTCGTGCAATGCCCGATACTGTCTCAAAGCCTCGAATATGACATCTCCCTCACTTGGCTGCTCCTCCTTTTGCTGACTCCGACTCCGCTGAGTGCCACCGGCGCCCTGCGTCCGGGCATGATATGCCTCAATCTCGGTCCGGCGGATATTTATCAGGTTATCAAGATCAGTCAGTCTCAAGCCTAGTAGCTGGTTAGATCTAGCCACCGAACACCGGAACTAGTCAAGAACATACCCAAGTTCACGCCCAACTGATAGCCTTCCAACAGTTGGGTAAAGTCTTCTTTGCGTCCCGAAGCCTTCCACAACTCCCACCGTTTCCGAAAGCGCCTTCGGAGCGCCCTGACAAGGGTGGAGGCCTCCGGTGTATGCAGCCAGCTGCGCAGGTTGACGATACTCTCGGCACTCTCAAAGCATGCGGAGTTGTATGTAAGCCTCTTGAGAAGAGCATCGAGCCAGTAGTCTGTGCACATGAGTTGTTAGAATGGCTGGATAAAACTTATAAGCGTGTTGGTGTGCGCGCGAAGGAGGGAGTACCATTCAGACGTGGCACGTACTCTGGGGGTTCGACACCCCGTAGCAATTTGTACTCTTCGCCTAAGGTAGCGAAGGATGACTGATTTCCGATGAGGCCCTGTTGCTTGTGTCAGCTGCGAGGGGTATACACAAATCGGTCACCCTTGGATTTTCTTCTAGTGGGCGAGGAGGAGGAGGGGGGTTGGTGCAAGTATCCTAGGGGTAGTAACCTGTATGGATTTCTCGAATTCGGCTTTTGTAATGAGATTGTGAGAGCACTTGGTGGTTAGCCCTTCTACCTGCGGTCCACCCCATGGCCATGCCACTATACATACGTATCTCATCAGTCAACTCTTCAAAGGGTATCAAGAAAGGGCATGTATTTAGCAAACCTCTTGTCATGCACGCGGCACATTTCGTATCCATCCCTGAAGATCCCTCCCACAGCGCTTTCGCTCTCTTCTCCACCAGCGGACTAGCATCCTGCAACCGCTTTGCGAGGTAGTCCACAATTTTCTTGACCATTACCTTGTACTCAAAGTCACTATTGCCAACCTGGGGGGAATTTAAAGGTGACCATCCCAGCACTTTGTAAGGCTTGGCCTCACCCGGGATGTGCAGCACCCCGAGAGCAAGAAGTATGGCCTGCGGAATGCCATTGTCTCTTGGAGATTTAGACATCTCATCGTCTTTTGTAGATGTAGAGATCTCATTGTCTTTGGTAGCCTTAGCGATCTCATTTATCTGCTTTACAAGACCGTAGAGATAAGCATGGGGGATGGCGGCCAGGTCCTTGGCCAACCCCAAGAAGTATTTAATATGGACGGAAACCTATCATCACCGGTAAGTTACAATTACAGGAATAAAAAAGAAGGAAAGAAAGTGGCCCTCTTCTCACGATAGTGTCCAGATACTCCCTGATCCATTCCTCCTCGATGCATCCTCTCTCCAACTCCACCCCCGACATGATGTACTCGCCCGCCACGGCAACAAACTCCTCCCACTTGCGACCCCATTCAATTCCCTCATGCCTCCCATTGTAGTCCAGAGCATAGCTCTTGCTTCCCCTAGACATGTTGGCGAGCATCCTCTTAGTCTGAGCATAATTAAAGACATCCTCCAGGCGCATATCCTCCTTTTCCACCCCTTTCACCACCACCACCTCGCTATTGTCCCGCCCGCGCTCAATCATACCCTCCAACGCATCATCAAAGTCGCCGCTCGTGACGGCGTGTAGGAGCGCCTCCTTGATGCGTCCGCGGCAGACGTAGAATTCGACCAGCTCCTTATTGTACTTGAACTCTTTGAGGAACGCTTCCTTCTCACCGTCGGAGGTGAACATGGCTAATGCGCTGGATTGGAGATCCTGCTTCGGTTTGCCTTGCCGCCGTACATATCTGTTGCATTCCCGCGCATAGGTAAGTCGGTCATTGTCCGGTATTTTGTCGCGGTAGCTGTGGGTGTTAGTTGTGTTTTTGTTCTTCTTCTTCTTATTCGGCCACTCGAAGGATTTTGGACTCAGCATACGTACGTGTGAAAGTCTGAAATCAGTCTATCGTACAGCTTCCCATCGTAGAGGGCCAATAGTCCCATGGATGGCTTCCCGCATCTGAGGTACTCGTCCGCTGCGCGGGCATGCCGTCCCGCCCTTTTGAATAGCCTTGCCGCCTTCTCGTACCGCCCCGCCCCCCTGTACAGCTCTGTAACCACCGTCAGCCCGTGATCATATTCCCGGGTTTATACGGAGATAGTCATATATAACGTACCGGCCGCCTTCACAAAATCCCCTCTCGCCTCTAGGCACGCCGCAGCCCTCTCCTTCATCCCCAACTCAAGAAAACCGTCACTCGCCTCCTTGAAGTGCACCTGGATCCCCAAGAGATCTCTTCTTGCGCTACATTCCTTCCCCCTCTGCTCCGACAAGCTGGCCGAGGCCAACTTGATCTTGGCTGGGTCCCTGGCATTCCTGAAGCAGCGGAGGGCCTGGTCAAAGATCCCCCGCTCCATGCACTGATCTCCGGTTTCGATCCATTGCTGGACGGTGGTCGTGTTGGTAGGGCGTACCGTGTCGAAGATTGCGCGGCGCCCCGAGCCTGTTGTTCCGGTCTGGGATACTGGTGGGTGAGAGGAGGAGGAGGAGGTGCTGCCCTGGCGGACCTCCTGCGAAAGATCTAGTAGCTACATGTACATATCACATGGGCGCCGTTAATAAGTAGTCCCATTACACTTTGAGGTGTACTAACGAACTAATATAGGATAAATGGAAGAACAGGAGACAAAGCTTGGGGTAGGTGTATATATATATATATATATATATATATATACGTACATCTTCATTGTTGAAATGCTTCACGACCACAAGCGGCACCGGGACATGCTCTGTGAGTAGCTCCGGAATGCAGCCGGGGTCGCTCTCCAGAATGAATAGTCGACTGCGCGGGCGAGTGATTGCGACATAAAGGTTCTAGATAATTGCAATTGGAAGTGCCGTTAGTCCTGATATATATATCTATTCATAGCCAGCCTAATGTATATAACACGGCCAGACCCACTTCAATAGGTGCCTACCTTCAGCTCATTGCACATCCTCTATGAATCCGTGAATCCCATCCGCTCTGTCTGTCAGCTATCCATCTATAGCAACAAGGGGAACAAAAAGAGAAAAAAGCCCAAATGATACCACCCCTGGATGTGGATGACAACATACCGCATGCATCGACGCATATCCCTCCCACCCACCCCCCTCCATCATATTCCTGAACCCCGTGAGAGACGGGCTGCGACTGAAAAACTCATACAAAAACACATCGTCGTACTCCATCCCCTTGCTTTGCAGGACAGTGAATACGATACACCCTTCTGGGAGCTGGGGTTCAAGCTCTATCTGCACCGCCCGGTCACGCACGATGATGATCTGCTGCGTCCTGATCTCATCCGCGGTCGTACCCCCCGCCGCGCCCTGCAGAAACGAGACCAGGGAGGGACCAACTTGCTTCGATGTTAGCTAGACTTCATGCAACCTAAAACGTTAAGGGGGGTGCGATATGGCATACTAATGATGACAGGCTTGGGCCCCATATGCGTGCCGATCTCTGGCGGGAGCTTATCCACGCAGTCCGGGAATCCCTTCCATAGCTTATCCATCACCCACGACGCAAGCCTCAGTATCCCTTCATGCGAGCGAAAGTTGTGCGAGAGTGTGAACCGCGTTGCCTTCGCCACAGAGGGATCGATGGTGGTGGAGTGATGGCCCGAAAAATGGTTAAAGAAGAGGGCTTTGAGATTGGCAAAGCGGAAGGTGCTATCTTGCGAGATGCATTGGGCGCTGTCGCCGGCTGTGCATGAGTTAATTAATAGAGAATTTACAACAAGAGAGAAGAGGGAGGGAGAGAGACACTGTAATGCAATGATTATACGTACCAAAGTGGATTCCGCGTGGGTTCTGGACCAATGTTAAGAGCAGGGAGATTTCCAGTGGGCGCTGATCTTGGACCTCTGCGTATAAGTTTGCCCAAATCAGTTCTGCCATGCTCCGGATACCCTGCCATGGCCAACGATCGGAATAAAATAAAATTCAAACAACAGACTCATGCTCACCATCAATATAGACCTCCTCAAACATCCCCAGCAGAATACCCCTCACCACCTGATTGCGCTTCTTCACCGGATCGCGCTCCACCGCCGGATCGCGCTCCTCCACTGGATCGGGCTCCAACGCCCTCATTACGCTCCGCACCCTATCGATCCCGTCCTGCTCGTCCCGCGCCCTTTTCCTCTTCTCATAGGACTCAAAAAGAGTGTACACTGCCTGGCGATCCTCCTCCGTTGTGAACGTCGGTGCGATCCTAGCACTGGTGTCGATATACTCCTGCCTAGACAGTGGGGCACCACCACCCTTGAGTACGCCCATGATCTCGGTGAAGACCATATCTGCCTCGAGGTGGCCCTTGGACCTGGGGGGGAAGCGCGGCCAGTAGGCCTCGCGGAAGATGGTATAGTCGACAAGGCGACGGGGTGAGATGCTTGTTCGGTCATTGGCCCTACAGACATTAATTCAGGCATACCAGAAATGGCACTAAACCAACCAGTCACTCAATTTCGCGGAGGGAGGGGAAGGGGCAGTACGTTATCGTATTCTCAAGCCTTCGTAAGAAGTGGTCGAACGTACACACAAACGGAAAGTTGTCGGTGCGTAAGGAGAAAAGGTCTTCGGTGGTGTCGGCGTCCATGTCCATGCTGTCGATCTGGCCGGCGGTACCGTTTCCGTCTTCATAAGCAATAACGTCGCCATAAACATGGGAGTAATCGGCCACGCGCGAGAGCTGAGTATCGATGAGGAGCTTCACGTCACTCTGCAGCTTTCGTGCGAGTGGTTCGGAGCGGGTTAGGAGCAACTACGTATGTGTGTAGATATACACCAAACAAGTCAGCCACCGCCAAATACCCCCCAACATGAAAAGGTGGCCGGTGGGAGGAATACCTGTCGTATCGGCTCTTCCTGCATCACTATATTCCGCGCCAGATAGCGGCACATGAGTTTATACAATAGGCACGACGTCTTCCCCGTCCCGCTACGGCCAAGTATGAAGGTCGCGTTCTTGTGCTTGATGATTGTAGCCTCAGGGCCAGTGACGTCGAATGGGAAATCCGTGTGGCCCTGCGCGTGAAGAATGCTTGTAAAGACGTTGACGGTGAGGGTATGAAACTTTCCTATTGATTCATTGAACAATTTTGATTTTCCTCAGCGGGAAATTCTCAAAGGTACTATGTATATATATATATATATATATATAGCTAGCTATAGCTACATATAATATATAATATATCTAGCGATGGGAGTGACGAACCTGATATGAGCATATCCTGTGGCACACGCTCTTGCTCAGGCGGATCTCTGCTGTCGGGCTCTGTCTCTGGCCCGCCATTTTCTCTGTTTTCTTCCTCTGAGCTGTATTTAAATACGACGGGGAGCTTCAGGCGAGCAGCCTTATCGATAAGATTTTTCTTGCAGCGCTCGACCCGTGTGGCAGAAAACGTCTTTTGCGAGCGTTCCACCGCGTCGAGCGAGGCATGGATCTGTACGTTCACCATATATATCGTTAATTATATTAGGAGATCTCATCACAGAGGAGAATCATCTACATATATACCTCCTTAACATCGCCGATGCTCCACACTACATACGGACGGCCACCGTCAGCTCACATACATTATCCATATACAACATCTAACATGATCAAACACCCATGTACACACCTCTAACAATCTGACTATCGCTGCCGCACCTTTCATCATATCCAACGTCCACCTGCCATAGAATTCGTCCATTACCACCGTACAGGGCCTGGAACAGCCGAACGCGGAAGTGGCGCCCGCATGGGGGGAACGGTCTCGCTACAGACCGCCGGACCCAGTCCCCGCTCGCTAGGGATTGCAACTTTCCAAGTATCCGTAGGTGGTTCCCTATTCGGTGAGCTGCGGTTAGGATAGATCTATATACCGGAGGAGGGGAGGGAGGAAGGGAGGAAGGGAGGAAGGGAGGAAGAATGGATGGAAAGAGGTACATACCCTCACTCCTCGACTGCTTGAGGTCCTTTAAAGCCTGCGCCGATAAAGATATCTTCCACAATCCGATGCCACCGCCCATGAGCCCGTCGATAAAGATCTCGTCCTCGTCCGTACCCAGCCCCATCTGGGCCTGCTGCTCAAAGTCAAAACTAAAGTCGGTTTCCTCTACTGGATCTGCTGCATTGTCATCACCCTCCCACTCATAGTCGGTGCCGTTATCGTCCATTGCGATTAATTGTCTGAGCTAGCTATTGGGAGGAAAGAGAAGTGAGGAGAGACAGAGATAATATTAGTAGGGGCGTAGAGAGGCTATATAGCTATTTGGGTGGATGGGTGATCATTACCCCCTCTGGCTAACAAGCATAATATTCAGGCAACCAACCAACCAACCAAGTAACAAACAAACCAATCAGCAAACCACATGTGAATATTAATACGAATTGTAAAATCGGTAGAGTGATGGTGCTCTGGCCCGGCGGTAAACGCTACGGGCCAACGATCGATGTTGCCAAATAGGTACTGGTTTTGAATAGGTCGCGCAGTCATGCATTGATGAAGAATAGGGTAGAAACTCTGTGAAATTGAGTTAACGGCTCGTGGATAAATGATCTAGCGTATATTCGTATTGAATGAGTATAAATATTAAAGGTAATACTACATTCTTTTACAGCTGATAAAAGGTCATATTCTCGACTTATTCTGACAGGACAGAGAATGAAACACGATAGATACATATGATAATGAATACATGTACTTTTTCATATTCCTCCCAAGATGAGATTTAAAAAAAACCGCTTTTTCTTGTCCTTTGTAGCTCGTGTCCAAATACTAGTACGCTTGGTAGCTTCCACTCTTCTCCGCATAATAGGATCTTCCTCTGAGCATGTACCTACAGTGACCGAAATTATCTATGGAAAAACAGGGGGGGTGAAATTGTATGGCGAAATATCTGTGCACCATATAACTGTTTTTTCCATAGATCATTCCTATCGCTGTACACCCGGCCCGGCCGGACCCGTGAACTCGTCTAGGTGGTATTCTGGGATTTCCGGTCCAACAATGGATCAATTTATGCATATGGAGATTTAGACTTGCAAATTCTAGAGAAAATTAATTTTACCGTACGTAGCCCTACTTATATACCCGGCACTCTCTAATATCGGGGTACGTACCCATGACCAAAAGGAACTTTCAAGCTAGACGAGCTCACGGGGGTGTGGGGATTTTTGGTTTATTTCCATCGGATCCACAGGACATCTAAATTCACAAGAATACGGATATGAAATATCCCATCCAACCCATGTTCAGTCGGAAGAGCGTGTCTGTCCCCCTCCAGCACATCCACCCCCCCCCCCCCCCCCCCAAAAAAAAATGCCCTCCGCCTGCTGATTCCCACTGGGGCACAGATGATCTGCGCGATCTGTCTGCTGTTTGGTAGCTTTAGGCTACCCACCCGGTGGGGTGTGTGAGTGGTGGGGGTGTAACTGCACTAATTACTGCGTCTAGGGGCATGATAGGCGTCTTGCGCGCGAGTGGCGCGACCGACAGAACGTGCTACCGGCGGGTGTGGTCATCAAAAACTCGTTCAATCACTCAAAGATCGACCTTAATACTGCACCGGTGAACACGCTGGCGGGATTTGTGAAGAGAACATCCGGGGCACTACGGGCAGCCAGGGGCAAGACGGGGGGCAGGAAGAGGAAGCGGAATGCAGAAGGTCAAGGCAATTTCCCAAGGTAATTTCAACTTTCCCCTTTGAATTTCTTATGGATTCGTTTGCTAAGTCGAGCCAGTGTCAATAATGCAGACATCCCCAGGTGGCTATACCCCGCCTTATACTTTCCCCTATACAGTCAACTTACAGCTCTCCCTACCAGTTCTGAACCCGGCAATATCCTCGCACCAAGGTACTCTCCCCTCCTCCGCCCCCAAACCCCCCCCCCCCAACCCCTCTCGGCCACCCGGGTGGATGTTCCACCAATGGTTCTGCTGACACCTCAAACTAGACCTACCTTCCTCATGCTTCACAGACTACCACCAAACCATGAGAACCACTCATAAATGGCTTCTTCCCAGCGGAAAGCATCTAGAGGATATCCTCTATGATAACTACAAAGACTCAGTGGTCGTGCTCGCGGTGCACTCATGTGTTGTTGACACTGGCGATACCAGTGTGGAATCCTGCTTCAATGATGAGGATTGGAAGGCCATTTGCGAGCAGGTAACGCCGCTACCAGAGGCGGATAGAGTCCTGGTGGAGTCAATGCGGCGGTTTATGGGGGTGAGTGTCTGTTTCCAGCATTTCCCTCTCTTGCTCGGCCACTGATTTTCGATCTACATAGCTCCAAGATGCCGCCAACCTCCGTGAGGCGGTGTATAGCACGTCCTTCCTGAAATCTGGTGAAGCTTTCGACGCGGATAAACACCAAGGCCCCGCATGGGTCGACCTTGTGATGCGTTCATTGTACGTTCGCCCCAGTCCCCAACTCCTCGGATACAGGCTGCTAATATCTCGCTCTATAAAGCCTTGACTTGTACGAAAACCCCACACTCTTCGACAAGTACGACAACTCCGAGAACTGGTACACTGTCTACATCTGGTCCTCTCTCTTTGATCGATCCATGCCCACCCTCCCCGGCAGCCGCATCAGCCGGTACCAATACTTCCCCGCTCCACTCTCTTGTACTGCACTAATCTTCTGCCTCACACCTCAGAGGCGAATCAGCTTCCACCTCAGCCGCCGAGCGCAAGAACCGCGACCCCACAAAGCGCAAGCGCCCTGGTCACCTCTACGGCGGTGTCCTCCACATTGACTACCATGAAGCAGGCGTAATGGAGCATTCCAAATGTTTCATAACCGAGACGCCACGTAAGTGGGTCGCGGACCGTTTGAAGGTGGTCAAGGTGCTACACGATATGCTTTATGATCTTGAGACTCGTGTTAACAACAATCCCGAGATTCTAAGGCTGTTACCGGTGGTGGGGCTCGTGTCGGCAGGTGTGTAGATCTCATGTTGAAACCAAGAGAAGATTTTGTTGTTGATGGGGACGTAAAAGTCCCGACCATGGTGGCAGACTATGAGCCGCTGTTTGCGATCTTGGTGAGCTTCTGGAGACATAGGGTGCGTATCCACCCCCACCACGACCCCGGAGTTTCGTGCATATTTTACTCATAGTGAGGATAGACACTCATGCATGGCTTCAAGGCAATCGTGACATGCAGAGCTGCCACTAGTGAGGACTTGGTCGCTAGGCTGATGAATGCAGGCTCGGGGGTGCTGAAGAGGGAGCATGTGCTGCCGAGCTCCGTGGAGACAGACGGGGAATGATTCATGATGTTTTAATATTGAGGAACCAATTCTCCAATGTAATCATTTCAATTTCATTCCTACGCGGTAAACCTGTATGGATGGTGCTTATTCTTTGTATTCTACCAACACCATAGTCTAGCTGGTTCCTATCGAAATGCCAATCGGTGGGATCAATGTAGTGAGGTGGTCCTGGTGGTCGTTTCTGGTACGGGCTTGAGAAGTGATCATATTCCTAGCTCACGATGCGTCTTGGTGAAAAGTAGTTTGGTTGGAGACTCGGCCGAAGCCAGACCGTGTATATAACTCTGTACGAACTTATCTCTTGGATGCTTACACTCGTGCTCGTGGGAGGAATCTCAAGCTCGCAATCTAAGCTGGAGCGAAAATAATGTTGATACAAAGACAAGTTGTATTATGAGCGGTACTGATCCAGATAGTGGGAACAGAAACTATAACAAAACTCTAGCTGGAGCCATGATTAACTAATTAATAATTCAATGAGAAATGCCGAAGCTATCGATGTCACTCTGCATATGGGAAAGTCATAACGAGAACACATCGGAGTAAGATCGGCCAGGAAATTCCCTTACTGGGATCAGGTTTCTAGTTATATAAATATATGGTAATGCTTTAGGTTAGAGCCCGAGCCTATCTAGTTCGTGGTTCGCCTGATCTTACGTGAGCTTCAGTAAAACAACTGATTAGGAGACCTCCCCGTATGGGGTGTGGGCTCTGTTATGACCTCAGGTTTGTATGTCTGCGTGTGATTCCCGTGGTTGCGGGGTCTCGGTCTTTTATGAGTGATTCTGTATGTTTGCGGATCTCGGTGAAGTGTGGGTTCCCAGTGATTGATTGCCTGCAGCTCGCTTATCTGCCGTTCCTGGATTTAAGCCTTGTTCGCTTATCTGGTCGGATGCAGGGGCTCGGCGACAGGGTTTCCTGGTTGCGGGGCGGGTCGATCCTAGCGGGCATGCGCCGAACGCGCCACCGCAATGTCGCACAACGTCTATACATCATTCAGGTACTCGTATCTTCCTGACATTTGTAAAACGAACCGCTATTGCATACCATACTAAATTGTGAACTTGGCGCGTATCTGTATGGTATGCAATAGTCGTTCCTTTTACAAACGTCAGGAAAATACGAGTATATGTACTTACCTACATACATGTACATAGACGTCATGGTTCGGGTATATATAGCGCGGTGCTGGGCTTTGACGAAGGTCTTTTTCCGAGATCCACTCAGAGTACGCAGACCTCCGAGATTGAATTGTCTCTGCGGATCCGGTTGACCGGGTATGACCCAAACAAAAAATCTTCCATGTAGGTGTATTGGGCTTCGTAGGCCCAGGTTTGTTCATAATATAATGGTAAGGGAAGTTGAGAGGCAGTATATCAATCAAAGCAGATCATTACGCCGCTATCAAGGTAGAAAATCAAAGGGTTAATTTAAGGCATTTCATATTGGGAAGGGATAATATTTAACACAGGGGGTTGCTTGATTGATTGATTGGTTACTTCATTAATCAACACAGGGGTAAATGAAAGGGTAAAGAAATAGTCGAACTATCTGAGCAGGTTATATAGAGATAGAATCGACCATCAGGGTGGGGATTATTAATGAGGCTGATTAAAGAGGGAGGGTGAGCCATGAGGGGAATATATAGTGGGGTGTATGTCGTGGGGGGCCGCTAATGAGAGCATATTTATAGCTTCGAGCTTTCACACCCCCAATTGTGTAAACCAGGGTTATAGGAAATAGATCTAACGGTCAATAGATTGTATAGGAACACTAAGTGATTTTTATTTTGAGTAATGATAGTATAGTTCTCGTTCATAAGCGATCGAATTCAACGAAAAACACAACAAAAATTACCATTATCAACCCTTCCTCCCCCCCCCCCCAAAAAAAACCCCAATTTTTAAACGATTAGCTGAGGGTCTTGAATAATCCATATTCATTTTTGAATGAGCTGTAGCAGCTTTCATGCGAACAATTCTGAAACTTCTGCCAAGACCGCGAATTTGTATGGGGCTTCGCACAAACGTGGAGCTTATAAATTTGGACTCTTTATAAGTGTATCTATCTCTACCTCTAATACCATACATCTAGGTGCTTCATTAATATTGCGTTGTAGGTAAAAGTCATCTTTTGTCGAATTTTGGTCTGTTTCGTTGCTTTCGGCGCGAATCCGATTGTGGTTCGCACGCGCAACCTCATGTTGGTTGCTATGTGGGAGGTATCCACATCATCGGCGGTTTCCCCATAATGTGCGGTTTGGAAGCTTAAATACAATACGTTAAAGGGTAGGCGACCTTCGCTCCCCATTAACCGGAGCTTTTCCAGGTCCACAAACATCGATCCGGACCCTCGGTAGGTATAGGTATATTCTATTACCGCTGAGGAACATCGGGAGCGCTTACCCAGGGTACAACAGGTCTACAGTTATGCTAGGGGATATCCTGAATATACTACTACCGACTACTACCGAGTGTTAGAGACTATTGGTACACCGCTGTATGTAGGATATTACGTCCGTTGCGCAAAGAATTCCAGCCCAACTTTCCGGCAGCCTGATTGGTGCCGATCCTCCACTTATCCAATTAGGATATCCGGATTTAGTGCTGTAGTCCGCAAAGGCTCTGTTCATTCAAAGATTCCCAGAAGCCAATTATTGATTTGCCCACATAAAGCCCGTAAGCAATTGAAGGTGCGTGACATCCTTTAGTCTGGCAATGCAGACTCCCCATAATTGAGTAATTCACTTTGTACAGGAGATCATCTATTATGTGAGAAGAGAGTGGCGGGATTTGTTAGTAAAGCCACTTAGTCTTAGGAAGTTCAACATCTATTGCCAGCTTAAAAGACAGAGTCTCTAGATGAATCTCGACCTACCAGTCAGTTGTCTGCTATCATTGGTCCGTGGCGACCGAGTCGTCAGCTGCGCGCGTCCCCCATTAGTCAACAGGCCATCCAGTAGAAGCGTTGTTGACCAGGAGGTCGGAACACCTCCTATATATCAAGCACCATTTTAAAAGAGATACCCCTGTTATCTCTACCCAATCACGATGTATCCGATGTTTGAGGGGAGTGGGTATCTAGGTGTGCCATGCATATGGAGGCATATCCCATCGTCCGTCAGTGAACTGCTGACCCCCAGAAAAAAGCAGGTTTTGTATAGCTCTACTAACAGATCCTGTTATCGATCTATCTCTCTTATCAAACAATAGATCTCCCATACAAATTGAATTCCTCTATTATAGGGGGGTGAGCATTGACGGACCGTGGGATACCCCGCTTCTCTAATATTACGATCATGATCAGAGTTCCAATCTCTCTCAACCGCAACATTTCTTTACAAAAGATAAGGGTTCTTCTGCATCATAAGATTAATCTACGTTCCACAAGTACGGAATATTAACCATCAATGGGAAGATTCAATGGTTTCTTGTGCCTACAATGGAGACCGTCCCGCAGATCTCCTCCCGGGGGGACCTCCAGCTCCACTCCGGCTCTCCCTTTAGCGGCTCGACCTTCGGGCTCATTCGAACGGCTGATCATGAGTACCACTCGGGCTTCAATAAGCTTACCATTGGTGGCTGCGGAGCCATCGAAGGAATATCTCACTGCCTCTCCGAGTGCCGTTAGACCCCCTTCCCCGTCACCACCCACTCGACCTTCGCCGGAACCTTTAATCTCTGTACCTAAGGACCCTGACGAGCACTCCCTAGCATCTTCATCTTCCACTATCTTGCCGCCACCTGCTGCGACTATATCTACATCATTTTTATCGCACCAAAGTTCGCTATTAGCTCCTGCAACAGGTGCTGGAAACTCTGCGATTCCGGACCTTTCTGTCGCTGACAAGACCTTATCCCTGGTTTGACTCTCTTGTGTCACTTATTCCAGGCGTGAAATCTAATAGACCATGGTGTTAGAACAACGCTCAGTCCGCTCTACCAGTCTTAATCAATGTTCAAAGCACGGTCTCGAGCTTGTGGAAACAAGCCTACAACAGATTGACCGCCAGCGACCAGGCTGCATTGCCGACGCTACAATCTCACGACGGGGAATTCATAGATGATATCTTAAAGGCGACGAAAGAGAGCAGAGATCACTGCCAGGCGAAAGGGCTGAAATTTAAATTTGGAGAAAAATAAATCGTTGTCCGTGATCTGGCAGATAAAATCATCACATGGATTGACAAGTTCAAGGCTATAGGTGACACCGTGGTTCAATTTGATCCGGTGCACGCGGCTTTGCCTTGGGCTGCTGTACGGCTTTTTCTACAGGTTTGATTCTCCCGACCTGAGATTCTACACACACACGAAGGGCTTTGTATACCTAACGTTCAGCTAGATGGCGGTTAATCACAAGGAGACTATGGATTCGGTGCTTCTTGGTATGGAACAGGTTACTAGGCTCACGACACGATGCGCCATCTACGAAAGGATGTACCTGGGGGCGGCATCGCCACTATCTATTGCTCCGAACTTGGAAGAGGCGCTGGTGACGCTCTATTGCTCTATCTTGCAATTTCTGATATTCACGAAACGACACTTTGAAAAACACGGTCACGGTAGGTCACTACTCAGCTCTCAGACCTCATAGATTATAGCTGACCCGGCCCAGAGAAAATAGTTTCCGGGCTGCTTGGCAATGCAGGGAAGACACTTTTTGATGCCATAGGAACCGCAGAGTCGCAACTCATGAAGGAGATAACACCGGCCGAAGGAGAAAGTAAGTTCTGAGCTGGAAAATACACACCTGGCAGAGAGAAGAGTTCGACGTAGCTGACATGAATGAACTCGGTGAAGCACAGGGAGGTTCTTGCCCACAGATCACACCTTCTCGGGCCCCCACTAATGTTTGATTATTAGTGCGATTTGAAAAGTTACAGGACATGCTCAAAAATCTTGATATTCCAATCCGAAGCACGGAAATGATGACCGACCTGGTATACAAACAGCATATAGGTCGCGCACAAACCCTGTTGTGTCGTACTTGGCGAGAACACGTTTCCGCTCCAAGTATAGTGGCCGGAGATTGTATTTGCTAATCCTTACGATCCTTTAGACAATTCACGGCAAGAGATACTACAGTGGCTTTCCGAGGATCGGTTCCACGAGAACCACAAGACCGCAGAGGTGGATCTCCTAGATAACACGGGTCAGTGGCTGTTTGAGGAAGACAAATATCGTGAATGGCGTTCATCTAGCGCATCAGGCATCATGTGGCTGCGAGGCAATCGTAAGTAAATCTTCCCACACTTGAGAAAATTGATTTCTGACGTGCTTCGAAGCCGGTGCGGGAAAGACGAAACTTACGTGAGATATCACGCCCCCGTTAATTGGCATTGCTTACCGTCCCCCAGTTGTCAGGTTATCCATACACTCGAGGCACAGCTCAGCGGCAAGGAGCCTGTAATCTTCTTTTACTTTAATAACAACGACTCCAATCGAAGGGACTCGACGATCCTCATGAGGACCATTATCAAGCAACTATGCCTTGTACCGTACAAAAGCGGCTTCCCGGCTCAAGTGCTGGAACGTTATGAGGAGCGAACGAAGCGCGGAGCCAAAAACGAAAAACTAAGTTTCGACGAATGCTACAAACTTATAGTTCCTCTTCTCGATACCTGTCCACAATCCACGATAGTCATCGATGCCTTGGATGAGTGTGAATTGCGACAGCGCAAAGCTCTTCTCAAGACCTTAAGTGAGGTGATAAGATCATCAACTAGCTTGGTCAAAATATTTATATCTAGTAGGGAAGACATTGATATCAAGATAGAGCTCCAGCATATCCCGAACCTTTCTATCGACGCCCAGGATAACCAATATGATATCCAAAGATTTGTACACCGAGAAATCTGGGAGCGAGAAAGGCTACTCAATGGAGGTGCTTCGAAAGAATTAAAAACGCTGGTGACCTCTAAAATTGAAGCAAAGGCGAATGGGATGTGAGTCTGCCCCCTCTCCCTGGACCGTGTATCACAAAGAACTCTGAGTCTCAAAATTGAAGGTTTCAATGGGCGTATCTTCAAATCGAAAACCTCTCTCGAATGAGGACGAAAAGGGATATCGAGGAGAATGTGGAGAGATTACCAGCCACGCTAGAGAAATCATACGACGCCGCCCTGTCAAATATTATGGCGTGCCCACGCAACGAGGAGCTACTTGCCAAGAGGGCATTTGCATGGATTAGATGCTCCTACAAGCCAGTACTACCCTCCGTATGGGCTGAGGGGTGTTACTCGCCTGATGACCCGCCCGCGAATGGTGTCGATACTCTGCTCGATCTTTTTCGAAACCTAGTGGTCCGGAATGAGCAGCTCGGCCAAGTCGTCTTTGCACATCTATCGGTCAAGGAATATCTGGAAATGGTAGATCCTGATTCCAACACTGCTCACTCGATGGTTTCTTTATCTTGCCTTTGCCGCTTGACGGGTCAAAACGAGTTGACTATCGTACGTCCTCCAGTGCTGCTGCATGCATAGTCTTATCCACGAATTAAGAAATAACTAAGAATTTCTAGGATGACGAGTTGATCAGTGATGACGAGGGGGAGGAATTGACTTTGCCGTCGCTCAAGGCGAATACATTCTTCTTTTATGCTTGCGTCCACTTCCCTTCCCATGTAGAGTGCGCTCTGAGCAAGCAAAGCCCAACGCGTGGGAGGGTTATTCCGGTGCCAGAGTGCTTTCTCGGTGAATCGGCGGGCGCGGGAAGGGGCTACCGCACATGGCTCGGCCGCATCAACGAAGAGGTACTTGCGATACGCGAATCCCGCCCGTCCCGCCGTCCCCGCACGACCAGGAGCCGGGCCAGCTCCGAGAGCGAAGGGAAATCGGTGCTATGTGCCGGAACACTCCTTTACTCCGAGCCTATGAACCCGCGGACCGGTCAATCCGCGCCGGTGCGCTTAGATCAACTACATACAGCAGTATGCTTGAGGCCGTAGCTCGGATCGCAGACGCCGAGAGTGTCCGGTGGGTCTTGCACCGACATGAGAAGTCGAACAATACCGCAACACCGGCTCAAACTCTAAGGGGAAAGCGTCCTGCCAGAGGTACAGAGCTACAGTCAAGAAGGATCAAGACCAGCTTAACGATCACAGAGGCGGTATTGATGGCTGCAGTGAGGAACGATATGCACGCCGAGGAGATCATCACTGCACTTCTCGAACACACTCATGGAACCATCGAAATCACAGAGGCCATCTTTGCAGCGTCGTTGGAAGTGCAACGTGCTGGACCCGGGCGATACATGGATTATAACGTGCGGCATCGACTGGGCCCTTGGGTTATGGAGAAAGATAACCCACTGGCCACGACCGAACTACTGCTCAGACGCCCCGGCACCGCCATCAACGTGACAGAAGCGGTGCTCCTAAAGGCACTGAAGGTCGGCTATTGTATACCGGTGCTCCGCTCACTACCCCCAATGTCAGTAAGCTCTAGCACTGTCACTGAGGCAGTCTTGGTGGAAGCGGCGGATTGCCATCGTGGTGATAATTCAACAATCTTGACCTTCCTCCTCAAGGCTCAAAATACAAACATCCATGTCACAGAGTCACCTCCAATCGCGGCTGAGAGGAAGGGTGATGCAGAAATGATGGCCTTCCTGCTCGAACAAACAAGGGACAAAAGCGATATTCCCCCGGGGCTACTCTTGGCGGCGACAAGTAATATTTGGAACGGCGGATCTGTTCCGGGCGATTGGCAGATACCCCGAATTCGTGAATGGACCGCTTAACACATGTATTCGAGAGGGGACCGGTCCATTCACGAATGGACTGGTAAAATGTAGTTTGGAAAAAATTGTTGATCATGATTCATGAGCGCGCTCAGCAACCAAGGCTGCTAGTAGGGCGCGCGACCTCAACCAGCAATGATTTTGGGCGAGGGCTGGTTGATGTCGCACGTGCGGCCCTAGTACTTAATCTCTTCTTGAGTGCCACTGTACCATGATAATCAATCTTTCATAATCAAAATGTCAGACAACACTTCAGATCCTGCTGCCCCCTATGGGCGAACAGCTACAGGGAGAATTAGAAAGAAGCCAACAAAGGTTCAATCAAGTAAAACTGCACCAACTCTGCCTGCTATACCTGATCAACTTTCTACTTTTTGCCCTGTTCCTGCATGTGCAAGAGATTTCAGATACCGGAAAAACCCAGAGAAAGCTGTTTGGCAACACCTCCGGTACTATTCTAGAAGAGATGAGGAGGGAAAAATTAAGGAAGGCGGACACACTAAAGCTCATTATTACTATAAGGAAAAAGCCAAACCAGCATCAGGTACTAGGTTTTCTCTTTTCCGGGAATTGAATTAATAATTAATTTTTTTTAGGAATGAGCAAGAAGGAAAGAGAGCATGCAAATTCAGCTAAATGGAGGGCTAAAAATCCAGAAAAAGCAAAGAGTTCTTCTGCTCTCGGTGCTATCAAGGTTAAGGCTGAGCTACAGCTTAGGCGTTCCGGAGATTTTAGTGAGGAGAAATTGAAGGAATTGGTGGACGAGATGATGAGAAAATGGGAAGAGAAAAATTAAGAATAGAAAATTTTATTTAGAATTCAATCATTTTAGGTACAAATAATAAAATACTTAATTTTTCCTCAACTGACGTCCCCTCTTTGTACTTTGTTGTTGTGGTGGAGATGATTTATATATAAGACCCTCGAGATCCATTAACAACATATCCACATCAATAAAAGAACCATACTCCTGTGCAATTGGGTCACGTAATACCTCCAACGCCTCATCATACTGTATCTGCATATCAGAGGAAATAAAGTGTGTTAAAATCTCTGGAGCAATCACAGATCTGAACAATATCTCTGGATCCTCGTTTTGATCTCCTTCAATTTCCATTTGCCTCCGGAATTGTCCAGAATGTCCTACCCAAAATGCGACCGGTGTGATTTCTATAAGAACTGTTTGACCAGTTTGATTAGTTTAATAATTTTAGGAAAATTGGAATCATTCTACCTGATTTATAATATCCACAAGGAATAGACTTATTCTGCTCCAATGTCCGCTTAGCCGATACGGAAGGCCCATTTTTTCTCCTTCTTCTTTGGTTGATAAACTCTTGATAGAAATCCAACTGTCGGTAATTCTTGATAGTGCGTTTGATAATATTTTCATGTTGACGTAGGCGTTCCTCTATAACAAGTTCTTTTGTCCTTTCAATAATATCTGAGAGGAGCGGGTATTTTTTCTCCATCGCATATATCACTGCACCATGAATCTTCTCACCGTATTTCCATTGTATCCAGTCCAATTTCTCCTCCATAATTCTCTGTTCACTATTATTGCTAGCAGATGAATATTGACTGTCATTGCTAGAGGGTTCTCGAGAACTACTTTGATTTTCATTCTCGGTGGCTTCATCTGACTCATCCGATAATAGTAGCGGATCAATTGGAATTTCTTCTATATGAAAATTAATACCTAATATGAATTATCAGAAAGTGACTAAATACCAATTTCGTTGGGAATATTTGTTGTATTAGTACATGCTTCTAACCAAGGGTGACAGGGGGAGGTGTAAGTTCGGTTTTCCTTAAAACATCGGCAGTATCGAAGATTGCAGTTTTTCCGACAGTTACATGGTACCTATAATCCATTGAAAAAATTAGTATATGAATAGTTTTATAAATGGAACTTGAATATATTTTATACATTTCCGTCATTACGTAAACCAGCCGAGATCATTTGTGATGCTACCTGTAACGATATGCTATTTCTATTGTCTGGGATTTCAATTCCTGCAATAAGAGCCTTCAGGATTCTTTCTAGTTCTGTGGTTGGGTAATGACGCTCTAGAATACCATGTAAACATTGCAGTTGGTGTCTGTCTGGATGGGGTTTATTGATTATTCGACAAAAGATTCTTTTGTTATCTATTGACCGACGGGATAATGGAGGAACTGCCAATGCTACTATATCTCCAACATTAAAAATGTCAACTTTTTTCCGAATGTTGTATTTTTTAGCCATTGATAGCTGTAACGGGGACTATGGGCGTAGGAACTATAAAGCCAAGGAATACAACCGAGGTGAAGATGTGGACGTAGGAGGTTCGTGGACTATGGACTATGGGGCCGAAGGGTATACCTAAGGCGAGAACGGAGACTGTGGACTATGGACTATGGATGGTTGTACCTGGTCTAGTATACCGGGTAAACCCTATGACGTAGCGCGAACCAAATAGTATTCGTAACTGTGAAGTACAGAGGTTGCATAAAGAGAAAAGGAAAAGAAAGAGAAACAAGAAATCACAAGACAACGCCCCCCTTATATATCCATACCCTATCCCAATGCTGACTCATACCCTCGCATAACAGAAACAGAAAGACCATAATAGAAACCCGCTGTACAAATCCCAACCACACTATACAATCCTTCCTCTTCGTACCCTAACACCTCGCATAACTAAACCAAATGGCTGCTATTACAGACCACTCCCCCCTCTACGGCCTACCTCCTGGTAGGCTTAGGCTTTCGTGGATATCGTTCGTGAAATCGTTTGACAATATTGGGCGAATGTTCAACATCCGACAATGGCTGCCACGAAGCTTCGTCATAACCGGCATACTTAACCAAGTATTCAAATCTTCCCCGACGAGCCCTGGAATCCAAAATATCCTCGACTTCCCACTCCTCCTGTCCTTCAACTTCGACCGGCGGTGGTGGTAACTGTTGTTGTCCTGGTAAAGGATCGTTTGCTGCAGACGACAATAAAGAGACATGGAATACAGGATGAACTTTCATAGAACGAGGGAGTTCCAACTCATAGGCATAAGGATTGACAATTCGCTTAATGAGATATGGCCCAATACGCTTCCAATCGAGTTTCTTCGAGGGTCGTTTGGTGAGGACATGGTGGGTCGATAGGAAAACTTTATCCCCCATACGATAGTAAGGCGCTGGAGTCCGACTTATATTGGCCGACTCTTCTTGAATCCTTTGTGCTCGGAACAATTCAGCTCGTAAAACGTCTAGTATATCCTTCATCTCTCGTGCAATAGTATTCGCTTGGTCTTCCGCTGTCGTCTTGCCATGTTCCAGAGGGCCGAAAGTCATTCTTGGATTCCTTCCCAAATTGGCATAAAACGGAGAAATTCTTGTTGTTTCCGAAGCATGGTTATTGGTTGCGAATTCGGCCATTGGTAACCATCGAGCCCAATCATCCTGTTGATAGGAGACATAACTCCGAAGATACAGCTCCATCACGGCATTAATCCTCTCCGTTTGCCCATCCATTTGAGGGTGGAACGCAGTAGAGAACTTTGATGATATTTCCAGACGATCGCATAGTGACCTCCAGAATTCTGCAACGAACTGAGTCCCCCGATCGGAAACCATGGTATTAGGTAATCCATGTAGTTTCCAAACATTGTCGATATACAGCCTCGCTACTTCCCTCGAGTCTGTCTCCTTAGTTGTTGGTATTAGATGTCGCATTTTGGTTAGTCTATCTACCACAACTAGAATCACATTATACCCATTGCTTTCGGGGATATCGGTGACAAAATCCATTGACACATCCGTCCACGGTCCATCAGGTATTGGCATGGGACGGAGTACTCCATAAGGCGCATTACGTGGTGCCTTACTACGGGCACACACATTGCAATTCCTAACATACTGGTCGACATACTTTCGCATTTGTGGCCAGTAGTATTCTCGATTCAAAAGCTCTAGGGTCTTTGCTCTACCAGGATGTCCTGCTGATGGTTTGTCATGGTGTTCTTTGAGAAGTCTTAGCCGAAGGTCGTTGACATCCGGTACATAGAGTGCGCAACGGTAAAGTAGCCGACCGTTGTTATCTTCCGTGCATTCGGCAAGCGAGATCTTATTCGAGTGATGGACGCGGTTCCGAAGCATCGCGAGTACTTTGTTCGGGAAACTGTCAACTTGGTAAGCATTTAAAAACAACTCTTCTACAGTGGACATTCCTTCAGCGGATTCATTTGAAAAAGAACCCGCGAACAAACTTAGGTTTGAATCCAAATTTTTTCGCTTCAAAACGACCTGGCTTTGATGCGTCAACCGTTCATCCCCCTCCTTAGGTAGGTCACCCGACCTCCTAATCAATGCATCCGGCTTTGCCCCTTGTTTTCCTGGTCTAAATTGAATGACAAAATCGAAACGTGAAAGAAATTCCGACCAACGGGCTTGTCGACGGTTTAATAGCTTTGTTGACATAAAATATTCGAGGTTCCTATGATCGCTGAGGACTTCGATTGGGAATTGGGCCCCTTCCAAATGATGTCGCCATTCCTCAAAACATCGTACAATTGCCAGAAGTTCTTTGTCAAAGATTTCATAGTTGCATTCCGCAGGGGAATGCTTCTTTGAGAAGAAAGCAACTGGATGTAAAATTCCTTCATCATCACGTTGGGACAGGATTGCAGCAGTAACATAGTCGGATGCATCGGTTTCTACTACGATTTTCCGATTCGGATCAAAGTGCGCTAATATGGGTGCCGTGGTGAACATCTTTTTCAATGTCTGGAATGCTTCCTCCCTCTCATCCGTCCATTCGAATTTAATATTTTTCTTGGTCAAAGCCGTAAGCGGAGCAACAATCCTTGAATATCCTAAAATAAACCGTCGATAGAAATTCGCAAATCCCAAAAATACTTGAACATCATGAAGGTTCTTTGGTGTAGACCACTCCAAAATATCGACAACTTTCTTCGGATCCATTCGATTCCCATCCGGGGTGAGAATCAAACCAAGATACTTCGTTTCTTGAACCATAAACTCACACTTCTCAGGTTTAAGATGGACATGATTCTCATCAAGTACCTTCAAAACCTTTTGAATATGTTCCTTGTGTTCCGATAGAGTTTCGGAATAAATCAGGATATCGTCCAAATACGCCGTTACAAATTGGTCGAGGTAGGGGCGTAGAATATCATTGATCCAATGCTGAAATGTAGCAGGGGCATTCGCTAATCCAAATGGCATTACGGTATACTCAAAATGTCCATAGCGAGTCCTAAACGCTGTTTTCCATTCATCCCCCTCTGCTACCCTGATTTGATTGTATCCCCATCGCAAATCCAACTTGGTATAATACTGTGCCTTTGACAGTTTAGCCAGAGTTTCCTTCAGAAGTGGTAACGGATACCGATTTTTAACCGTGATTGCATTGAGGCCCCGATAATCCACGCAGAGCCGAAGAGTCCCATCACTTTTCTTTACGAATAGTATGGGTGCTCCCGCTGGTGATTCACTGGCTCGAATAAATCCCTTAGGTAGATTTTCATCGAGGTATTCCCGTAGTGCTTTTAGTTCCACTTGGGAAAGGCCATATATTGGTCCATACGGTGGTCGTTTTCCTTCTTCTAAAACAATTTCGATATCGTGGGATGGCCGGTGCGGTGGTAGGACTGAGGCATCATACTCTTCAAACATGTGGAGACGGTGATGGAATTCCTTTGGTACTAACTGTTCGACATTGACATTAGGCTTATCCGTTCCTGAAGCGACAACCGTATGGTATTCCGGTAAGGAAATCGAAATGCCATGGACAGTAACTGCCGTTCCACTGAGTGAACAGTGTTGACAACAGTTCCGAAAATCAAAAACAAGCAGATTTTCTTTTGGTCGGATGGTAACATCATGTTGTCGCATCCAAGGCATCCCCATCACAATCGGATAGTGACTCAATTCGGTAACGAAGAACGGAGCGGTTTCCTGATGGCCATGGATGTCTAACAAGAGGTGGACGATATGAGTAATTTTTCCTGATTCAACTAGCCTACCATCGATTACCTCGAGTAGTCGTGGTTTTTTCAGGAGTACCGGGGAGAGTCCATGTTTTTCCATAAAGCCTTGGTCAATGAACGCATAACCTGATGCTCCTGTATCGATAAGAGCATAGGTAGGGACGAAGGAATCGGGGTTCTGGGAGACAGAGCAGGTGACGACAAGAGAGTCTTCAGACATCTTATCTTCGGACACGGTGACAGCAGGGAGAACAGAGATTAGTGGCGGGGCTGGCCCCTTTGGTTTGCCATTTTTTCCAAAGGGGCTGACCTTTTAACGCCGGCTTTTGAGACACTTGTTCAATTGGCTTTTCTCGCCAATTGCTGATGTTACGGGGATGTTTGGAACAAGGGGCGAGGTAACGAGACTTAGCGGGGACATGGCGACGTAGGGGTTTGACTGTGGTGGCAGAAGCGGAGACACGGGAACGAAGGTCAGCGATGGTGGCATTGGCTTGGGCCTCCCAGGCCTTTGCAACGGAGGTGATGTGAAGAATCTCATCTTCAGCATCAGCGAGGTTCTCGTCAGCGATGGCGAGACTTTCCTGATGTAGTGCCAGGCGATACCGAAGCTCCTCCTCTTCAGCCTTAGACTCCTCTAGCTCGCCCTTGAGAGCAACGAAAACTTCATCGCGGCCCCGGATAGTCTTGGTAGACTCTTCCTGGCATTCGGACAAGGTTTGCAATAGATCGGCAGCCTCTTTGTCAGCTGCTTCGAGTTCCTTGATGAGGCCGATAATGACCTCTTCTTGGGCCGTGTCAATAACGGGTTCGGGGATTTTGGAAGCCTTGATGAAAGCCTCCAAACATTCAGCAATGAGATTATGGGCTTCGGTAAGCTCATCACCGAAGTCTATATCCGTTGGGAGAGGACCATATGTGGTCAAAAATTCTGAAAGACGCTGCAACAACGTATCTTGAGTGGTGTCGGATATGGTCGCGATCAGAGCTAAGCGAGGCGGTGTTGTATTGGTTGGCTGTGGAGGATGCAACCTAAGTGTAACGGGGACTATGGGCGTAGGGACTATGAAGCCAAGGAATACAACCGAGGCGAAGACGTAGACGTAGGAGGGTCGTGGACTATGGACTATGGACTATGGGGCCGAAGGGTACACCTAAGGCAAGAACGGGAACTGTGGACTATGGATGGTTATACCTGGTCTAGTATACCGGGTAAACCATATGACGTAGCGCGAACCAAATAGTATTCGTAGCTGTAAAGTACAGAGGTTGCATAAAGAGAAAAGGAAAAGAAAGAGAAACAAGAATCACGAGACAACGCCCCCCTTATATATCCATACCCTATCCCAATGCTGACTCATACCCTCGCATAACAGAAACAAAAAGAACATAATAGAAACCCACTTCGCTAAACCCAACCACACTGCATAATCCTTCTCCCTTATATCGCAACACCTCGCATACTCAAACCACATAGCTGCCGTTACAGATAACCTCGTCGCGACCTCGGATGATCTCGGTAGAATCTTCCTGGTTATCGCACAAGGTTTGCCAAAAATCGGCAGCCTTTTCGTTGGCTGCTTCTAGTTCTGTGGTGAGGCTGGTAATAACCTCTTCCTGGGCCGTATCGATGACGGGTTCTGATGGCGTGGGGGTGTCGAGAGGCTTGGTGAGAGCCTCCAAACACTCAGCAATAAGACCATGAGCCTCGGTAAGTTCTTCGCCGAAGTCTATATCGGCTGGGAGGGGACCATAAGTGATCAGAAATTCTGAAAGATGCTGCAACAACGTATCTTGAGTGGTGTCGGACATGGTCGCGACTGGAGCTAAGCGATGCGGTGTTGTATTGGTTGGCTGTAGAGGATGCAACCTAAGTGTAACGGGGACTATGGGCGTAGGAACTATAAAGCCAAGGAATACAACCGAGGCGAAGATGTGGACGTAGGAGGTTCGTGGACTATGGACTATGGAGCCGAAGGGTATACCTAAGGCGAGAACGGAGACTGTGGACTATGGACTATGGATGGTTGTACCTGGTCTAGTATACCGGGTAAACCCTATGACGTAGCGCGAACCAAATAGTATTCGTAACTGTGAAGTACAGAGGTTGCATAAAGAGAAAAGGAAAAGAAAGAGAAACAAGAAATCACAAGACAACGCCCCCCTTATATATCCATACCCTATCCCAATGCTGACTCATACCCTCGCATAACAGAAACAGAAAGAACATAATAGAAACCCGCTGTACAAATCCCAACCACACTATACAACCCTTCCTCTTCGTACTCTAACACCTCGCATAACTAAACCAAATGGCTGCCATTACAATAGCTGTGCTTTGGCTGTATTGCATCTCACTGTTTCCAGAATATCCTCGCTGTATGAATTGATAATATGTTCCGCCGAATTGATTTGAGAATTGAGAGGAATAGATACTGATCCAGTTTCCGTTGAACCGGTTTCAAAGAGTCCAGAACCTGAAGGGATAACGCTTCCACGGGCACTCAAGTAGTCACTTTCTGGCTCTAGAGTAGGTATCTGAACTGGAGTAATTGATCTTGAATTTGATTCAAGATTTAGATAGCTGTCGGTATCTGTAATACGTTAGGGAATATAGAGTAGTATCGGGACAGGATTAGACTGTACATAAAGGTGCATTATCCCTATATAAGCTTCTAGGAACTAATGACGTAGGTTCAATATCAAGAATTGATTCTTCAACCTCATCAATAATTGTTGCCAATACTCGTTCACTCAAAGAGAGCTTGTGTGGGTTCATCGGTTGTTTGAAAACAATTTCATATGGTGTAAGTTTTGTTGTTTCATGACGTTGACTATTAATCGCAATACAAATCTCCGGCAAAGCTAAAGACCATTGAGTTGCTCGATTGGAATTGTCGTTAATCCATGCCTGTAACTTTCGCTTAAAGGTTCCATTTGCTTTTTCAATTAAGCCTTGAGACTGTGGATGACGTGGTCTACCATTTATAACCTGAATTCCATAACGTTCGAGTAAAATTAAGAGTGCACCCTTAAACTCTCCCCCATTGTCGCATTGCAAGATTTTCGGAGGCCCAAAATGACTCAACCAATTGGCCATTGCATTTGCAACCTGCTCGCTCTCTTTGGCAGTCAATGCATATGCAGATGAAAACTTACTAAAGTGATCACAGACATGCATTATCCATTTATATCGACCATCTGGTTCCATACTCATATCCATTAGATCCACCTGTGCTCGTTCAAAGAGATTGCCGACCTTAATAGGTTGCAGGGGCCCAGTTGTAGTTTTCGGCTTGTTAGAAATTCTCAAGGGGGTGCGTAGCGGGTATTCCGCAGGGTACGAAGAGTGTAATTGGGGACGGTATGGGAACTCGCAATAGGGGTACTACGGGACTCTAGCGTTGGTAAGGTTCGACGGGACACGGAGGAAGCGAGGCGGTGGTCTTCTTAAAGAAAGAAGAGGACGATAATATTGTATAGCAATGAACAGCATGGATACAGAAGACGTTGCGTAAAGAAAGAAGAAGAAAGAGAACGAAAAGTACAAACAACCCCCCTTAATATACTCAAGGAAATCCCAGCGATGACAAAGTGGAGGCGGCGAGCAATAAATCTTATAGTGCCCTAGAAATTATACCCTTCTTGCTCAACACTGGAGGTATATCTATGAAGATCACAGAGGCAGTTCTGGTGACGGCGGCGAGCAACGAATCTCTACACGCCCAAGATGTTATAGCCTTATTGCTCAAGAGTGGAGGTTTGAAAATAAAAATCACAGAGGCGGTTCTGGTGGCGGCGGCGAGCAACGAACATGAGAACGCCACAAGACTTACTGCCTTATTGCTCAACCATGATAATCCGAATGTCAAGACCACGGAGACGGTTCTTCCGGCGGCACCTAATACTCCTTCTGAATCTCAAGACCTACTAATAATGTCACAATCCGGGATTACACCACCTCCTACTCAGGCTGCGCAGGCCTCATCCTTCCCCACCGATAATGGTATCGAACCTACAGAGCTGATCCTTCTGGCGGCTCTGGGAAACACGAGCTACAGGTATGCTAGGAGTCTGACAACTTTGATACTCAAACATTCAACCAAAAACCCCAACATCACCAGGGCTATACTCGTAGCGGCGGTGAATTAATCCTCAGATCTAGATCTCATAGACCTATTTCTCCAACCCCCGAATGATAACGTCGAGATTGCCGATATCGTGCTTCTAGCTGCGGCTGGACACGAGAAGTGGCACGTGCTGGAACTCCTGTTTAGGAAATGCGCGCGAATTAAAATCAGAGAAGGTATACTCTGCGAGATGAGCCAGCATTCGTCGATGACACCGCTTATGTTAGATTTGCTGCGGCAAAAAGCACAAGTGACCGAAGCCATAGATGAAAATGGAGATATCACAACAAACAGTACTCATGCCCTAGCATTGCAGACCGCGCCTACTTTGGCTGCTGGTGAACAATGATCGGGATGTAAGAAATCTACAGACCTTCTCGTAAGTGCGCTAGAGAAAACGATGCATGCCAATGACCTCTTGTCGGAAACCGCTGATAGTAAGAAGGGAATAAACGAACTTACGACGACAAAGGGTAAATGTTGACGTTTCTCCCGGGTTCCTTTTTGTTAAAATTTCTTCAGCATTTAGTATGCCGCAGCAACTAAGACCTCCGCCTTTGATGAGAGAATCGAATGCGACAATTCTCTCCTCGTTCTGTTAACTTTTTTTCTTACATTGTGCCTTTCGCTGATTTATCTTTAACCATTATGACAAACAATACCATTTGGTCATTGAAATATGTTCCCGACTCTGGTATATCTCTGTGGAGAAACAAGCGGATGCCAATCGATTTTCCTAAACTGGCCTCCAGGAGCGCTTTCTCATGGCGATGAAAACTTTACAAATTGACCAACAACCGTTTGCATGCAATTAATAAATTAAGAAAAAAAAAAAAAAAAAGACCAACAACCGTCATGCCATATCACTCGTTGTAGTGGTTCCTTGGCGCCAAGCGACCTCTGAGCTATGTAATGCCCATTTTGGAGAGACTTGAAATCCTCTGTGCGTATTCCTTGGTCTAATGTCAAAAAGCAGCATAATATAACTATTTACAATTTACGTCTGAAATGTGGAGAAGGCAATTGGGAGGTTCTGGGGTCATTGTGTGATATTGTCATAGCTTTTAGGCTGCATACAATTCATGAGTTGAAAATCGCTTCGGCTCACTATTCTGCCGCTGCTATTGGTAATATTGTTGGTCAGAGGTTACAGCTGGTTGACAATATGAAACTTTGAGTCTTTTTATAGTGGTGATCTCAGAGGTAATACCTACATAGCGTTTCATTCGAGAACTTCCGGTTAGGGTTAGGGTTAGGGTTAGGGTTATCAATCCTAATCACAACTCTTGACACGTTTTATTTTTAATTCATTGATTGCATACAACCTCAAAGTTATAGAATATTGCACTAAACCCCTGAACTTCTCATCTGCCTCCACTACTTCTCAAAAAACATAATTTAAATCAAAAACAGATGAAAGTCACTAAACCTCGTCCCTAAATCTTCCCCATCCATATCCCATTTCTCTCCTTTCTTTTCCTCCATCCTCAGCTCTCCCCCCCTTTTCACTTTACTATTTTGTAAACTGATTTCAGATTTTTAAGGTCGCCTCGATGTATTTGTTTTTTCAGAATAGTTCCACAATGGTATTATGATCGCTATTATCTACTCGAGTTTCCGTTGTCACGTTGCATTCTGTCAGAATGTGTGATACACTATGCTCTCCGTCACTGCACTCATAGTCAGGTGAGTTTCTCTTCTTGATTCGATGTAGGTATTTATTGATATTGATATATCCGGTTCGTAGCTGGCTGATTATCACTCTGTCCCTTCAGTCTATTGGTTCGAACCTGATCAAGTATCTCTCTGAGAGTTTGTGTTGCGCATTTTCTTCATTTCCCCGAGTTATCCATTTCTTTTCTCAGTCTCAAATTGTTATCTCTCTTGATTCTCTTTGTAAGTACACAAATGACATAAAGCTGTCCTTGTCGATCCTTCCCCTTTTGACCAAGTTTTTTGATACTTTGTCCGCTTCTCGAATCCCTTTTATACCACCTATATGCGCTTTCACTTATTTGAGTCGGATTTGTGTATTTTGTGTTTTGCCCGCATTATATAACCATCAAATTTCGTGTGTCATCATTCTCTAATGGGACGGGGTTCTAGGGCAAGGACGTAGGCAGGTACCGAGATAGGAATCGACTCTAGATACATTCTAGGAGAAGGACAAGGGACTGGGCTGACTACCGATCGAAACAGAATAGAATTTTACTAACAAACAGAATGAAGACGTTGGGTAAAAAAGAAAGAAAGAAAAGTACAAACAGTAAGAACGAAGTTTCATGTATCGATTAGTGAACACACTGGGTTACGAAGAGTTGGATTAGTCAGAAAGGTTCTATTGGGTTCTACCAGGTTCTGTTGATCGTTAATGTATGAGTCACGTTGGATTTGTCATCGCTAGGATTTCCTTGGGTATATTAGGGGGGTTTGTTTGTATTTCTTGTTCTTTTTCTCTTTCTTTCTTTACGCAACGTCTTCTGTACCTACGCTGTCTAGTTACTATACAATATTATCTTCCTCTTCTTCATTCGAGAAGACCACCACTTCGCTGCCTCTTGTCCCGTTGACCTTTACCGACGCTATAGTTCTTAAGGACCCATATTGCGAGTTCCCACACCGACCTCTACCACCCCATTCGTACCCTGCGGAATACTCGCTACTCGCCCCCTTGAGATTACGTTGCGTCGTCATCCGCACCGTACGATATGTCTACTCCCGACCCACCTACATGGGCCCCACCCAATGACGTAGAAGAATTCAAGCGGCAGTATGAGGTCGACGCTACCGAATTATTTAAAAACATCGCCGTCCTTGTCCAACGCATCCGCCTCCAGAGGGATACCCTTAGCACACAATTCGCCGTCACCAATGAAACCATTGACAACCTTGAGGAGCAGGTAACCCTGCTCAACCTCGGCCTCAATGTCGCTCGTGCCGCCCCAGCCCCTACCATCGCTGTCCCTGTTGCCGCTGCTCCCCCACCCACTACTGTCCCCACCTTCAGGTCCGAAAAGTTCTCAGACTCTGAAAAATTTGATGGCACCCGTATCAAGCTCCCTGGATTCACCACCTAACTCCGAATGAAACTTGAAGTCAACCACGATCGGTTTCGAAACGTGGCAGCAAAAGTCATTTATGCCGTCAGCCGCTTGGAAGGGAGGGCCCTTGACCAGGTCGTTCCACTCGTAAACGCTAACCCTGCTGCCCCCTTTGCCTCCGTCACCAGCTTCATTGCCCACCTGGAAGCCTCGTTTGGGGACCCAGATCACCGGGGTACCACCCGTCGCCAACTCGTCACCCTGAAGCAAGGCAAAGGGGACTTCGCCATCTACTACTCACAGTTCCTCTGTATTGTGGCCTACCTAGATTACAATGAAGGAGCTGAGATCGACGCCCTGGCCGAAGGACTGTCGGAACATCTGAAGAATGCCATTAGATACCGGACAGATAGGCCTAACACTGTAGAGGCATACGCGACCATGTTAATGACAATTGACAACTAGGTTCGGGGCCGTAAAGCTGAACAATGGGCCATCCGTAATACGATGGGATAATTCACCACCCCCGCCGCTGTCGCACACCCATCTCATACTGCCGGATGCCTCGCCACAATGGACCTCTTCGACCTTCAAGCCCATCCCACTCAACACCCTGCCGCCGAACAACGATACACCTTTGTCAACGGACAACGCAAAACCTCTGCCGCTGAAAAATAATGACGGAGTGACAACAATCTCTGTATGTACTGCGTCAACCCCGGCCATGTCTTCGCCAACTGCCCCTCTGCCAATCACCTGCGCGGTAATCAACTGGTTGTGAGGGGCGCCCTCCTCGGATCCGCTCATAACGCCGCCGACCCCACTGCCCCACCGATCGCTAGCCCTACCTCTTCCAAGTCGGGTTTTCAGTAGTCCCGGGCTTGATCAATGGCCCCTGCCTGGGACCTTCCAATGTTTCTCCTTTATCTCCGTTCTCTATCTGTGGCTTCTCAGTATCGTCTGTGGAGGATAAATTGGATGGGGATCATTTTGTTGCTTCGTGTAAAATTGTAAACAATAAAATATCCATTCAAACCTACGCATTAATTGCTACCGGTTGCTCCGGGTTCGAATTCATTGATGAAACATTCGCGCGCTATAACAAACTCCCATTTCTGCCCCTTAAATCACCCCGTACTCTTGAAGTCATCGACGGACGGCCCATATCCTCCGGACAGATTACCCACCTCTGCTACCTACCGCTATCAATTGACTCCCACCATGAAACTATCCCCTTCTTCGTCACCAAACTCGTCTCATATCCACTCGTACTCGGAATTCCTTGGCTTCAATTACACGACGCTACATTACGGTTTAAGGACAATAGCATACTGTTCGACTCCGAATACTACAAGCGCAAGTGCAACTCCTCCACAATACCCGTTCCCATTAGAGGGATTGCACCACCACCCCGTTTCCACCTCGTCAGTTCAGCTGCTCTCTGCCACTTCACTCGAAGGGACAAGCTCCAGATCTTCAGCACAACTATCAAAGAAATCGACCAAGCTATGAGTGAGGCCCCTAAAGGAGATTGGAGGAACGGAGTCCCAATCCAGTACAAGAAGTTCCACGAGATGATGGACGAGAATTTCGCTAACAAAATGCCGCCTCGCCACCCCTATGATCATAAGATACCGCTTAAGGAAGGTAAAGAGCCCCCGTTTGGGCCACTTTATGGTATGTCCCGTGAAGAACTTATCGTACTTAAGCAGTACATCCAGAACAACCTTAAAAAGGGCTTTATTCAGGCCAGCTCTTCCCCCGCCGGCGCTCCTGTCCTATTTGTTAAAAAGGTTGATGGAACACTCCATCTCTGTGTCGATTACCGTGGCCTCAATGAACTCACCATCAAAAACCGCTACCCGCTCTCAAGGGCGTGAGTAGCGAGTATTCCGCAGGGTACGAAGAGCGTAATAGGGGACGGTATGGGAACTTCGCGATAGGAATCCTACAGGACTCTAGCATTGGGAAGGTTCGACGGAACAAGGAGAAAGCGAGGCGTTAGTCTTCTTAAAGAAAGAAGAGGACGATAATATTGTATAGCAATAGACAGCGTAGATACAGAAGACGTTGCGTAAAGAAAGAAGAAGGAGAAAAAGAACGAGAAGTACAAACAACCCCCCTTAATATACTCAAAGAAATCCCAGCGATGACAAATCCAACATGACTCATACATTAACAACCAACAGAACCCGGTAGAACCCAATAGAACCTTTCTGACTAATCCAACTCTTCGCAACCCCGTATATCCACTAGTCGATCCATGAAACCGCTGCCGCTTATCCGGGAAACTCTCGACCGCCTCTCCAAAGCCAAATGGTACACCAAACTGGACCTTCGCCAAGGGTATAACCAAATCCAAATGGCCGAGAGTGAAGAATGGAAAACAGCCTTCCGTACGCGTTATGAGCATTTTGAATATATGGTGATGCCCTCCGACCTTACCAATACACCGGCCACCTTCCAACACTTCATTAATGATTGCGTCCGTGACTACCTTGATATGTTCTGTACAGCCTACCTTGACGATATTCTTATCTATAGTGACACGTTCGAGGAATATCAACTACATGTCAAAAAGGTCCTGGAAGCCCTACAAAGGAATGGAGTACTGCTGAAACCAGAGAAATGTGAATTTCATACATAAAGCACCAACTACCTTGACCTCATTATCGAACCCAGTGGCATTAAAATGGATCCAAGGAAAGTGGAGACAGTAAAGAATTGGACGGTCCCCAAAACAGTTAAGGATGTGCAAGCGTTTCTAGGTTTCGCTAACTTTTACCGTCGATTCATACGCGGATTCTCGGAACTGGCTTCTCCCCTTACCAGACTGACACGTCAGGACATATCATTTGAATGGACACCCGAAGCTCAAACTGCCTTCAACGCCCTGAAAGAAGCCTTCACCACGGCTCCCATTCTTACTCACTTTGACCCGGAGAAAGAAATTACTGTGGAAACCGACGCATCTGACTATGTCTCTACCAGTGTACTCTCCCAATATGATGACAATTGTACACTCTGACCCATCGCATACTTCTCAAAAAAGCACTCCCAAGCCGAATGCAACTACGAAATTTACGACAAGGAATTACTGGTGATTATTCGATCTTTTGAGGAATGGCGACCGGAGCTTGAAGAGGCTGTACACCCAATCACCGTCATATCCGATCATAAGAATCTCGAATACTTTATGAGTACTAAACAACTCAACCGGAGACAAGCATGGTGGGCGGAATATCTGTCACGGTTTAATTTTGTCATTAAGTACCGACTAGGGAAACAAGGAGGGAAACCGGACACGTTGACAAGAAGATCAGGAGATCTCCCTGGAGAGTGGGATGAAAGACAATTACATCACGGTCAAGTTGTATTGAAGAAAGAGAATCTTGACGCAAAGCTAAGTTTGTTGGCGGGTTCTTTCTCAAATGAGCCCGCTGAAAAGAACGCCTCACTGCATGGACTATTCGATGAAGGATATAGCGCTGACCCGTTTCCACAAAAGATACTGGATATGCGGAACAAAGGTGAACGACAATCAAAGGAAATATCACTCGCCGAATGCACCGAGGTTGAAGGCTGATTCCTTTACCGAGGCAGCATATATGTCCCTGATTACGACCCTCTTAAGCTCCGAATCCTCCAACTTTACCATGACGCTGCCTCCGCTGGACACCCGGGACGCGAAAAAACATTCGAACTCGTCAGTTGAGACTACTACTGGCCCCTTATGCAGGATTATATTGCCTACTACGTTCGGAACTGCCACACCTGTCAACGAAGCAAGCCCAATAACCATGGAAAACTCGGCGTACTTCGACCTTTCCCGATTCCCGAACAACCATGGCAGGAGGTATCAATGGACTTCGTTACTGGCCTACCGGAGAGTGAAGGGTACGATACAATTATGGTAGTTGTTGACCGGTTAACAAAAATGCGACATCTCCTGCCCTGTAACACAACTGTCAACTCCGAAGACGTCGCCCAACTATACCTGCGAAACATATGGAAGCTCCACGAGCTACCCACTCACGTCACCTCCGACCACGGTACGCAATTTACAGCCAAGTTTTGGAAGGCTCTTTGTAAACACCTCGACATCGAAGCAAGAATGTCCATCGCCTTCCAACCGGAGATCGATGGCCAAACTGAAAGGCTAAATCCCGTAATGGAGCAATATCTACGTGGGTATATCTCTTATCAACAGGACGATTGGGTAAAATGGCTCCCTATGGCAGAATTCTCTACCAACAATCAGGTCTCCGCATCCACCAAAGCAACACCATTCTTCGCTAACTATGGTTTCCACCCCCGGTTCACAATAACGATTAAATCGCTTGATAGGACCCCACCAAGTCTTAATGCTAAAGACTTCACCTCGAAGATGAAAGAACTCCACGAACACCTACGTTCCAATATCTGCACGGCGCAAGACCAGCAAGAGCAGGCCGTCAATACCAAACAAATGCCGGCTCCGCGGTACGATATCGGCGATACGATGTTTGTTTCAGCAAAAAACATCCGAACCACCCGTAACTCCCGGAAGTTGGACTGGAAGAAACTGGGACCGTTCCCCGTCAAAGAAACCATATGGCCATATGCGTACTGAGTCGACCTGCCTAGAAGTATGAAGATGCACCCCATCTTCCATGTATCATTATTAGACCCCGCTGCAAATGATCCTGTCCCGGGGCAAATTCAACCACCACCCCCGCCTATCATCGTTGAGCAGGAAGAGGAGTATGCAGTCGAGGAAATCTTGGACTCGCTGGAAACAAGAAATAACGGCCTGCAATATTTTGTTAAATGAACAGGCTATACCGACCCTACTTGGGAACCCGCCACATACGACGATAACACCGCCGCCGTTGATGTTTTCCATGCACGTTACCCTAGCAAACCTGGACCATTGGAAGGAAAAATTAAGGTTAAGGCTCGCAGGAGCTCGCGCTTGAAGGGAGGGGCTACTTTCATGGATCGATTAGTGAATACACTGGGTTACGAAGAGTTGGATTAGTCAGAAAGGTTCTATTGGATTCTACCGGGTTCTGTTGATCGTGAATGTATGAGTCACGTTGGATTCGTCATCGCTAGGATTTCCTTAGGTATATTAGGGGGGTTTGTTTGTATTTCTTGTTCTTTTTCTCTTTCTTTCTTTACGCAACGTCTTCTGTACCTACGCTGTCTAGTTACTATACAATATTATCTTCTTCTTCTTCATTCGAGAAGACCACTGCTTCGCTGCCTCTTGTCCCGTTGACCTTTACCGACGCTATAGTTCTTAAGGACCCATATTGCGAGTTCCCACACCGACCTCTACCACCCCCTTCGTACCCTGCAGAATACTCGCTCCTCGACCCCTTGAGATGAAGCCTCAAATATAAACCCTAAAAAATAACGCAATAACTAATCCTCGTAACCAAACCTAAACAAATATCAAACAAATATAATAACATCCCACAACTGATCCCAATCCTTCTCCCTATAACCTAACCCGAAGTGCTTACCGCTTACTGTATCCCCGAGCACCTTCCTAATATATCCAACCTAATCGAAGCCATCCTGATCTTTCACCTAACAACCTCTCAAGGGGGCGAGTAGCGAGTATTCCGCAGGGTACGAAGGATGTAGTAGGGGCCGGTGTGGAAACTCGCAATAGGGGTCCTTAGGGACTTCGGCGTCAGTAAGGGTCAACGGATAAGGAGAAGCGAGGCGATGGTCTTCTTGAGTAACGAAAAGGAAGATAATATTGTATAGTAATAGACAGCATAGATATAGAAGACGTTGTGTAAAGAAAGAAAGAAAGAAAAGAACAAGAAATAAGAATGAACCCCCCTTAATATATCCAAATGAAATCCCAGCGATGACAAATCCAAAGTGTCTCATATACTAACAACCAACAGAACCCGGTAGAACTCAATAGAACCCTTCTGACTAATCCAACTCCTCGTAACCCAGTGTATTCACTAGTCGATCCATGAAACAACCTGATTCCGTAGCGTTCTCGTCGGCAGAGTAGGTGGGAGCGGTCGAGCCGTGATACATTCCTCCTGATAATGCTTATCTTTTCTTTATCTGCTTTATCACTTCTTGACTATTGCACCTTATCGTTACCACTCGTTTCCTTTCTCTTGCTACATCTTTCAATCAGATTTCTATTGTTTTTTTAATTCCGACCATTTCCGCATTAATAATTTCCATGTTCTTCTTTTCTTTCTTCTTGTCTCTTTTCCTCATATCCATCGTTGTCGAGCTTCCTGATATCTATCGTAATCTCTTCTCTGGCTTTTCGTTCCCATTTTCTTTCCCTCTGATATAGATTTTTCCAATCCTCCATCTTTTTCCAGTCCTTTCCTTCTTTTCCCATCAATCTCTCTAGATTTTTAACTGCCCCTTCCATTCCTCGTTTCCTATTCGTTTTCCTTCGCCTGCCTCCCCTCCATATATCGCTTTCTTCGACGAAGGTGCTAATAACTCTTGACACATCATACATGTATATAAGCCTTGAAGGTGAGATAATAAGGTGTAGGGACAGCTTCTAGAAGCCTCGAGCTTTTAAAATCAAGCGGTGTATAAAGCTCTCAAGCTAACTAGATTCGTGAGGTTAGCTGCTCAACAGTATTGGATGCCTTCCCATAGCAATGGAACACGTTCTATTGCCAGATAGACTAGTTTTTGAGTTTCTATTGAATAGAACAGGGATCTCTTTTTTTTTTTTTTTTTCAGAGCTCCCCTTCCGGGGGGGGGAGGGGGAGGGTCAATTTATTCGATTGATATACTTCTATCTATTTTCTATCCGTTGTAATAGAGAGATCTAGAACATCTTACTAGCATGTAAAATAGTTCAAAAAGATGGCTTCATGATGCCCAATTTATATTAGGGGCCGATTTGATCTTTAGGAGTCTGTAGAAACTACCATATGCTTACGGAACCTGGTTTATTCGAAAACCAGGGCCATCTTCTATTACAACAAAACATATTCTATTGCTTACGGGAAGGCGTCCACCACTAGGCGGAGATAAATCCAAATATATGGGGGTGAAACGCCGCTATACTTGAACTGGGTGCGGAAATATTGGATCCCTGGATAAACAAATATAAAGTTTGATAAGGTCCTCGTTTTCCTTTTTCCTAGTCTCGATAAGTTTTAGACGTTGAGTGAATCCTCAACAATTTGTCCATTCCCTGGTTTCAAGGGAGAACTAGCTAGATATTTCAATCCCTAATCAGCGAGTAGGCCCAATGCCTTCCTTCGACTGTAGAGCGCATGAAGAGATCCGGATAGGACATACCTCAAGGTACCACCCGTTATGCGTCTGAAGCTGTAGAATGCCCGGTCTGGAACATATATGAGCACGTACGAGGGAGTGCTTTCGCCACATCTGAGTATCTAGGGCATATGGTGGCGTGTATTAACAGGAGCCCTCTCACCTTGTGAACTCATGTACGCCGGCCACCATTCCATGTCAGCGGCTACTGAACCTCTTGACTGTTGCGAAGACTCTCGACCTTTTGGGCCACCCAGGTAGCCGGAAAGGAAGATTGCCGGAAGCGGTCTGTATAAGCGGCCGCACCTACCAAGCTTCCAGTCAGTAGAGCGTGAAACCAAGATGTTTCGATCCAGCCATGGATAGCCTCCAGATTTCCGCATACGTCAAATAAACATCACGTTTGTACGCGAGTATAATGATAAGATTACCCTTTCCCGGTTGGCCTCGAAGTACGTCCGGCATACTCAATCTGAGCTTTTGTGTGAAACTATCTAATGCCGGCATAGTGCAGGGGTGTGAGCTAACGCGCTCAACTACATGTAGGCTTCCTCGCCCTTTAGGTATTGACCCGGCATTGGAGTTTCAGCAAGGGTTAATTGAACAGACATTAATCGTGCTATATTATCAGTATTCGGAACCTGCCGCAAGCTCGATCGATATGACCAGCTAGGAAGGTGACTGTCACTGTATACATCTTGGTCTTAATTAAGCTTCTATCCTTAGCACCGGTAAGCGTCAATACCTCGCGGAACACACCACTACTATATTTTGAACTCGTTCGATCCCCTGGCTTGCACGGTCGCTGCTGAGAGCGCTTGCATGGGAGCTTAGCTTGATGTGAGAATTGATCCGTATGACATGCGAAAATGTTAATTAGGTAATCTTCAGCGAGTGATGACCTGTGACCGAGTGATTCGACATGACTCGGGAATGCACGCGGGCATGGCAAGCTCTGTTCCGAGGTGCGGCCGGTGTATTGCCTAGGTCAAGCATCAAGGACGTGGCTGAGTTACTGAACCTTTCCAAGTCGGGTGAAACGCCGCATTATGCAGAAGGCTACATGTCGTGGCGGATCCCTTTCGCTAGTGGAAGGGGCCGGTTTTGAGGGTCGGTCAACAGTGCACGGCACGGCAACCACGGCCGCGGCCATTCAGACACAGCGGGCATAACAGAAAGCCGACACGCAAGCCTTCATTCAACTTGGTTCCGAGACTTAAGGGGGTTTTGAGATGGTTTCAATCAGTCTACTTGAGTGTGCTGCTGCTCCCTAAAGATCAAGACACCCACATGGATCCTACGCTTAGCCCAGGAGATTTCCTGTTTCCTCGATCATTGACTGCTGGTTCGGGTAGCTTTTGAATGTGAATCAGCATGGCACCAGGATAGCGCGTGTTACTACCACCTCTTAATGATAGTTCAACCACCAGAGCAAGGGGTTGTGTCCGGTACCTGAAGTTGAAGTCGGAGTCATCGAATTGTGATGATGCATACATCCATGTATGTCGATCGGAGCTTTACTCTCTGAAACGTGAGCAATACCGGGAATGGGGTATCGTAGGTTTCCAAATTATTACACTGGGCAAAAGCAAACGTCATGCACAACCAGTAATTATAACAGTAGTGTTGTTGAAAATTATTTGGCGAGCTGTACTTCGAATGAGACGTTTACACTACACGTATCAACACATCCGTTCGCTTTGTAAATACAACAAGTTACTACATACATACATGTACTAGGGTGTAGCGAAAAGTGATCAGAATCTGATAAGACAAATACACGTATTCATCGCAACATTTACTTATCAGATTCTGATCACTTAGCCACAACACCCGGCACATTACGCGTACGTTCTATGCCGAAATACATGTACATGTAGTTCCTCCTATATATGTACATCCCTCCTTGATGCCTATTCAAGTTTCCATCCGTTGGCCGTAACAATGAGCTGAGGTGTTAACCCATTCCGACAACCTTTGCTCGTCGCACGGCTAACTCACCCTGCGGGGCGAACCTCTTTAGAATCTAGGTCACCGTTTGTCATCTCTTCTCCGATAGACCCACTCCTAGTGACTGTCAAATTTATGAATATCACCACGCCGCTTTTTCAGTAATTACTATGGATCATCACGGCCAAGCGATGTGACCTGATATCAGCCAGTCATCCTCAGGGTTAGGGGTAGATTTGTATATAACCTACCTGGACAGAGTTTCTTGCGGAGTTTGCACGGTCGTCTTATGATCTTACCCCGCAGTGGGATGGGAAGTGCCGCAGATGCAGTAGAGCGATTATTTACCCCTGGACAGTGATCGGATAAAAAGTAAGATGCGGGGAAAGATCTACTTCAGCTGGAAAATTCAAAAACCTGCAGATCTATGGCCCCATATCGCCAATTGGAGGATAGTTTTGATTAAGAAAGGGCCCGTGAGGATGCTAGAGAGTGTCCGGCTTCCATTAAGGTAATGCCGCACCTATGGAGGGAGCACTGGAGAGCAACTCTCTGTCGTTATATCAGGTACATGTTAATTGCTTGAACTTTCAAAGCTGGATAGACGATTACGGGATCGACGACATGAAAAGATCTATCGATTGACTTTAGGCTCATAAGTCTGTATTATACAGTACTGCTATTCCAATACAGAACAGTGGACTTGCAATTGCCACTTAGCCTCTTCCCCAAGAGAAAAAAAAAGAAAAAAGAAAAAAAAACGTCTGGACTGCAAAGTAAAGAACTCCACCTACATGTACAGCGCCGGACAGTCAAAATCAACCCTCATGTTCTTTTCAAGCCAGAAACTAGTCCTAATCGGGAAATAATGATCATCTAATCATCCCAATAGGGTAAGAATTATCCCAATTAATCTGGCCGCCTTGGCATAAAGTTATTAAAGTTATTATTTCACAGCTATGTTTTTTTCGGGCAGATTGCACCAAATGTTTGAGAGGTCATAGTGCAGCCAGTTCTTAATTATTTTAAATCCCCTTTCATGGGGATGTTTACAACCATGATTAGACCCATTTTACAAAAGAACATTATTTCTGGACAAGTGTTGCGTTGTTGAAAGTCGATGGGGTGAAGGGGAGTCGGGGGTTGCTCTGGCCGGCTGGTTCTGGCTGTCCGACACCGTACCTTATCTCACAGTATGATCATCCCAATATTGCGAGGTGCATCCTGTGCTGCCATCGGCGTCTCGCGAAAGCTTATCTCCGAACCGCGTATGTAGAAGGATCATGCATTGAAAGTATTCTACATATTCAATAACAGCCGAGTGCTACGCGAGAATGTTTCGTTTTTAGAGACATGCATGTAACCGCTGCTAAGAGGACGTCTCAATAGAGTATTCCAGGGAATCCCTGTAAGCGAGGGGGGAATCCATGCAGCCAAGATTGAAACACTCACGGACAGAGATATGCACTTGGGCAGAGGAAGATCCTGCAGCTACGATACTCTACTCTAGAACATCCCGAGATTCACTTGGGACGGAGGTTTCTTCACTGTTTATTTACGAGAACGTGACACGTCACCTGCAGAGGTGACTACATACATGTACTTGCTTGGTAGAGAGACGACGTAAGAGAACTTGCCCTCGATCCTCCAGAACAGCCATCCCCCACTCACACACAGCTCGATTGGTTGATATTCGACGAAGAAAGAAGTTTAGCTCGAGGTGTAAGGAATCCAGGATATTCTCCTCTTCGATTTAGTTGTCCGCTGAGCGGAGAGCGGGGGTGTTGCTGTGAAGGTACGGTCATTTAATTCCTCACTATTTGCACTCAGGAATAACCAAAAAAGTATTGGAAAATTAAAGTAAACCATAGGGCTATAGCATGCCAGACAAAAGGTCAACGAACATGTGCTCAACGATTTACGTCACCTACCATCACTCGTACTTCTCGAGAGGAGGTTCCGAACCGAAGCTCCGAAATGTCCAGTCTCGTATCCATCCGTATATGTTCTCAGCGCTACTATAACTCCGCTTAGAGCACATAGGTTTTATTCGCCAGATCAAAATAACGGTATTATTTCGAAATGGCTGCGTGGGGCGCATCGTTAAAAGAAAATTATATCCAACCAACGGCTCGAAGCCTCCTTTCCAAACATCAATATATATAATGCGCGCAATATATTTATATTGGATAATGAGCTTCGAGCTTCTACACATGTCATGATAAACCCCCAAGACGTTCTGAGCAGGCAGCAGCCAGGTCGAACACGGCACATCAAGGTAGACCCACAGACAGACATCGATATCTCGCTTTCGTACCAAAGCATTACCAGAGCTTTGATGCATGATATGATACCGGAAGATAGCAAACCGGAACGAAGAGAAGAAGGACTATAGTACTACCTTCTCTACTTGATTTACTCTGGACTAGGCTCATGGCCAGTGACACTTTAACGGAGGCCCTCTTGCATGCTATAGATTCTTTTTAGGAGCGGAGTCTAGGCACTTATACAAGGTATTTGTGACAATGTTGAAGATGCCCCTCTTTACGTCTACATACATGACATATCCGCTGCGCAAATCCTTTTTTTTTTCTTTTTTCTTTTTCTCTTATTTTTCTTTACAGATAAAACATCCTCGGTCAATTCCTCCCCAGGTTTCTAGCATCCGGCTGTGAGGACCAATTCTCTATTTAATCCCCAGAAGACCCTCCAACTTATACCACATTGCTCCCCAACCGTCTACAGATAGCGCTTACTGATACATCACACTTGCAATGGCCGGAAAAACTGATCCCATCAACTTCTGGAGGGCTGAACATGTCTTCTCCGATATCGACAGCTGGGAAAGACCCCAGGAGGTTGAGGAGATTATCACCGACCCACCCGCAGACATCGCCGACCGCAAGCATTGGCATGGCATAACGCTGAAGTTCGTCGGTGGTAAGCTATGTTCGCTCCAGTACATCAGACCTACGGTGTGGAGGATCCGGTTTGATCCTACTGTCTGTTTGGGGAAATGCCAATGCTAAGCGATAGTTCTGTAGCTTTTAAACTTGTAATATGGTAAACCGGATTCCGCTCACTAAGTGACTGATTATGCCACTAAGACGAAACGGAACCCTACCCTATTTATACATGTTGGAACCTATGCCAAGGCCCGCTTTCTAATACTAATGAGATAACGATAATAGAATAAAACAAACAACCCGAAGATGACCCCAATAGAACAGCGCCCCCGCATAGTTCCGTTCCTCCATTCTAATTCCGACACGTAACCATGAACCCCGCAATTGCCAGTAACTGTAACGGGGACTATGGGCGTAGGAACTATGAAGCCAAGGAATACAACCGAGGCGAAGACGTGGACGTAGGAGGTTCGTGGACTATGGACTATGGAGCCGAAGGGTACACCTAAGGCAAGAACGGGGACTGTGGACTATGGACTATGGATGGTTGTACCTGGTCTAGTATACCGGGTAAACCCTATGACGTAGCGCGAACCAAATAGTATTCGTGACTGTAAAGTACAGAGGTTGTGTAAAGAGAAAAGAGAAAGAAAGAGAAACAAGAAATCACAAGACAACGCCCCCCTTATATATCCATACCCTATCCCAATGCTGACTCATACCCTCGCATAACAGAAACAGAAAGACCATAATAGAAACCCGCTTCACTAAACCCAACCACACTGCATAATCCTTCTCCCTTGTACCCAAACAACTCACATAACCAACCCGTCTAGCTGCCGTTACAGACCACTCCCCCCTCTAAGGCCTACCTCCTGGTAGGCTTAGGCTTCCGTGGATATCGTTTGTGAAATCGTTTAACAATATCGGGCGAATGTTCGACATCCGACAATGGCTGCCACGAAGCTTCATCATAACCGGCATACTTAACCAAGTATTCAAATCTTCCCCGACAATCCCTGGAATCCAAAATATCCTCGACTTCCCACTCCTCCTGTCCTTCAACTTCGACCGGCGGTGGTGGTAACTGTTGTTGTCCTGGTAAAGGATCGTTTGCTGCAGACGACAATAAAGAGACATGGAATACGGGATGAACCTTCATAGACCGGGGAAGTTCCAGCTCGTAGGCATAGGGATTAACGATTCGCTTAATGGCATACGGCCCAATACGCTTCCAATCGAGTTTCTTCGACGGTCGTTTGGTAAGGACATGGCGGGTCGATAAGAAAACTTTATCCCCCACACGATAGTGAGGTGCTGGAGTTCGTCGTATATTAGCCGATTCTTCCTGAATTCTTTGCGCTCGAAATAATTCATCCTTTAGGAGATCTAATATATCCTTCATCTCCCTTGCAATACTGTTAGCCTGATCTTCCGCCGTCGTCCTACCATATTCCAAGGGACCAAAAGTCATTCTTGGATTCCTCCCCGAGTTGGCGTAAAATGGAGAGATTCTCGTTGTTTCAGAAGCATGGTTGTTTGTTGCAAACTCGGCCATTGGCAACCATCGAACCCAATCGTCCTGTTGATAAGAAACATAACTTCGAAGATATTGTTCCATCACAGCGTTAATTCTTTCTGTTTGTCCGTCCGTCTGGGGGTGAAATGCTGTAGAGAACTTTGGCGATATTTCCAAACGATCGCAAAGGGACCTCCAGAATTCCGCAACAAATTGTGTTCCTCGATCAGATACCATAGTTTCAGGAAGTCCATGTAATTTCCAAACATCATCAATATACAACCTCGCTACTTCTTTTGAATCCGCCTCTTTAGTTGTGGGAATTAGATGTCGCATCTTGGTTAGTCGATCCACTATCACCAATATCGCATTATATCCATCGCTTTCCGGAAGATCAGTAACGAAATCCATTGATACATCCCTCCATGGTCCATCGGGTATTGGCATAGGTCGAAGTACCCCATACGGTGCATTGCGTGGTGCCTTGCTACGAGCACACACATTGCAATTCCTAATGTACTGGTCGACATATTTTCGCATCTGTGGCCAGTAGTACTCTCGATTCAGGAGTTCTAAAGTCTTCGCTCTGCCTGGATGGCCTGCCGATGGTTTGTCATGATGTTCCTTTAGGAGTCTTAGCCGAAGATCGTTGTCATCCGGTACATAGAGTGCGCCACGATAAAGTAGCCGACCGTTATTGTCTTCCGTACATTCGGCAAGCGAAATCTTATTCGAGTAACGGACGCCATTCCGAAGCATTGCAAGGACTTTGTTCGGGAAACTGTCAACTTGGTAAGCATTTAAAAACAACTCTTCTACAGTGGACATTCCTTCAGCGGATTCATTTGAAAAAGAACCCGCGAACAAACTTAGCTTTGCATCCAAATTTTTTCGCTTCAATACCACTTGACTCTGATGGGTCAACCGCTCATCCCCCTTCTTAGGTAGGTCACCCGACCTCCTAGTCAATGCATCCGGCTTTGCTCCTTGTTTCCCTGGTCTAAATTGAATGACGAAATCGAAACGTGAAAGAAATTCCGACCAACGGGCTTGTCGACGGTTTAATAACTTTGTTGACATGAAATATTCGAGGTTCCTATGATCCCTGAGGACTTCGATTGGGAATTGTGCACCTTCCAAATGATGTCGCCATTCCTCAAAACATCGTACAATTGCCAGAAGTTCTTTGTCATAGATTTCATAGTTGCATTCCGCAGGGGAATGCTTCTTAGAGAAGAAAGCGACTGGATGTAAAATTCCTTCGTCGTCACGTTGGGACAGGATTCCAGCAGAAACATAGTCGGATGCATCGGTTTCTACCAGGATTTTCCGATCCGGATCAAAGTGCATTAGTATGGGTGCCGTTGTGAACATCTTTTTCAATGTCTGAAATGCTTCCTCTCCTTCATCCGTCCATTCGAATTTGACATTTTTCTTGGTCAGAGCTGTAAGCGGAGCAACAATTTTTGAATATCCCAAAATAAACCGTCGATAGAAATTTGCAAATCCCAAAAATACCTGAACATCATGGAGATTTCTTGGTGTGGACCATTTTAATACGTCAACAACTTTCTTCGGATCCATCCTATTCCCATCCGGGGTGAGAATAAGGCCGAGATATTTCGTTTCCTGGACCATGAATTCACATTTTTCAGGTTTAAGGTGAACATGATTCTCATCAAGTACCTTCAAAACCTTCTGGACGTGATCTTTATGTTCTGACAAAGTTTCCGAATAAATTAGGATATCATCCAAATAAGCCGTAACAAATTGATCGAGATAAGGCCGTAGGATATCATTAATCCAATGTTGAAAGGTGGCGGGGGCGTTGGCTAATCCGAACGGCATTACTGTATACTCGAAATGTCCATATCGAGTTCTAAATGCCGTTTTCCATTGGTCTCCCTCCGCTACCCTGATCTGATTGTATCCCCAACGTAAATCCAACTTAGTATAGTACTGTGCCTTCGAAAGTTTAGCCAAAGTTTCCTTTAACAGTGGTAACGGATACCGATTTTTGACCGTGATCGCATTGAGGCCTCGGTAATCCACACATAGCCGGAGAGTCCCATCACTTTTCTTTACGAATAGTATAGGTGCTCCCGCCGGTGATTCACTGGCCCGAATAAATCCTTTGGGTAAGTTCTCATCAAGATATTCCCGTAGTGCTTTCAATTCAGTCTGCGATAGGCCATAGATGGGTCCATACAGTGGTCGTTTACCCTCTTCCAAAATTATTTCAATATCATGGGAGGGTCGGTGAGGTGGAAGGACTGAGGCATCGTATTCTTTAAACATGGGAAGGCGATGGTGAAATTCCTTTGGTACGAGTTGCTTGACGTCGGTGGTGGATTTCTCAACTGCTGAAACGACAACAGTATGATGTTCCGGTAGAGGGATCGATATTCCATGGACAGTAACTGCAGTTCCACTGAGTGAACAGTGTTTAACACAGTCCCGAGAATCAAAAACAAGTAGATTATCCTTTGGCCGAATGGTGACATCGTGCCGTCGCATCCACGGTATTCCCATCACGATCGGATAATGTCCCAACTTTGTAACGAAACATGAGGCAATTTCTCGGTGGCCATGAATATCTAGTAAAACATCGACAATGTGGGTAATTTCTCCTGACTGGATAGGTCTTCCATCCATAACATCTACCTGGCGAGGTTTCCTAAGAGGGGTCATTGCAAGATTGTTGTGACGTACGAAAGATTCATCGATAAAAGCATATCCTGATGCTCCAGTATCAATGAGAGCGTAGGTGGGAATGAAAGAGTCGGGATTCTGAGAGACCGAACAGGTGACAACAAGAGAGTCTTCGGACATCTTATCCTCGGACACAGCAGCAGCAGTAGGGAGAACAGAAACAGGTGGCGGGGCTGGCCCCTTTGGTTTGCCATTTTTTACCAAAGGGGCTGACCTTTTAACGCCGGCTTTGGGGACCCATTTTCAAGTGGCCTTTCTCGCCAATTGCTAATGGAACGGGGATCTTTGGCGCAAGGAGCTAGGTAACGAGGCTTGGAGACATGGCAAGATTTAACTGTAACGGTGGAAACGGAGATACGAGAACGAAGGTCAGCAATGGTGGCATTAGCTTGGGCCTCCCAGGCCTTTGCAACAGAGGTAATGTAAAGAACCTCATCTTCAACATTAGCGAGGTTCTCATCAGCGATGGCGAGACTTTCCTGATGTAGTGCCAGGTGATACCGGAGCTCCTCCTCTTCGGCCTTAGACTCCTCAAGCTCTCCCTTGAGAGCAACGATAACTTCATCGCGGCCCCGGATAGTCTCGGTAGAGTCTTCCTGGCATTCGGACAAGGTTTGCAATAGTTCGGCAGCCTTTTCGTCAGCTGCTTCGAGTTCCTTGGTGAGGCCGATAATGACCTCTTCTTGGGCCGTGTCGATAACGGGTTCGGGGATTTCGGAAGGCTTAGTGAAAGCCTCCAAACATTCAGCAATGAGATTATGGGCCTCGGTAAGTTCATCACCGAAGTCTATATCCGCTGGGAGGGGACCATATGTGGTCAGAAATTCTGAAAGGCGCTGCAACAGCGTATCCTGAGTAGTGTCGGACATGGTCGCGACCAGAGCTGAGCGAGGCGATGTTGTATTGGTTGGCTGTAGAGGACGCAACCTAAGTGTAACGGGGACTATGGGCGTAGGAACTATGAAGCCAAGGAATACAACCGAGGCGAAGACGTGGACGTAGGAGGTTCGTGGACTATGGACTATGGAGCCGAAGGGTACACCTAAGGCAAGAACGGGGACTGTGGACTATGGACTATGGATGGTTGTACCTGGTCTAGTATACCGGGTAAACCCTATGACGTAGCGCGAACCAAATAGTATTCGTGACTGTAAAGTACAGAGGTTGTGTAAAGAGAAAAGAGAAAGAAAGAGAAACAAGAAATCACAAGACAACGCCCCCCTTATATATCCATACCCTATCCCAATGCTGACTCATACCCTCGCATAACAGAAACAGAAAGAACATAATAGAAACCCGCTTCACTAAACCCAACCACACTGCATAATCCTTCTCCCTTGTACCCAAACAACTCACATAACCAACCCGTCTAGCTGCCGTTACAGTAACCGAGCTGTATCATGCTATTATCCTAGAGCTACTTCCCTAAGTAGAATGGCCTGCAGCTATAAGCCCCGCTTTTATTCCGTTCCGGGTGAGACACCCAATAGTAAGTGTGCCCTCATAACAGCCTAATACTAGTGTGGTTGCACCCGGTGGCCCCACACCCCTCGGTACCTTTCTATGCTGGTTCCCTCGTTACCCGACCGTACTCCCATCACAACCCATCACTCGTATTATCCTTGTTTCTTAACTTAGGAGCAATATTCGTGTTTCCTATAACACTACTCCCCCTTCCTAGACGTCGCCCTCGACCGTTAAAACCTCTCTATGATAAAAACCCTGTGGGAAAAGTCATAGAGTAGGAAAGGTATCGAGCTAGTCTTCCTTAGTCCGTTGTCGTTTCGGAGGCCGACTCGAGTCGATGACTGACCCTTGACTCCGCGTATGGGGCCAAGTGTTCGTGACCGGTTTGAAGTTCTCATCTAAGAGTGCCTCTTGGGGTTCGGGTGTTGCGAGTCGTTTTCGTGTGTTCTGTTGCCTGCCCGGGTTGGGATCCTCTCGATAAGGTCTCAGCAACATCTCGTGGAATACGTCATGAACCTTCCATTCTACCGGAAGATTCAATCTATAGGCCCTATTTCCTACAGCCGCGGCGACCTCGAAGGGGCCTGTAAACTTGTCCGACCATTTATTGTAACCGCCGAGGTTCCGAGTATCCAGTAGAACCTTTTGACCGATTGTGAACCGCTGAACTGCTGGTCCTGGCCTTGATGCCATCCTGTCAAAGGTCTTCTGCAGCGTGTCTCTCGCTGACTCATGAGCTAGGAGAAGGTCTTCCAGGTAGGTACTTCCTTTGGTATCCAGCTGTCCGATTTTCGCATCCGTTGGCCAATCTGTTCGTGGGTGGAAACCATAGTTACAGTAGAACGGCGATTGTCCTGTCGACGAGTGTTTCGCATTATTATATGCATACTCGCAAATCGGTAGTAGGTCCTTCCATTTGTTTCCTGTTCCGGCGGTATAGGCCCGGATGTAGGACTCGAGGTGCTGGTTGGTCTTTTCTGTTTGTCCATCCGTCTGTGGGTGGAACGAGGTCGAGAGTCTTCTACGAATCCCTAGTCGTTCTGTAACCGCAGCCCAGAATGCCGATACAAACTGTGTTCCCCTGTCAGAGACGATACTCCTAGGAAGTCCGTGAAAGCGCCAAATGTCTTTGACAAAGGCGTTGGCGGTCTGTTCCGCGTTGATTCCCATCATTGGAATGAAGTGAGCCATTTTCGTAAAACGGTCCACGACTACCAATACGTTACGGAATCCTGATTTCTCCTTTGGCATTTCTACTACGAAATCCATTGAGATATCAGTCCAAGGTGTGGTGGCTAACTCTAGGGGTTGAGGGAGTGACAAGTGTCTCCGGCGTTGCTTGGCTCTCTGGCACACATCGCAAGTCTTGACGAAGTTGGCTACATCCGTGGACATTCCTGGCCACCAGTAGTTCCTATCGATCAACTCAAGGGTTTTATCCCTTCCTAGATGCCCCGCTACGGGTCTGTCATGATGATCCTCAATGACTTGTCTGACCGCGTATCCTGGCACTACCCAACTACCATCGTGGGTGGCCTCATTCGATCCCGGGGTCCATTCAGTAGCAAGCTCCGTTATTACGGCATCAGCTTCCTCTGTCCCGAAGACTTCAAGGTTTGCGTCAGGGAGAGGTTCATCCCGGAACACTCTCCGAACCCATTGTCTGTCCTGTTCATACCAGTCTTGTAGTGGCTGAGGCAGCTCAGTACCTGGTATGTCGTACCACTGATCCAACGGAGTCCATTCTTCTTCGGGGTTGCCAATAATTTCGGGGCCAGTTTCTACGCTGGTCCGTGATTTTCTGACAAATTGTTCTGCGCTGAGCAACTGTTTTACGGGTTGTTCACGCATTACTCCCCCTTCCATAGCGAACTCTGGGCGCCTTGTGAGTGCATCTGGCTTGCCATTCTTTTCGCCTGGTCGGTAATGAATCCTGAAGCGAAAAGATGCTATCTTTTCGGCCCATCTGGCTTGTCTTCTCGACAACTTCTTGGTCGTTGTGAAGTACTGTAGGTTCTGATGATCCGAATGTATCTGGATAGGAATGTCCGTTCCTTCCAGCCAATGTCTCCAAGTCAAGAGAGCAGAAACTATAGCGAGCATCTCCTTGTCATAGATCTCGTAGTTTACCTCTGCCTCGTTGAACTTGCGAGAGTGGTAAGCTACCGGGTGTAGAATACCGTCCTCGAATACCTGAGAGAGTACTGCGGCCTCAGCCCAGTCGCTCGCGTCAGTTTCTATGATCGCTTCACGGTGTTCGTCATAGTGTCGTAGTATTGGGGCAGACGTAAATCTCTCCTTGAGTTCGTTGAAAGCGCTTTGCTGTTCACTGCTCCATCGCCATACGGAACCTTTCTTCAAGAGATCGGTCATTGGTCGGCAAACTTCGGAGTACCTGTGGATGAATCGTCGTAGGAAGTTGGCGAATCCGAGGAAACATTGAAGTTCCTTGACCTTGGTGGGTGGTAACCATTCCGTGATTGCCTTCACCTTCTTAGGTGAGACCTGGTTCCCTTTCCCTGATAGTACAAATCCCAGGAATTCTACCTCCTGTTTGTACCATTCCGTTTTCTCGAGGTTCCCGTATAGATGGTTTTGTTGCAGTCGCTCCAATATCTTCCTCACAAGAGTCATCTGCTCTTCCTTAGTCTTTGAATATATGAGAATATCATCCAAGTAGACTACTACGCCTTGATCTAGAAGATCCTTGAATATGGTATTGACCATGACCTGGAACGACGCCGGTGCATTGGTTAAGCCAAAAGGCATTACCCTATATTCGAAGTGGCCGTACTTCGTTCTGAAAGCTGTTTTCCATTCCTCGCCAGCAGCAATCCTAATCAAGTTATAGCCATTTTTCAGGTCTATCTTGGTGAAGAACTCTGCTCCTTTCGTCGAATCGGCCAACTCTGTCATGAGTGGAAGGGGGTAGCGATTCTTGACCGTGATAGCATTTAAGCCACGAAAGTCTACGCATAACCTCAGTTTTCCATTGGCTTTCTTCACAAACAGGATCGGTGCTGCTGCCGGGCTGGTGGAGGGGGCTATTTTGCCAGAGGCTAGCATTTCGTCCAAGTACTCCCGGAGTGCCTTTTGTTCCACTGGGGAGAGCGCATAGATCGGTCCCCATGGAGGCTGCGTTCCTTCCATAAGGGGAATGGTATGGTCCCATTCAGAGTGATCAGGTAGTCGATCGGCTCCCTCCTTAGAGAAGACGTCGATGAAGTCCTGGTACTCCATCGGTATAGCACTAGCGAGAGCCTCGCCTACCAATGCCCTTGCCCAGAAGGGGTGTTGCTCGATCATCATCTGTGTCTCGGGTGACGTCCTCAACAGCCTGATGACCAGCTCTTCTGGGTCTTCTTCGTATATATCATACATGGTCCTGAAGCATCCCTTCACTTGACAATTGATATTGTCGAAGGTGACCTTGTTCTGACCCCAATTTATGGTAGGTTGATGCTCCTTGAGCCATCGATGTGGTATGACGAGGTCTTCTCCTGCGAATGAGCCAACTTCACAGACGATGTCTCTGTCTAGATGGTTGCCGACGCGGAGGGTAAGAGATTGGGTGATATGAGTACCGGAGTTAGGCATAGGGGTACCGTCAGCCTGTCTGATGATGAGGGGCTTGGGTCGAGGTTGAGTTGGGATCTTGAGACGATGGACACAGTTCCAGGACATAACCCAGTCCTCTGTTCCGCTGTCTAGGAGTGCGTTGACTGTTTCTGCATGTTGGGTACTAGTTGCGGGGTGGTTCCAAGAGATCTCAATCTCAAGGCGGGTTTCTTGATTGTGTAAAGACATGTTTGTATGTTTTGAAAGTGTAAGGTAAGGTGGATTGTTCTTGGGTATAAGTGGGTTGATGTTGATAGTTCTTGTTCTGAGCGCGGGGCGAGGGAGTTTATATAGAAAATTCGAGCGTTTATCAAATCATAGTACAACACTTATGCGCCAGGTGTTTTCGGAATGTGACCCCTCTTCTCGAAATGTGTGTAGAGAGAATTTAAATTGCGTAAAATAACAAAACCGATAGAACATAACATAACCCGATCCCTTAGAAAAGTCTTCCTTTCAAAACAGAATAAAAAAGCCGTAACACAACATAGAATGAAACACCGCAAAAATAGAAATACCCAATCAATTTAGTCCTCCAAATTCGTAATCCTTGCCCTAAATGCCTCATTTTGTGGCCCCAATTTCCGTTTCTTATCACCCTCCCTTCCGTGGTCCTTTCTCCCGGAAGGATGCTCTTTTCTCTTCAGGTTCGTTAACCTGACCTTGCTCGTCGCCACGCAATCCTTTACGAAGTGGTTATCTCTACCACAACGGAAACACTTTCCTTCCTTCTGCCATTTCTCCTTCTCTTCCTTGGTAACACCTAAGTCATCCGAGGTCTTGGAGTTGTTGGCTGATGTGGGGAAAGTTTTCCGAGGATTTGCATTGTTGCGCGATTTCCACCGTTCCGTTTTTTCTTCGCGAGGTTTCACAGTGTCTTTACCTCGCAGGATTTCTTTCCGAGCCTTCACCTCGTGGTCCTTGCGTCCGACTTTCCGTACCCAGGCTAACCAGTCCACGAAATCCTCAGGTTCCTCAATCGCATTGGAGAGCCGTTGTTCCAGCGAGGAGTTTATTCCTGTTAGGATCATGGATCTGATGACAACTGGTCCAACTCGTGCGTCCCATTCTAGATTCTGCATCTCATTGATATAGTCGTCGATTGGGTCAGTCTGCCGGAGTTTATCCATTTTCTGCTTGGCCTGTTCCTGACTCGTGCGGTTGCCATATTGAGTGCGAAGTTCTTGCTTGAACCGTTCCCAGGTTCCGATACTACTGTCCACAGCCAACCTCTCCGTAAAATTCCGCCAAAAGTTTGCCGCACTACCGGTAAACTCGAGGGATGCCCACATAATCTTAGTGCCGTTATCCCATTGGACCTTCTTCTGGAGGCTGATTAGGATCTCCATCTGGTCGATCCAGAGTCTTACGTCCTGATCGGCTTTTCCGGAGAAGGGAATGTTGGCCTTTTTGGGTGCATCACCTACGGTGGCACGAGGGGGGTGCGAGAGTTCTTGCTCTCGTTGGCGCCTTCTTTCGTGTCTTCGTTTCTTACGTTCCAGCCGCTTGCGGCGTTCGCCTTCCGAGTCTGAGGAATCCGATGGGGATGATCCGGGTGCTTTCGGGGCGTTACCTCCCTTATTGCCATTCCCGTTACCTCCACCTTGTACTCCTTGACCTCCTCCCTTATTGCCATCCCTGTTACCTCCACCTTGTGCTCCTTGACCTCCTTGCTTCCCTTGTTGGCTTTGGTCTTCGAGGTCTTCACTGGATTCGGAGCCGGCTGGAGGGGCGACTGGTGGTTTGGGAGGTGGGCCTGATCCGCCGCCTCCTGTTACTGGGGCTAGTGGTCGTTCCGCAGCTGTTTTACGGGCTGTTTCCTTCATCTGCTCTATCATTTCTTCTAGAGCCGTCCTTGTTCCAGAGAACCCATCTACCAAGGAGACCTGCTGCTGCATGGTCCTCTCCAATTGTGCCAGTGTAGCTGCTACGCCGTCTGGGACTTGGGCTGGGCCTTCTTTCGGCAGCCTTTGAATCCAGTCGGCCAGCATAGTTATATGCTGGGCCTGCTCTTCCTGCCGCTGTTGGTGGGCCTTAGTGGTATTGGCGATCTGTTCCAAGACTTGGCCGAGGTTCGTAGTGGTTGCGGCTGTCTCTGCCCGTACTTGCGCGAGGATGTACCCATCTCGGCGCTCCCGTTCTTCTTGGTCCTGGTTGAACTTCATCTGCAATTCGCGGATGAGTTTGGTCTGCTCTTCGTGCTGCTGGGTAAGCTGCGCCGCGTGCTGCCGAGTAATTTCCCTGATTGCGGGCAGGTCTTGGACGCTCACAGTGAGGTCTCCAAGTCCGCGGCTCAGCTGCTGAACCACTGGGGCTCCTCTCCGTTCGATTTCCTGCCCGATGATTTCTCCAAAGGGGTGCTCGATACGGCGTTCCTCTAGGTCCATATCCGTATCCTCATCTTCGTCCGTTACCCTGGGGACCGAGGGCCTCGGAATAGAAGATCTCTCTCTGATTGGCGTTTTGTACGGGGAATAATCTCGATAGTCCCCTTGCCTGCGGGAGCGGGTTTGGCCATAGGATTCGGCCGGCTGAGTCGATCTGAAGAGGTCGCTGATTAGCATGTCTAGATCCCTCCTGTGGCGCTGTCTCGCCTGGGTCTCGACTATACCTCGATCTCTCACGGTGATCGAGCTCTCCATGTTGTAGTCTTCCTCCTGTTGTTGTTGATGACCCCTTGACATCGCTAAGTTGCTCGATTCTGAGTTGTGGCTGTCTTCTGCACCAGGGTTGAACGACGAACCAAGGGACGGAGTGAGCTAATCCGTAGGATTGCTGACTGAGGGTGACTTTAATGGGGAAGAGTTCGGGATAGTTGAGGATCTCCGGGTCGTGTTCTTCGAACGTGCAAGTGGTACCTGCTTCGGCAAAAAACCCGGCGTACTCAAGGTATCCGCAATAGAGGTGTTCAGCACTGCCTCTGCCAACGACAAAAGAGGTGGTGCAAGTAAAGTTGTTGATAGCTGCTGTTGCTACTCGGGGATGCATACGGTATCAAAGAGTCCTTCTAATATACTACTTTCTTATTCCTTTACTTGAGCGCACGGTGACTATCCGCCACAAACAAAATACTCTCAAGTATGGGTCTAAGCAAGTAGTTGTCTTATCGGGACGTTGATAATATGCGATCGATAAAATAGTAGCGTAGTGGATAAGGTACCATATAGTGTTTGGGGAAATGCCAATGCTAAGCGATAGTTCTGTAGCTTTTAAACTTGTAATATGGTAAACCGGATTCCGCTCGCTGAGTGACTGATGATGCCACTAAGACGAAGCGGAACCCTACCCTATTTATACATGTTGGAACCTATGCCAAGGCCCACTTTCTAATACTAATGAGATAACGATAATAGAATAAGACAAACAACCCGAAGATGACCCCAATAGAACAGCGCCCCCGCATAGTTCCGTTCCTCCATTCTAATTCCGACACGTAACCATGAACCCCGCAATTGCCAGTAACCGAGCTGTATCATGCTATTATCCTAGAGCTACTTCCCTAAGTAGAATGGCCTGCAGCCATAAGCCCCGCTTTTATTCCATTCCGGGTGAGACACCCAATAGTAAGCGTGCCCTCATAACAGCCTAATACTAGTGTGGTTGCACCCGGTGCCCCCACACCCCTCGGTACCTTTCTATGCTGGTTCCCTCGTTACCCGACCGTACTCGCATCACAACCCATCACTCGTATTATCCTTGTTTCTTAACTTAGGAGCAATATTCGTGTTTCCTATAACACTGTCACCTCCCATGATCAGTACGGAGATATTAACACGTAAGAATGCCCTTCCGATCCGCCTAGTTGGTCTTTCGGGATTGACGGAATGCTCATTTAACCCTGTTGATAGGCGGACCATCATTGGAGATTACCTATCGCAAACCATTCCGGACCTGGATTCTCGCGCTGGGATTACATGGAAGTCTACTTTAGAGCCTCTCGTCCAGGGTGCTTCTGGTGATTATTGGACCTTCAAAGTATGCTGCCCCTCCTAGCTAGCTTGACGTCGATATGTGCTCACCACTTGACACCCGCAACAGTCTGAAGTTACCTCAGTCTCGGATTCAACAGGTGGCGATTACGAACAGGGCCCAGCGATGTCTATTCACATCTACAAGAAGCCATTCCGCTTCCAGGTATATATGTTGCCCATCGCGCTATGGGATCTCCATAAACTAACAAATTGTACGTGCCATAGGCTTCCCGCTCACTCAAACCGTTAGATGAACTCTGGCCTCTCCCTGTTGAAGTCATACAATCTACACCAAGGCTTAAGACCGTGTGGCAGACCTCGGAGCAGACGTTTCGCTATAAACTGGACCCTGACCATGACATGGTCAAGAATGTGATTCTTGACGTGATCAAGCCCGGCCATGGAGAGTACATTGGGTGGGGAGAGCAGGGGGGTTCGAGCTTTATGAAGAAGCCGACCTTAATGAACTACTTTAGTTTGTGCTCCCTTTCCAGTGTCAACGTGGTTTCTGGTTTGTGAATGCGCGCTGACCTTTGGATAGACTGCGACAATATGCAGTACCAGCAGGTGTACAACGAAGGTCCTCTGGACCCGAGAGAGCCGCTGTGAGTATATAAACTCCTAACGGCAGATTATGAAGCAGCCTCGCCAGGTCACTGATCGAAACATTCGCGGTGTGATAGATACCACTCAGACCCATTCTTCTTGGACATCAATTCAAATCCTGAACACAAGAATGTCACAGCAACCTTTATCGACAACTATTCCCAAATCTGTGTTGACTTTGGGAAGTCAAATGCAGGATACATAAAGATTGCTACTAAGTTTGGCAGTTTGGATGTTATCTGTTTCTCCGGCGATTCACCGCGGGATATTGTTAGGTAGGCTTTCCCGATCGGATCTTATCAGTACCGATGGAAACGCTCATTAGCTAATCCGGTTGGGGACTGTCGAAAGGCTGTATACCGCCCTCATTGGTCGATCTGCATTAAAGCCGAGATATATATTGGGAAACCATCAATCATGTAAGTGCATACAGCGTCTATTTCAGTTCTACGGGAGTATGGCCTTTTGTGCATGATAAGCTCCCGACAAGTCTTTGGGTGGTTCTCGCATGCTAACAAGCTTGTCTGTGCTGGAAGGCTATGGGTATATGAACAAGCAGCAGCTCTTTGACGTTGTCAAATACTACCGCGATAGAAAGATTCCACTTGACGGATTACACATTGATGTCCCCTTACAGGTAAGATCTCCTCCTCCTTCCTCTAACGCTCTTGGGAGTAATGTACCTGTATATATACTAACTGATAATGGCAGAATAACTTTCGGACATTCACAGTCGACAGGAAAGCGTTCTCAGAGCCCGAACAAATGTTTGCCCAGCTGAGGAGTGATGGGATCAAGTGCTGTACGAACATTACGCCTGTCATTAGTGCCAATGACCTACCCGGCGAGGAGGGTTACAAGACCCTTCGCAGTGGGCGGGACAAAGGGTATGTTGCCCAGGACTGGATGTGTCCGCATCGCCTCGGAGTGCAGAGCTGATATTTCATTTTATCTTCCCTTAGTTACTTCATCAAGGATAAGAGATACACGAAAGGAGTCTCCGAAAAAGTATCAGAGATCAATTACATGTGCTATGAGGGTGGCTCTAGAAATGATATCCCAGCAGACGAATGGAAAAAGCGCCCAACCTTTACAACCGATGATGGCCGTGTTTATAGGGATGAATAGTATGCGCCTTCTATGCATATCTGAAGTAAAATATCAACTGACCTTTCCAGTAACTTTAGCGAGCACTATAATAAGGGTGGCCCTTACCGCGGAGGGGTTAGCTATGGGTACAACGATGGCACGGTTAGTGGGCCCTACGCCTGTCTGACATACGTTTGAATTACCATCACTAACTGCAGCATCTGAGTACAGCCAGGGCACTACGCGGACTTGAATAATGAGGATGTCCGTGAGTGGTGGGGGCAGCAGTATGAAGATCTTTTCGCGATGGGGTTGGAGTTTGTCTGGCAGGATATGACAACACCAGCGATCCATGAGTCCTTTGGGGACATGAAAGGGTACATAGCCCTGGGATTCCCACCTCAATTCATAAACCACGAGGCCATCGACACTAATAACAATTGGTAGATTACCGTCCCGCCTGATGCTCGACTTTCCAAACCACACCCCTTCCACAAAACTTGCCATTGAGGCATGGGCTGTGTACTCCTACAACCTCCACAAGGCCACCTTTCAGGGTCTAAGCAAGCTCAAAGGCCGTGAGAATAAAAGAAACTTTATTCTTGGGCGTGGAAGCTATGCCGGAATGTACCGTTACGCTGGCCTCTGGACTGGTGATAACGCCAGTACTTGGGACTTCTGGAGAATCACAGTCTCACAAGTTCTGTCTGTTGGGCTCAATGGCGTGAGTATCTGTGGGGCTGATACAGGCGGATTCGAGCCTGCTCGTATTCCAGGGGATCCGGAGAGAGGAATTGAGGAGAGAGAGGAAAAGATCTGCAATCCCGAGCTCCTCATCCGGTGGTACGTCGGCTCGACATTCCTACCATGGCTCAGGAATCACTATGTTAGTAGAAAGGACACCAAGACAGGAGAAATGAGAAAGTGGTTTCAGGTAAATGAGTTTTCTGAGTGAAGAGGGATCGAGTACTGACAAGATCTATTGTAGGAACCATATGCTTACCCAATACACTGGGAAGATTACCGCAACAACAACCGGACAGAGCTTGTGGGTCAGGCGTGGCTCTATTATGGTGTTCAATTCATCGTACAGTACTATATCCAGCTCCGGTATTCGTTGATTCAATTGTTATATGATGCCATGTTTGAAAATCAAATCCACGGTTTGCCTATTGCAAGATCCATGGTAATTCCTCATCGCCGGCTACTTTGTGCCAATGTGTTCAGTCATCCAAAATCAGCTGACATAGACATCCTTAGTTCTTGACGGACCCGCAAGATACTACCTTCTTTAATGAGAGTCAAAAATTCCTGGATGACCAGTATGTAGTCGGTCAAGATATTCTCGTCGCCCCCATCATGCACAGTCGCAACGAGAAAGGCCACCATGATGAATCTCGGGAGGTCTACTTCCCTCTCGGATATTTCTGGTTCCCCTCGAATCTGAGGCCATTCAGCTCACAAAGAGTCCCGCTGGTACCTTCAATCCCAGGTGGTAAAGTACTCTATATGACGGCACAGATTCCTGTCTACAATGATCCCGCAGCTGGGACAACACCACAACCGGAGGAAAAGGGGTACCCTGACGTGCTATTGCACTTCATCAGAGAGGGTAAGCGCATCGAGTATCACACCCCAAGTAGTAGCTCTCCTACTGACGCGATAACTGAACAGGTTCTATTATTCCGCAATGTGAAGTTCGCCAACATCTTAGTGATGGGAAAGTGAATCCCATTACACTCAATATCTATCCCCATGTTTTTACGCACAGGAAAAAGAGATCCGTAAGCAGTCTTATCATCAGGAGTTGAATTGGGTAATTTAGCAACCTCTAATCAGACATGACAGGAGTATACAACCTACCTCGACGATGGCGTTAGTTGTAGCAGTGCACCAGAGGATACTATGCGGGTGGAGCAACTTATCAAGGCTGCCAAACGAAGGGGTCAAGATGTCTCGGCCCTTGAGAATGCCAAATACGATGAATACCGCGCCGTCAACATTACCCATGTAATATATTCCAATAACCACGTCATATACTTTATACTAATCAAGTAATCTTCACAGGAGACGACATCTAGTTCCACTCGTACAGTGACGATTTGCCGGAAGGTAAAGGACGTCGACTACGATCCGAAGAAAGAGATCGGCGAGGAGTACACCGTAATCTTTTGGTACGAAAAGCGTCTCTACAACCCTGACTTCGAGATGACTGTTACACCGTCCTCGGGCGTAACAGTTGAGAAGTCTGACGATGTCGCTCAAAGTACATTGCATGCCGTGATCTTGAAAGTTAAGGAAACATTGGGCAACACGGAAAAGGTTGCTATTAAGATCGTGATGAAGGAAAACTGAGATTATGGTTACCGAAATGTGTCAGCTATGTTGAGTGGCCTTACACATGTCCAGCTTGGGCTTGGGTGATTAGCGATGTTTGTATTTCTTGATGTCCTGGTATATAGTTTCTACGCTATTGCTGTATATTCGCAAGTTTATATACGTGTTGCTATCACGCACCGGCCCTGCATGCCTCATTTACTTTGGATACCTTACACCTGCTCTGGCTACACCGCTGCATAGTTGATTCCCTATCCCCAATGAAGCTCGTCTTGGGGTTGACACCACATATCCTCTGATAACCAAATTCAAGAGGCAGAACACCCTCCACCCGAAAAACGAAACCTTACTCCTAGTATCAAAGTATTTTTTGTTGATGGAAACGGTAGGATTAATGTCAGAAAGGCTGGGCGCGAGGGGAGTTTAGTGGCATTGGAGGTTGAGATTGTTGCCGCCACTCTAGAGAGAAGCGGGTAGGAGTTACCTATCTGAAAACTCCGTTTTGATGGTCGTTAACGTTGTTTCTGTACCCGCAAAATTGAAATAGCATGCAAGTTACGATTCATTTTCTTAGACAGGAGTTTTCTCAAGAAACCTTTGGAATTCTAGCTCTGTGTACTGGTCGTATAGTTTAAGGAGAAATTGCTTTAAAGCGGTGCGCTTGTTGGGCTTCACAGAATATCACTCGTGTTCCAAAGTGATCAGTGCCAAGATATACTTTTTGAGATAGTGTGTGATCGAGCGCTTGGCGCCAAACGACTATACCGAAAGAAACATGTGCATAAATACAACGAAATTGGTGGAAACGAGGTTGATAGCATTTGGAATATTGTTATACTTGACCCCGCGACGCCTTGTCCGTTTGACTCTGGTAAACCCGAATTTTGACCTCACGACAACAAGGTCTACATGTAGAGAACCATATCCCTTCCATGGCCAGGCTCAATCAAAAGGCCGACTACTAGCTGCATACAGTAGGTATGATGCTTTGACCCAGGCAGAGAATATACCCTCACGCTGTGAGTACGTACGCTAGAAGTATCCTTATATTAGTTCGTGGCGAGCAGTATAGTACTAAAAAGCTTCACCCGTAGAGTTCGATCACTGTATCATAGCCGCGGTATACGGCTAGGGGTACTAGTCGACCTTTTGATCGGGCCTAGTGATGGGCACAAGACAAGGCAACTTGAGAGTTTGTCTTGAGACCTACATAATCTCGAGACAATATATTGTCTGCGAGGACAGCAGGGAGACAAGACTAGAAAGATTTTTGTTTGGCCTTGAGCATGAGATATACCACAGTACGCGAAATCGTCTTTTAGCCAGCGCGTTTGTTAAAACAGCTCCGTAAATAATAAATGAAATATCAATCAATCATCCGTAAAACAGCTCAAAAAGTACGTTCAAGTAACCCTAACCCTGGCGACCTTATTTATATGTAGTTTACTCATTTGGTGACATTTTCTGCACATATTACAATAGTTCCGCGAGACCACAAGAGCACAAGTAAGATTAGATAGCTGTCTCAAGGCCGGCAATACCTGGCCACCACAATCACAATGCGGCCGAGACTAACATCAATTTCCTCTTGTCTCGTCTCGAACCCATCACTAATCGGGCCTAGGTGACCGTGGAAGGGATACATTTGCCAAGTTGATTTTAACCCGAAGCCTTTGTAAATATCTTAGCATCATTGGCAATTGACCCGTGTTAGATGATCGCATGGGAAAAGACCCATCGGCTAAGTCAGCCACTTAAAATCTGTTTCCGAATAGACCAGGTTCCCGTAAGCATATGGTGATCGCTCTATATTCGTAAAGATCCAAAATACAAATCAAGCCATATTTTGGTACTATGTGTCGCGCTAGCAAGGTATTCTCTCGATTTCGACAGATAGAAATGGAGAGAAGTATATCTATCAAATAAACCCTCCTCCGAGAGAACAGATAGATCCCCCCCGCTCTACCGAACAGAACCTCAAAACGTGGTCTATTCAGCAATAGAACGAGTTCCATCGCTTACTGGAAGGCGTCCATTGGGTATGCTTTCAACAGTGTAATCCTCTCCATCCTACAATTCTTCACCCTAAAAGCATCACCTACCCAAATTCACGCGAATAAGGAGGCGAGTGATATTCTGTGATTCCGGAGAGTGAAACCACAAAATGAAAAGTGAATATATACGTATATACATGGATATTAAGAAGTGAATAACATGTATGCATGTGTACTTCTCATTGGGTAAGCTCTGAACTCCCAATAACTATGCTCTCCGAGGCCTACACCCCAATTCCCTCCATCAAGAACAAGAATGCCCTCTATCTATATACACATTTATATCGTTAAACATTAACTGGAAGGAGCTCGCTAGCATTTAATATCAATTAGGTGCCGATATCTATTGCGCACCTAGCGGTCAAGAATGGGCGGGCGACATTCAGGCATAGTGTTGCGATCCAGCCTCAAGATCAGATATTAGAACTCCTCTCCCATCCACCAACCGCCACGTTAGATATGCTTTAAAGCTATGGCTACGTCCTGCCCCCTGCCCTCTGTCTCACATATCGGCTGCGGGTACCAGTGGCGTAAACGGGGCTAGGTATCAAACTCTCCACCACCTGTCTCTGCGACGACCTTTGGCGGTCATCCAGCTCATATATTGCGCCCGCCGCATCCATCTCCTGGTGAATACTGTCTGGATGTCCGGGAGACGCAACGCGGGGCTGTATAGCCGACACACGCAGCCCTTGGTTCATCTCACTGCCGACTAAATATGGGGAATACAGGGACCCAGAAGGCGATACTGGTAGTACCTGTGCAGGGAGTTCGGAGAGATCAGGCGCGTACGGCACTGCGTCTCTGTACTTAATGCGCACTTGCTCGTGCAGTGGGTTAGGGATGAGGATACCATCGAGCTCTGCGGGAGGCGGTAGGCCTGCTAGCTCAGCAACCCGGCGTTGGGAGGGAAGTTCTGCGAACATTGAATGGGGATCCTTGGTGAGCGGTGCCGGGGCGGTTTCCCCCCGCATGTGATCGGGCTTTGGAGGTAGTGCAGGGGCACACTCGATTGGTCGTTCGCGCCCCCGCTGCATCCCTTCTAATTCTTTGGGTGGTCTTGGGGGTGGCTCGTTCCTGTCGAAGCGGGGATGCTCTTCAGGAACCTTTTCCGGTACCGGGGGTGTATATCCTTCATAGTAAACTCCTTCTGGAGGCAGAACTGGAGATACAAGCTCGGGCATGTTACGAAATTCTTTTTGTGGGTCAACACTGAGAACGGATAAATGTCGAGCGGGTCCACGTTTAGGGTCCGGCCGTTGAGTTTGCGGTTGATCTAGTGCTGGCCATACCAACTCATCTACTGATGTGATGACTGAGTCGGGTATCGAACGTGCAGGCTTCGAATTTGTCTTGGGTTTTGCCTTTGGCCTCTGGCGACTCGCAGTTTGGACAGGTGGATTCCCGTAGGGATATCTTGCAGCGTTGACTACCGCTGGGTCCGTAGCTAGCCTTCTTCTGCTTTGCGCAGCATACTGATCCTTCTCCGTTGAGCAGCAGCAGCCCATGGGTTAAAGATGGAAATTGAGTATTGTTAAGGTAGCATCTATAGATATGTATCGGGCGAGTTGAAAGGCTATCGGCTGTCGATTACTCGTTGGAGAACGAGTGGATAGTACTCTCCTAAATAAATAGCGTGAGGGCAGTTTGGCATTCTCAATTTAGCCAGAGATCGTGGGGAAAAGGGGGGGGGGGGGGGGGGGGGGGAGAAAGTGACAAATTTTCAGTTTGCCATGCATGATCCAAAAGGCACCTTTCTTTTGATGGATTCAAAGCTGCCCATGGCCTAAGTAGGTGAGGTTTTCCCAGAGGCGTTTGAATGAATATTTCTACTGGATGATATGTGTGTAAGTAGGTAAAGAGTCTCCATGTAGGACCAACCTCTTTCACTGGGCTTCGGTCCAGGTAATGGCTCGATCCAGGCAATGGGATTCCAGTAGTGTGAATTAAGACGAGTTGGTGGAGTCTGTAGGTAGAGCCTGTGCTCTGTTTGTGGAGATGTCACAGACTCGCTTAAGCTAGCGAATAGAACGGCGTCGTAGCATATCACTCGACCTATCACAACGTCAGCTTGGCGGCTTCGTGCTACACACAAACCAGATGTATGTAGGTGATATATGTAAGTAGGTGGACTTCTTACTCTTCGAAATGCTTTCCAGAGATCGGAGCCGTTCTGATGTGCTTCTACTCTATTCATATTGTAAAGTGCAGAAGCCATCGCGCCAATCCCTGTTGTATAAGGTGGGTACATCTATCTTAGGATTGGCCCTACTCCACGATGATTCGGATGATAGGTCAGACCACTTTTATATTTTAGAGCAGGGCCCCGGTCTTTAAGCGTTAGGCACCATATTCTCATATCAGAATATAAGCATTTCCACTACAGGCACTATGAGGCTTAACGGAGGCCTTGCTGCAGTCTGGGGCTGTCCTACATACGGATTATTGGCCAATCACTACACCCTCTCCGCCCAGAATAGCATAGACAGCCCAGACCTGCCTCTGCTCGATGTTCCCGTGTGCTGGGTAGAGTCGTTGCATGCGGGGGACAGCCCGAGCCTCTGCCAGTACATATATACATACTGGAGATCGATATCTTCTCCTCCCGTCCTGCTACTTCTGTCTCTGCTCTCCTCTGCAAGGTCCCCCATCATCCCCTCCCCCTCCCCTCCCCCTCCCCTTCCCCCTCCCCTTCCCCCTCCCCCCCCTTTCGCTCGTCTTCTCGCTGCTGTGGATGTTGCTGTTGTTGTTGATGATTACCACGTACGAGATACTGATATAGATACTTGCAGTATCTGATTGCGACATACACGCACCTCGCAAGGAACCGCATGCATGCAATTAACCCAACGAAACCCGCGTCTTTTGCACTTTCAACCTAGTCAGACTAATCACTCGCTGCCTTGAGCCGAATACCGAGAAACTGATTACCCCTGGAACTAGCCTTCTCTCCTAACCATCTCCCCTACATATATACACATCCAACACGACGACGACAAGAAAGGGAACAGCAGAACAACCATGGGCTGCTGCGGCTCACGAGAACCCCCCCCTCCGCTCCCCCTCCGAGACGCTAATGTCGACATCTTACACCAGCGAGCGCCCCTCAGCCCGGTTGAACGCCGGCCAACGCTCCCTCCGCGCCTGATCTCGCTAGCAGAGGACCAAGAAGCGCAAATAGCAGGTCGTGGTGGTCACATCGATGGTCAACCACCGCCCATACCTCCCAAGATCCCCCTCCTCCCGCCACGGCCATCGTCCACAGAGCTACGGGACCCCGAACGCTGGCAAAGTGTCCCGTCAGCCCTGGAGCTGGCAGCCTTGGATCAGAACGTGCCAAGGGTTCACCTCAACCGCTCAAAGACTTCCACCCTCGAGTTCGACCCAAACCCCCCCCGCGGTCCGACACCAGAGCTGGAGAGTAACCCTACCCCGATATACAACGCCATGGTCACCAGCCCCTCGATGCCCGGGGGCCGCGGATACAACCACCACCCTGAAGCGGCTATCGCGCGGTATCGGTCCCCGGTGTCGGACCTGGACCCGGAAGATCTTCGTGCGAGGAGCTTCTCGCCAGTCAGCGCGATAGACCCGAGGCCGAGGCAACCAAGCTTTATGGTGGGGCCGCGGACGGGCGCGCATATAGAATTGGAGGCCGCGGGGACGCACATTGAGTTACCGGCGACGCACGAGGCGGGGCCTCATATTGAGCTACCGGCAATCCCGATGGAGGCGACGGTGTGCGGGCCCGTGGAGATGTATCATGAGCTTGACGCGGGTTACGGAGCGGTGGAGATGCCGGCACGGTAGCGCGGTGGTAACGGACGGCCCCGGGCTTCGCATCTCGGGGGAGTACCAGCGGGGATAGATTATGGAAATGGGTTCTGGTGCATGTACGTTTATGCTACGGCGTTCACGGGGGGAGGTATGCAGGGGAAAAACTTCGTTTATCTTGATGCATGAGTCGGGATTGACTTTCTTTGGATATGGAGTATACGCCCATCCGGCAGCTTTTGATATTCTTTTTTCCTCTTTTTCTTTTTTATTACTAAATATTTGCATTGCCTTAATTCCCTTTCTTTTGTAGATAACATAGCGCAAGTACCTTAGAGGAAAGGTCCTGAGTGTACATACAAGTACATGTGTAGTTATGATATATATGATGTTACAAGATGCCCCACGTTTGGTGACTTTATGTTTAACGGATGGCTACAATCTGAGACACACCATCTCACTCGCCTACTGACATGCCAACGTTCCGCCCTGTCTTCTCTCCTTCAGAAGAACAACAGAATACTTCCTGGACTTCGTTCTTCCTGCGCTTAGGTCCGCACGATGGGAACCAGAGCTTCGGCGGAGCGTCTGTACTGCGGGTATGGTTTCGTTATTGTAGCATAATTATCACACCTCTTGAGTTATCCCCCGTTATATGCTTACATGTACAGCCACTCAGCAAAAGTGTTCGTGATTTAGTTTTAATGTCAGTGCGCAGTGTGGCGCACCCGTAATGTTGATGTTATTAATGTTGAGATTCAAAACAACGAAAAATTATATAATATAGTTCGTGACTATATATAAAAGAAGATAGGTCATTGATCTTATTCTTCATTGATCCCGGGCGCCATTGATCGCTGGGAAAGTCTTCTCTTGGGTTTTTTTTTTTTTTGATGGTCCACCACCGAAATCGGAATCACGAACACTTTTGCAGAGTGGCTGTATATATGTACCGGAAACAATTGGCGACGGCAATGTTTTGCACCGCACTTCCTTTGCGTACGTCCTTAATGTGAAACGATCAGTACCGCACCCGCGTGCGCTATAGTAACACAGAATTAATCCCCCGGTATTGATCCTCGCTAGCTTGCCCGGGGGGAGTTAACAACTACATGTAGCCGGGATATATATCGCGCGTTAATGAGAGGACCAAAGATATGCGGGGCTCTTTAATCCGGCCAAGCAGCTAGATGGGCTCAGACAGAGAGGCTGTACTACCGTGCACGGCTCTCATATAGTGATTTCTCGACTTTCTGATCGATCCTAGCTTGATTGCATGATGTAGGCCGGATAGCAAGTTTCTTGGTCGAATATATACCAGAAACAATAAACCCGCCTCTTATCCCATAGACCGTCAGGCCGAATTCAAATAAATGGAACCCAGCGCAGTTTGGAAATCGTGGTGTAGGGCGCGCCGACAGGAGAAACAACGATAGAAACCATCACGGAGTTTGAGTGTGATGATTTCTACGTTGCGTTACATACATAGGTTCTACTTATTTGAATTCGGCCTGACGTTCTATGGGATAGTGCTGATAATAGTACTAGTGATGGCCACGAGCTATTGCCTCGAGACTGCTCTACAGCCTCCAATTGATAGTACAAGTGGTCAAAAAGTTGATTCTGGACGTCCACCAGCAAGGCTCTCCGAGCTCGATGAAGATTTGGAAGTTGGAACTTATCAGTTGTGTGGTTTTCCGGATTAAGGGTTTGGCTATGCGAACAGTTTCACCAGATCGGCGCCGATATTCTATCAATGGAGCCGTTGGTGCTATTCAATACGGGACCACAATTCTCTCGCGATACTCTCTCGAGACGTCTCGAGACTCCCGAGACGTATCCATCGCCAATTGGGTACGAGACGAAACAATTAGCTCTTAATCTGGTTTCGTCTTGTCTCGTGTCCATCACAAGAGAATACACTAGGCTGCAGTATGTATATTGTTGGAATGCATGTCTCGTTCAAGGCGCTTAAGGCAGGAAGGTGATGTCGAGCCCTGAAGAACTCGCTGTCGAATAGAAAAGGATCCGCTGGGAAGACTCAAGAGGAATGGTGTCCTAACCGGGCTCTTATAAGGTAGCTTGTATTATCTTTAGACATCGATATTGATTGAATGCCTCAGACGCGTCCTACTTTCAACATATATACTTATGTACCCAATTCAATGCGAGTGATACCCCATGTTTAAGGAACTTATTGTTCTCTGAGAGCTTATACACCGTGGCCGCACCGTACTGGATGCTACATTCGGTCCTAATGGAAATTCCGGCTTATGATTCGATCCTAGAGTACAGCGATAGGTAATTGATCATGGGGGTGATTCGGTCTGGAGGGACAGGACCTACAGCCACTCAGCAAAAGTGTTCGTGATTTAGTTTTAATGTCAGTGCGCAGTGTGGCGCACCCGTATTCATGATGTTATTAATGTTGAGATTCAAAATAAGGAAAAATATATAATATGATTAGTTGATGACTATATATAAAAGAAGATAGGTCATTGATCTTATTCTTCATTGATTCCGGGCGCCATTGATCACTGGGAAAGTCTTCTCTTGGAATTTTTTTGATGCTCCGCTACGGTTACCCATGGAGAAATATCTCACTTCGAAATCGGAATCACGAACACCTTTGCAGAGTGGCTGTACTGTTACAGCGTTGCTATTCGTCGCCTTGCGCAGTCCATATATATCAGCCGCACATATCATGATCAGTTCACGACAAACACCCGCGCCTAGATGCCTACAGCTCGACCTGTACATGTTCGCTCCTCACGTCGCCATTATATATCGTTCTAACATTCATCCACCCTCGGCAGTGTCCTGCTAGATATATACTTTCAGTGCCCCGCGCTACATACCTGTCTCAGCATATAGCCTCACCAGTTTTGGCACGTTACGAAAAGAGTTCGCTCTATGGCGAAACCGACGGGAATGGTAAGTCAGAATTCTCGTCCAGGCCTTCGAACATTCTCTCGGTGGTTCGCACCCCCATCCAAATCAGAGGTTCTTGGATCACTGACTCCATTTCGACTAGCATAACCTCGTTGTATCACCACTGAGCAAAACCTCACTCTGGATGAAGGCATTCCAAGAGTTGTGTGAGGATGAAAAAGCAGCGCTTCCTTCTGCTGGAAATGATAGTCCCGAAGCACTCCTGAAAGACATAAAAAGCCATGCGGCTGGTCTACGTGCGAAAGATGGATGGAAAGTCAAATTTAAGGGGACTGAAATAGTGGTTAGAGATCTAGTAGATAAGCTACTGACATGGGTTGATAAATTCAAAACTATTGGAGATATTGCGATTCAGTATGATCCAGTCCATGCTGCCCTACCATGGGCTGGTATACGGTTTTTGTTAATGGTTCACCGCGCCCCCCCCCCCCCCCCCCCCCAAAACCTAGTCTCTTGGGCAGGCACTAATGAGAAAATAGGTTTCTCTTAGCAACATGGAAGCTATGGGAGTGATCATGATTGGCATCGAAAGGGTAGCAAGATTAGCGGTTCGAAGTGCTGTCTATGAGGCGCTGTATCTTGGTTCAGCATCAACTGTTTCCACTCCCCTCCGTACGGCATTGACGAGTGGTCTTCTGGAGCTCTACATTGCTGTATTGAAATTTCTTTCTTGCGCAAAAACGTATTGTGTTCAATCCACTACTAGTAGGCTATTTTATTCACCTCAACACGAGATAAGTATGTCTTTATTTAACGTATTTTATAGCTCGCGTTCTTCGTTTCGTTTTAGACTTGGGGGGGGTAAAATCTTTCTTTGAGGCCATCGGGGAGAAAGAGGTTCTTCTTGAAATGGAATTGAAAATAGCAGAAAGAGAAAGTAAGTGTATCAGTTCCCTTACCAACTGGGTAATCAGGCTAGATCCCCATGTGTTACCGAATAGGAGATGGTTATGTGTTTATTCATCTGCTCAACGCTGGCGTTGTTTACCCTCTCATTGAGTTTATTACCACGCAGTACCAGCTGAGAGGTACATCGACTCAATGAAAGGACGAACAGTAATGGTGTTCCCCACAGAACAGAAACCATATCTGGTCCAAGGATAATACACTTCAATTTCGGGGCTCACTAACTAACAAAATCCCAGGTCAAAGTAACCACAGGGCTATACTTAAAGGTCAAAGCCAAACTCTAAAGAAAGCAGATTCATATTGACATCCTTTAGAGAAGAGCGAGAAAGTAGAGGAATTCCTAAGAGAAATTGATACAGCTGTTGTGTTGTTGTACGACGAATTTCTGGCCTATATCCACGGTTTTCCCATTCGAGACCCTAAATAAATCCAAAACTAAAGCTGATTGTAATGCCCACCAGCTGAAAAACGACATGACATACTGAAGTGGCTTTCAAGTATCGAGTTTATAAAGCATCACGAAACCGCGCGAGAAGACCTCCTGGAAAATACGGGCCATTGGCTGCTCAAGGAGGAGCAATTTCGTGAATGGCGATCGTCCAGAACCTCTGATATCCTCTGGTTGCACGGAATTCGTAAGACCCTTGCCTTCATACTTGGATAGAGTCAAGTTCTTACCTCTCTTGCAGCTGGTGCGGGGAAAACAAAACTTACGTACGTGAGATATAGATATATATCCTGATCTACCAATGCACAGAGATGAAGTTGGAGGTTTCGGGCATCAGTAGAAATTTAAATGCATTACCGGATCTTTTGCCTGTATCTCCTTTCTCTACGCATGTTCTTAATCAATTCTTCTCGAATCTAACAAGTAATAGGTGTATGGTGATCGAATTTTTAAAATCTCTACCCCAGAGCGACGGACCTGTAGTATATTTTTACTGCAAGCGGGACGACCCCCAGCGCCGGAATCCAGAGATCATTATGCAGGCTATCCTGAAACAACTTTCACTTGCATTTCAAAGTATACCAAATCTGGCGATACACGAATATGATCAAAGAGAGAGAGAGGGGCAAGCAGCAGGGTCTTTGGCGTTCAATGAATGCAAAAGTTTGATTGCTTCACTGCTTAACATGTACTCACATACGACAATCGTAATCGATGCCCTAGATGAGAGCGACCCGTATGAGCGTTGGCGATTACTCGGGTTGTTTGAGAACATGATCGATTCCACAAAGAGCCCAATCAAAATATTTGTGTCCAGTAGGGACGATATGGATATTAAGCTGAGACTGGAAAGCGTACCCAACCATTACATCGACGCAAAAGACAACACTGGAGACATCAACCGTTTCGTCCTTCGAGAAGTCAAGAACGCTATAAATAATAAACGATTACTTTATGGCATGGTTCCGGACAAATTGAGAGAGCAAATTATACAAGTCATTTCAGAAAGATCTAACGGGATGTAAGTAGAGTATACAGAAATACTCATGTCTTCTCTAAACGAAGTGTGCCCTGAATGAAAGGAAGACTGTTTGGATCAATCAACCAACGGGCCTTTGATTTGCTGCTTTGTCCAGGGCATACGACGTTCGACTCGATGGCGGTTGTTCTGATGGGCCTTGCTCTATATACTAACGCTTCCTAATTTACAGGTTTCTATGGGCTGATCTTCAGATCAAGAATCTTTACCGACTGAAGTCACCGGAGGAAATAGAGGCGAATTTGGGGAAATTACCCAAGACCTTGGAAGTGACATATTCTCGAATGTGGCAAGATATTCTTACCGAACTGGCAACGAACACTCAACGGGAAATCACGGAGAAAGCATTGATGTGGCTCATGTGCCCATTGGAACCGCCCGAACCAAAACTCTGGGCCGAATTCACTTACTGGCCTGCAGCGGTCCCCCAGAAAGGTGTTGATGCCCTATTTGACCTTTGCCGGAACCTTGTAAAACGGGATAAACGGGTCGATCGTGTAATATTCGCACATTTATCAGTCCAGGAATACTTCGAAAGCTATATTACGACTGTGAAAGCGAATTCTATGGCTGCCAAGTGTTGTCTTTCACTGTTGACCCACCGCGACGGCTTACCACCCGCGGGGCAACCATCGCTGTGCGTCCCATATTCGATCAATTACTGGGCACAGCATGTCAATCTTGCTTATAATGGTGAGCATGAGATGGCCAATGACCTGCGAGAATTGCTGTTGCGTTTCTTAGGGACACCAGCTGAACCAAGCCAATCTTACTCAAATTGGTTCACTGCTGCTTTCTCCCCATATAAGTACAATGACACAGCCATCGACCGCTTCAAAATTGTAAACCACTTAAAGTCTGAACCGCTAAATCCGTTTTTTGCAATGTCATATTTTCGTTTTGGGGAAGCCCTTTTGCCTCAATGGGAATCTAGCATACATAGCGTTGATATCAATATCAGAAACGGTCAAGGGGAAACACTGTTATTGGTTGCAGTCCGATCAGGGAACGAACGAGTTATGGACTTTTTATTGGAGAAAGAGGCAGATGTTAATATGGCATCCGATATGGATTACCCACTAAAAGTAGCGATTGAGAACGGACATAGCGGGGCAGCAATCAAGCTACTTTCCAAGGGGGCCATTGTTACTAGTATGACCTACGACTACCGTCGTCCCCGGAATGTGTTGGAGGAAGCAGCACATCTAGGATCCAGTGTTGTGATAGAGGAAATGATGTCTATAGACACTAGACTTGAGATCACTGAAGGGGTTCTAGTAGAGGCCACGAATAATTCAAAGAGGGGGCGAGAGGTTATAGGGCTTCTATTATCACGTAACCCCGATATTGTGATCACCGAGGCGGTTTTGGTAGCGGCGGCGCATCATGATTGCGGTGATGGGGTTATAGAGCTTCTATTATCACGTAACCCCGATATTGTGATCACCGAGGCGGTTATGGTAGCGGCGATTAGTAATGAATTCCGGAGGACGAAAGTTATAGAGCTTCTGTTGTCACGTAACCCCGATATCGTGATCACCGAGGCGGTTATGGTAGCGGCAACCCATCATAAGTGGGGCGATCGCGATGCATATGGGGTTACAATTATAAAGCTTCTAACATCACATAACCCCGATATCATGATCACCGAGGCGGCTATAATAGCGGCGATGAGCAATGAACACTGGGGGAAGGAACTTATAGCTATTATTCTATCACATAACCCCGATATCGTGATCACCGAGGCGGCTATGGTAGCGGCGGCCCGTCATAAGTGGGGCGGTGGGGTTAGAATTTTCAAGTTTCTAACACCACATAACCCCGATATCATGATCACCGAGGCGGTTATAATAGCGGCGATGAGTAATGAATACTGGGGGAAGGAACTTATAGATATTCTTCTATCACATAACCCCGATATCGTGATCACCGAGGCGGCGATAGCAGCGGCAGCGCATCATGATTGTGGCGATGGGGTTATAGAGCTTCTATTATCACGTAACCCCGATATCGTGATCACCGAGGCGGTTATAATAGCGGCGATTAGTAACGACTACCGGGGGAAGGAAGTTATAGTTATTCTTCTATCACATAGCCACGATATTGTGATCACCGAGGCGGCGATGGTAGCGGCGGCGCGCAATCCCTATGGCAATGAGGCTGTGGAATTACTCCTACCAAGATGTTCTGAGACCGCGATCACCGACACAGTGATCGTCGCGGCGGCGAGCAATTCATTGAAAGGATTCGAGATAATCAGATTGATACTAATGGCAAACCCCGAAGTTGAGATCACCGATGCCTTTCTCGTCGCGGCGGAGTAGAATACCCGACAAGGCAGCAATATCTTGGCCTTGGTAAAGCGCAGTCGCACATTAATGCCCTCCCTACGTGACCCGGTGAGTTCTATACTTTTCCAAAGAGCTCGGCTGGTGAGGATTTCTTCAAGACGATGTTAGTGTTTTAGCTGACCAATACCATATGTAGAACGATCAGTCATAGGGCGGAAGTCAACATATATACATACATGTAGCTATAGGGCTGGACAGGGATTGTTTAAGCTTGATTATTACTCCAGTATTTGCATTGAATGTTCTGTTTTGTCTCTGCTCTAGCTTGAGGGGGGGGAGGGGGGCGGAACTTTTTAGGACTCGCGCGGCCGGTTTGAAGCCGCCTAAGGAACTGTGGCGAGTGATCTGGCAGCCAATAACAGCTCGAGTTTTTGCAGTCTTTAGATCAATTACCTTTTTTTTGTATGAGCGGCTTCAATCCGGCAGCGCGAGTAGTTGAAACTACAGTTTCTGTATCTGAACTTTGAGTGCAGGTACTGGTGGAGAGCGGCCCGCATATTATGTGATATATATGGGGATTTACATATGCATAGTAACTAACGAGAGATTTGCCGCATAAGGCCAAGTATAGCTTAAGTCGGGATCAAGATCTATATAGGGAATAAATCAAACACAGTTGATGGGGGTCTTGTTGTGCGAGGAGGCCGGATCCGCGTAGCCTGGGTTACTAAACTTAATTAATAAAGATAAGTATATCGTCAGTTGGCCAATTGCAATCATGAGAGACATGCACAAGAATGCCAAGCCCACGCCCCAGCCAAGTTAATCCGAGTGATCGGGCATGAACGAAACACAGGCAGGGACTATAACATGTAATCATAAACAGCCCTCATGCAATTTACATAGTTGGCAACAATAAAAACCTAAGCTCTAGCTGTCCTACTTCGCCCCTCAACCAGTTAACGCTATAACAACAACACCTTCTATATAGATACCCCCTAGGCCATGTATAAGGGATCTGAGCCTCAACGTTAGCTGTCTTTGTGGTTTTAAGTACTGAGCTAGTACTGGTATCGCGACCCTTTACCCATCCAATTTTCTCGAAACCGTTCAAGGCCAAGAGTCTCCACCATAACATCAAGCTCACATTAATCTCGACATCTAGGGTGTCTTGATTAATCACACTGGCTGTGTATGTACTTACATACCCAAATTTTGTGTGTGAACATAGAAACACCGCCGACTGAAGCTTAGTTTTTCACATCAGCAAGGGGAGTAGATCTGGTGAGGTGTTATCACCACACCACCACCACCACCACTTCCACACACCCCCCCCCCCCCCCCGGGGGGGCGCCTACCAACTTCAGTGTGGGGCCATTGCCGGTTTGTGTTCAAGAAATGGGCTGTTCTATTCCAAGCCTATATACTGGCTTCAAATTGAGCTCGAAGAGCGGAATTAAGACCACACCTACCCACTCTTCTCCCGGTTTCAGCGTTTGACTAGCACTGCTCTCCAGTACACCTCCTTCTTTGCCCTCAATTACTTTCTAAAGAATATTTCTTCTATATGTATAGTGACAGAAACATGGATAAAATGACTACCGCAGTCTTTGGCAATGCCATACCATTGCGGTAACACTACCATATACTTCATTAAAATACGGAGATAAAGCGGCATATTCTCACCATTCCGTACTGATGCGGTATTAGTTTTACCCCAATTTCTCATACTGTACGTATACGTGACGGACCTACCTAAATTCGTCGGGTTGGGGACGTTCCTGGTTTATTGAACTACAACCTCATTAAAACTGGACATCACTGGAAAAAGATATTTAGTAAGTGTGGTTATTGGTAGAGGATTGGATCTTTAAAACCCCCTGGTTTGTATGTGGCTTAATATTTCTTTGACTGGCTGTTATCCCACAGGACATCGCGTGTACTTTCTCGTAATCTCTAATCACTGATTGTTCTTGTTGTAATCCTCGTGTTTTCGCTCCACTTCGATGAGTTAGCATATTGTATGACTTTGTTGCACGTTGGTGGTGCATCCCAAGTACCCGGGCAGTATCAGCCCGGTACATACATGTAACTCTGTGCTGTGTTAGGCCAAGCCTCCATTCAACGTGCTCTACAGCGCACGAACAACTGATTAAGCTGTCGAAAGAGTTTAACTAAACACTTTGGTCTTAAATATCCAATTGAACACACATTCTATATGGTTCTCCTGCATGGCGGGGCTTGGAGACAGAGTACTCCCTAAAAAGAGCGACTCGAGTGTTCTTTCAGAATTAGCATGATATTGAACAATTAATCTTAAGCTCTCACCCCCCTTCAATCTATCACAGCTCGCCGTCTTACCGGTATATTGAACCTTCATTGTCGGAGGTTGGTACGGGACACCTCCTAAGCCCATAAATTACCACCACCGCATCACGATACTAAGCTGACACCCGCCATTTTTCTTTCCCACGTCTCACTACAAAACACCCAGTCGCCCCACCAAAACCGCCAACATGGCTACTTCTACTACCCCCCCAACTACTCCAACCGCTCCGACGTCCCCTTCTCCCCCTCTCCTCGCCTCCCCTTCTACCTCTACCACCGTCGCTAACTTTGACACTCTCGAATCACTTCAAAACCATCTCAAAACACTTCTCATTCACCTTGATGACCTACGAGCAAGCCGCGACCAGAACGCCTCCCAGATTAAGGAATTATTTCACGCCGGGGCCAACCCAACCACGAAGCGTAGCATCGAGAAGTTCAAGAAACTTTCCAGAGAGATTCGGAGGTTTAAGTGGTGGATTAGGGAGACAAAGAGAGAGCTAGATCGGGTGTCAGAGAGCTTTGAGGAATTGTTAAAGCTCGAGGGTGCCGAAGGTGGAGGGTGAGCACTGAGGCCAGGCATGGCAACCAACTGTTTTCCAACTTTTCATTCAACTGTCTAGCTGGCCAGGTTAAGAGTTAAATCAAGTCTTAGACCCATCTCCAAACCCTTCTATTTTCTTTAAGGCGCAAGATATTAGCGCGGTTGCATGCACCTTGATCAATCTCGTATGAGTGATATTCTATGACTTCACCGGGATGCCTCTGTGGGCTACCACCCGGCCGGTTATCAACTCATTCTATCTCAAAGTTATATACGTGTATGTATACATGCACCCTAAATTGACGTCAGAAAGCTACGTCGAGTAGCCTAATATTTTCAAAAATGACTTCAATCTACATGTATATGTATGTACATACATGTATTTTCAAGGCCCGCCCTATATACAGCCTCAGTACATGTACATGTATACAGCTGGTCCGCCCTGGGCCTGGGGTAAGCAAGTCACTTGTACAATCTTTGGCCTCCGGTCCTACCTTCATTCTTGTTGATTGCTGCCGTTTGTGCCCTTTTGTGAACAAAGAGACTCATAGACGTTGAGCTACATTCAAATATTATAAGAGCAGGTAGTACGAAAATAGGGATTATGCAACTTCTTTTCCACCGTCCTACCTCTGACCCTATAGCTAGTAAACTAGGGGTCTTCTCCATTAAATAGAGTCTAAATAACTACTATATATGGTCGAGTGGGAGCCAGTAGACTCGGGAAGAGACACGCGTACGCTCTAGAAGGTAGAAATAAGTTTTGGAAAAGACACCCAGGTGGTAACTCTCGACCCCGTGCAGTCATTTACCAAAGTTCCCGGGTAGCTGGGTTCCGCTACCAAACCTGCTAGGCATGGATACTTAAGTACTTACCTAAGTACCTCGTAATATTTAAGCACGTAAGACAGAGGTTTCGGGGTTAGGGTCGACGTCGATTTGATTGAGAACTGTACTTTATAATTTAACGCGAGCCCTGAACAGCAACTGCCAAACCCAAGTATATGACATGTAGGATACACCCATGCTGCAATCCGGTTATAGTTCTACAATTCATTTATATATTTCGCTATATAGCGACAAAATTGGCACAATTAATGAAGTAATCAATCAATCAAGCGACAAAATTGGCGTTAGAAGTACAGATTCATGGATTCTCACTCGCCTCTGCATTATCTTTGCGATTTGCAATTTACCTGATCGTGCGCGTCCGGGCTTACTCGGAAAAATATGTACATATTAGACATACACGTATGTATTATTGTTTTTGGAGTATTCGTGCGATCAAGTATAATTTAGCACCTTATCATGTTCCAAGGTCCTGTTGGCGAAACGGGCTTGTCCGTTAATTTGATATCACTACATATATAGTGCACTGCACTGGTACAGTGCACGTAGAGTATAAGGATGAAGTTGGATGCGGAATGTTCCGTCCAATAGACGTACGTAGTACTACATACATATATGTACATCTACTTGACATCAACTTATTCCGTGGGTGATCAAGGAGCGTTATGAGACAACTTGTCTAAACAGTATAGTCTTCATCGGCGTGGTCAGGAACATTTATGATTAATATTGGTTGAATAGTCTGCATATATGCCACAAAGAACTGCTCCCGATACCCGGGAAGGGAAGGAAGTTGATATAGAAAGAGCAAACAGTAGGTAGTCTTATATATATCAACCTTGAACCATCTCGAGCTCTACCACGGAAGTAAATGCATCAGGAAATGCATCCTGCCATAGTAATGTTCTGGGAAAGGCACCAGGGTGATGCCTTTCCAGCAAGCGTCTCTTGGAAAGGCATCGTTTCGATGCTTTTCCAGTGGAAATGTATCAAGGGATGCCTTTCCATTGGAAAAGCATCAAGGAATACCTTTTTTGATGCCTTTTTTGATGTCTTTCGGGGATGCCTTTCGGGGATACCTTTTTTGATACCTTTCTAACGACTTTGTGATGACTTTCCAATGTCAAAATAACCAAAATTATAGATTTTGAAGACTTAATAATATGTTATCTATAACAAAACCAAAGCTTAGTGGTTAAAACCCTTCATGACCTGAGTTCAATTCCAAATTAACTCATTTTTTTTTCGAAAAATAATTTTTTAGCCTAGTTTGGGCCTAGGATCTATTTCCTGATCTATTTCCTGATCTCTTTCTTGATTCATTTCCTGATTCATTTCCTAATTCATTTCCCGACGAGTTAATTTACTGCATTTCCCAACGGCTTTCCCCATAGAAAATCTCGACGAGTTACCACATACTGTCGACTTGATGCATTTCATTGATGCATTTCCTTGATGCATTAACTTCGGCGGTAGAGGAGGAGAGTAAAACTACACTATTTACTCACGTGACTACATGCATATTGCGGTCGGAGGTCGCACTACACTTGTACTCTATATAAATGCACTACATGCAGCTACATGTGTGTACTTCATGATCAGGTTAGGCCTTGAGAGCTACAGTATCAGAAATAGAGCTAGATCTGATACCGCATCAGTACGGTATTGTGAAAATGTGCCGCTTTATCTCCGTATTTTAACGAAGTATACAGCAGTGTTACGGCAGTCGTACGGCATTGCCAAAGACTGCGGTAGTCGTTTTATCCATGTTTCTGTGATCCAACTTGTACAATTGTGCGGATGGCTGCATGTACCTTTCCCAGGTTGAACTTTAATTAGATACGGATCCCTGCATAAATCCCTATCGTACTTCAAACCTCAAGATACATACACTAAGCTCAGAACATATCACAAGTGGGAAGCTTCTCATCCCGACGGGCATCTTATCTTTCTTTGGGGGCTCTCTATGTATATACAGGTATGTATATACCAGGATGGGTATAAACACAGATAGTTTATCATCGACGACTCTAGTTCTTCAAGCTTTACCGTCCTCATCCTCGTCGTCTTCGCCACCATCGTTCATTTGGTCACACTTTTCAAAACTGTCAGCAAGGTTCTTCTCTCCTGAGAATCTCTATTCAGATGTTCTTACCCCTTCCATGATAGCACCTAGAAGAAGCTTCGTCAGCTACATGTTCATGTTAGAGATCTTCAACCGACACAGCGTGGGATAAACAAACCTAAAGATCTGCTACGGAAAAATCATCATCTTCTCCCAATAACTGTTCCGCTTTTTCGATTCCCTCCTCTACGGTTTCATGCAATATAAGTGTGTGTGTGCCTACTTCAACTCGCTCTCTTGCTTACCTGCGATGCAATCAACGGAATATCCGATCTCGGGATCTACATCCAGCCTATGTAAGAAAGCTTTGGCGGTTGAGCTGTTCCCTACGCGAGCAATTTGAAAGGACACCGCTAGTTTTGATGTCAGTCACTTATGAACACGGAGACTTAGGTTTCGCTACAATCCAAAGCACTGGTTACAACCTGTTCGTGCACATTTCAGCCTCCGGAGATGGCGCTGAGGTTGCAAAATCACCGATTTCAATGTCCCAGGGGCTTCTTCGGCAGGCTTCGGGACCCGTCAGTCAAAACCTTTTAGACCGAACCGATGTAGTCTCACCTCTCCGTCGGTAATAATAAGCACCATCACAGGTTTCTTCAATGTGTTCTCACGTGCCGGCCGAAGTACAAAGGGCTCCAAAATCTTATCCCTTAATTCCGTCCCAATCTTTGTCCAGCCACGAAATGGATTACTCTTTATAATCTCGGGGATCTTATTGATATCCTTCACATTGTTCACCCCCTCAAGTTTGTTGAACCAGTGTATGGTGATCCCGTCGCTGACAAAATGAGTGCTAATTTCGGTGATGCGAGTTAGGAAGACCTGGAGTGCCTTAATCCGTCGTCCTCCCTCGGAAATCTTCATTGACCCGCTGTCAACTAAGGATCGTGAGGGTTGACCTTGGAAAGCAGAGGTCTCGGCAAGGGCATACCGAGTAACAGAACTATCCTATACAGGGCCAGGAGGGACATATCCATTGCCACTTCGGGGTTTTGTACAAATTTCGGATGAACGCTCTTGACCAGACTGTCAGCCTGCTTGGCGATACCCACCAGCGTCTCTGAGCCCTGTGGATAGAAAGCCTGCAAAGATCGCTCCTCAACATAGTTATTGAGAAACGCAAGGTAGTTCTCTGTATTCTGGGAGTCCTGCAGTTGGCAAATCTGATTAGAGTCAAAGTTACTGGGATAAGACAGTGATCACATACCATAAGTTATTTAATATCAAAGGCGGAATTTACAACCCAAAATTCCCGGGGAATATGTAGTTCGCTTTTCACGGGATTAAGAGTCTCTAGGTGAGCATCCTTCAGCAGCTTCACAAAGTAAGACCAGATGATTAGGAGGAGTGAATAGGTGGCGATACAAAGTTTAGTGCCAGGATAAGGCTTGATTAACCTCGACTGTAGGTAGGTATACCTATGCCATAGGCTCCGGTAACATTGTTTCCTGTTTCCTTATATTGCTAGTTTGTATGCACATGCAGTGTGCTATGATTAATCGAGAAACCGACTGGATTAGCTACATTGGTTGATCAAATTACAATTGGAGCCGAACGTTTTCTATTTCTCGCTTTAAAGCTTTATTAGATGATCCAGATGCTTCGCCATAACTTCATAACACATAATTAAAATCGGCTAAAGTCATACGAATTAATTAACTCTACCTCCATATACAACTAGGAGTAATTATGGCCTCAAATACCCTCTGTTGCATGCCTAGAGCACTTCATTCATTAACTGTTATTGAGTAGGCCTAGAAGACTTATGATTCATGACTACCACATGATGACAAGTTCTAGGACCGTATTTTAATTAGATTTTACTTTCTCATTCGCCATATGCATCTATATGTGGCTCCGATTCAGATCCTATATCTTATGGATAGCCCACACAACCCGCGGCACATACAGGGGTACGATATAGAATCGGGCTATGCATTACTTGCATGTTTAATGGTAAAACCCAAACTTTTTCCCTTCTACTTTGAAGTCTTGGGAAACTATATGTAGGTACATATGTATCTCACGTCGGCAACATAGGGCTCTTGTGATCGACCGCAGATAATTGGTTTTGTACGTAATTCCTTTTTGTCGATAAGATAATTTTTCCTATCTCACCTGGGACATGACCATAACTTGAATGCACTGACTAAGCACACCGAAGAACGACACATATCACAATACCTGTTGGGCTTGAAACTTATTCAAAATTACATGTAGTACCACGTTACCATGGCCACCAATTACCCCTTAAGCTTTCTTATATCACATACTATATAAGTGCATGTCAAATAATGGAGGGAGCTAGGGACAGCGGATATATTTTTTTAAAAAAAAATAGAGGGGTGGTAAAGAAATTATTGGTATGTACAGCCGCACATTGCAAACGTGTCGTGAACTCCACTCCTTCTTAACACCTAGTCTATTCCGTTCACGAAGAACTTCTTGTACTGCTTACAGTCAGTATGTTTTATAATCATTTTAGAATGAACATAGATCCTTTCACTTCATACCTTTCCCGCGTCCGGGGTTGTGTCGCTCACTAGTTCAACTCTTGGGATTTCAGTTGATTACATACAGTCGCAACTGTAATCTGATTTTGTCGACTTGAGTTCTTTTTGTTTTGGGACCCTTAGAGTGTATCTCGGTGTTCCAAGGGTATTAACTGTCCAAGCCGTCTCATTATACCGAGTAGATACTTCCCTCAGTTCCACAAGATTCCTCTTCGTCGGTCGGCCGTGCATGAGGTCTTCTTCCGTGGAATTGATCACCATTCCTGGTCTCGGTGGCTCTCCCGTTTGATTCTGCGAGCCCGTACAGAACTCGAGAACGATATATGGTTCTCGGTGAGGAGTAGCAATGATATACTTCGGAATCTGAGTCTCTTTTCCGGATCCTGCAAATGCCACTGGGTAGGTTTCAACTGGAATCAGGTTCACCTGTGTATATTTGTCCTTGCCATGTTGTGCAAGTACTCTAGATCGACGTCCAGGAGGTATCTTCAAAAAGATGTTGCTATTTCTTTGCGCTTCTAAGCTCGATCCCATGGATCCTGGCAGATAAAGCTCGATAGATGTCCTTTCGTAACAATGTTCAAGCATTTCGAAGAGGTTACCGCATGTGAGAATTGACCCGCAGTTTCTGTTCGTGCCTGGCTTTCCTGCGTAATTACTTGTGTATATATATTAGCCAGTCATATATATGCTACAATTCATATCCTTTTGGAATATTCTTACTGTATTCCAATTGCGGTGTAGTAATCGTCTACTCTGACACAAACCGGACCACCGCTATGTCCTTTTTCAGTGGTAATCAGATACTGTAGTTGTTTTCCGTTTAAGTCGATCTTTGTAATTTTCCCGAAAGCATTCAGGGCTATGTCCGCCAATATGATGGATCCGTCGTGATTCTGGGCCGGATAGCCGTAGACCGTTGCTTCCTTCTCGAGGATCGATTCTTCCTCCATGATGACACTGTAACTAAATCCCGCTCGAGGCGAACCACCGACCCTCTTTTTAAGCAATATGCACCCATAGTCGTTTACAGCATTATTTTCGGTAGGATCTTTCTCGTAACTTCGTGAGGCGAAATACTCGTTTTTATCTTTACTTACTACTGTTTCCTCGGAACCAATGCTACTACCGCCAACTCCTCCAAACAATATTTCAATAGACTTTGCATATTTCCCCTCACTGTTGACAAGATTATGGCCTGCTGTCATTATCAAGTCTTTTTTACTTCCGGCGGGTAAGTTAACGAGAAAGCCACTTCCTCGTGCGTAATCTGTATATAACAGAAAGCATATCAGTACAGAATATCAATTTGGGATGTACGGTATCTAATTAAGTACGTACTTTGGCTATCATCGAAGAAGATCTTCAAACGACAGGTCCACCTGAGAGGGCCTAAAGTATCAACCAGATACGTCCCCGGCACAAAACCCTCTGCCCGAACAACTTCAGCCGGCTTCTCATATGGTTTAATAGGCTCGGCCCAGGGCATTGTATATAATTAAAATTATACTGCTCAGCTGTACCTTGGGAATGGTATGATAATAGTGATACTCGATCTATCAATCCTCACTAGCACGTCGGGGTCTGGGGGTGTCCTATATAAAGCTTTAAAGAGCAGTTCGGAATATCGAGCATCATGTCGTTGACTCAATTAGCAGTCTTGATTGTGCTTGGATTCGATTCCCGGTCACGCATATTTCGGGCCCACACGAAATTTCGTGTAACATACATGTATGTACCTACACTTACCTAGCGAGCTGCATATGCTGTTGTGCGCAGCCTCTAAAGTATGTGGAGAGTATATATAGCGTTTCCGGACCGGACTGAGTCTGCATACCACCAAAATATGGCTGTTATGCACGATTTTCGCCCATATGCAGACCCAGTTCAGTCCGGAAACGTCGAGTACATATGTGTTGCACATATGCAGACAATCGTGAATCTGCACAGTGTTGGGCAGTTTATCAAGCGACCTTTATTCCTTCGGCTGTGCCCGGTTTTCGCAATAGGGATTAGCAAAAATCTAGCCACGAAGAGGGGTTGGTGCTGCCATAAAGGGAAGGACGGGGTCACGGAGTGAGGGTTAGGTAAAAAAAACACTTGAATGGGTAAAGGATCGATACAACCTTGGATTTCAACTGGCCTTCAATAATATCTGATGAAAATATCATTGGTCCGCAGATCAGATCATGTATCTTATCGGAATCCCACCTCGAATTTAAAACCTCTGGTCGACATGCTATTAAAAGCGGGGTGCTAGTACTTCCATGAATCCATGCATGAAAATATCTCAATTGCGGGGACGATGATGCTTGCATTCATTTTGCCTTACATATACTGTCATCTTTACTATGGTTTTTAAAGTCTACTATGTACACCCGCAGGAAAAAAGTGAGGAAACAATGAGTAGCATGACAACGAGTGCGTCTAACTTGACATCCCCACACCCGCAATACAGCCTCACGAGTATTCCCTAGCCATGCCTTTTGACAAGTCCGGAAAGTGAAGAGAGGCTACTCTTAATGAAAACATAAAAGTTATTGAAGCCCAAGCTAGGGAAGAGTGGGAAAGGCTAGATTGGGAAAATGTATATAAAATCATTGACAGGGGGGGGTTTAGTAAGCAGTACGACACATCAAAATACTGAGCACCCACGCACGACTGATCATGAGCGGGACCGAAGGTCCCCATAATTGTAGAAGGGGAGGTGGAGGGGGTCGAAGGCCCCCATTGAAGTCATTCCACAATTCTTGAACACTTGATACCCATAATCAAAAGTGCAACTCGCGGTCGCGAGCTGGTACACCCCTAGTAATCTATGTACTCTACTAATTTGTATATATGGATATTTCTACAGATACACTGGAAGCCATCCCTGAAGATGTTCAAACCTGGAGCCTTGAAAAATTACAGATCTTGCGTAGAAACGGCTCACCACAAATCTGTAGACACTCCCCTGGGGGTGTCTACAGACCACATTTGAACGCCTACAAACCTTCAAAAATATCCACGGGATGGCTTCCACTAGAGCCTCAGTTAACCGAATATTTAAAACGTGGATCCAGTCATTTTTTAGAGAAGTAGTCGGTATTGTGATCATGATCGACCCAAGTCCTAACATTATTTTTCTGTGCTTCACGTGCATATGGCAGTACTAGTACAAGGCTGCAACGAATACTTAAACTAATAGTTTCAAGCGTGCGCAATATTATATTGCCAGCATCTGTTTTCTCCTAAAAGTTCTGGCCGCAGTTTAAATCAGCTGATCAGGTGTAGCTTGGAGTTTGAATTAACGATTGCTTAGCCCGGGTCAAAGGATGGTATATCAATACCTAGGGGCGCTAATCCTGTAGGAAATCAAACCCCGTCAAATTCTATGATCTTGATACAGCTCTCAGCTATCTACCTAAGCTAGCTTTGGTCATTAAATTCACCCCCACTTACTATTAAACACAAAGGCCACGTACGACCATAGTTAAACCAAAACCTACCTCATACCTCGGTTTACTCTCCATAAACTAGCTAGCCTTGGACGAACAAAAATTATCTGCGAGATGACGGGGACTTATTTCGAGTTCTTCGAAAACGATCCCAAGGAAGAAGATTTTATCGAATTCATTGAATCCCATCCTTTATGCGTGTCCGAAAAATCCCCGGATGATCATGAGTGGTCACCCCTCTACCATGCGACAAGCGCAGGATTCAACAACATTGTCAAAGCTCTTCTCAAGCACAACCTAGAGGTTGATTTTAAAGACTCCCATGGACGAACGCCTCTATGGATAGCAGCCAGCAATGGAGAGGAGGAAATTGTCAAGGTGCTCCTGCAGAATAGGGCATCACCTTCAGTCGAATGCTGTACATGCAAAACCAGTGTACTTCACATTGCCGTTCAAAAGAGACACCTCGAAGTAGTAAGATTGCTAGTTACGGAGAATATAGATATCGATCCTGAAGATGCCCGAGGCGAGACACCTTTGTTTAAAGCGGTTAGGAATAACGACCTAGAAATGGTAAAAGAGTTGGTAGAGCGCGGGGCCTCCAAGTCAATTCAAAACGATGACGGGAAGACTTTAGAGATGCTAGTTACAGAGGCAGGTGATGGTGTATATGTGGACCCAAGGGTAGAAACTGAAATCACTGGTAGGATTGTACGTATCAGCGATGTCTTTCCATTTCTAATCATTTGTCGCTTCATTACGTTCGACGTCCTCAATTAATGGCTAACCTCTAATTGCAAACGTATAAGAGCTCGAGAGCCAATGACGATTACAGAGTCGACAAATACGACGAAGACGACATATACGACTACGACAACGATCCATACCTCAACAAATTTCTTGACCATATTGAGGATAGAGGACTTGGAGCGTTTTTCACCCGTGACGGCGCTAACCTCAAAGAATCTCTCCGTCCATACACCACCCAAGCCAGGACGCTGATTAAAGAACTAGACGCGGAAAAGGAAGAATCTGCTTCAGAAGTGGCATTGCTCACTTTGTATGACCTTGCTATTCTCATTGGTAATAATAAGCCCATACCGGAGACTGATCTTGCTGATTTAAAGGCTGACTTGTTTATTTCAACAGATGATAGTACATCGATGCAGTGGGAGGAACAAGGTACACGAATCCAGGTTCTTGTGGACTTTATGAAAGCAATCTCCCATATATATTCCTTCGCCGGTGATGGAAGAAACGGTAAAATACGAAGGATACAGTTCCTAAATAGTAGGAAAGGCGGTGACTTTGTCGATAGTGCTTCATTAGAGAAGCTACTCCATAACCACTCCTACTCCGGCATGACAAGGATAGGGACCCAGCTTAAAAAGAAGATTTTGATCGATTTGGTCTCCTCAAAGATGCCGAAGCCTCTTCTTGTAATAATCATAACGGATGGAGAGGTAAGTGAGATCCTAGCCATGTTGTTTTTATCCCCATTACCTTATATCTCTATGGTTAGTTAACTAGCTAAACCCGTGGCTTGAATTTTTCAGATACAAGGTGAAAGCAAGAATGTTTTGTTTGATGTGCTCGCCGATGTTTACTCCTTCTGCAAAACCTTTCCCACTGGGGAATACGGTCCGTTTTTCTTCTTTCTTGCAATTTTGACAGCGACTGATCCTAACCACGCTTTCTTCTCTAGCTGTCTCATTTAAGTTTTGTCGTATCGGAGATGACCAAGGCGCAAAAAGACCTGCTTCAGGAACTTGACGACCATGAGGAATTAGGGAAACATATTGATTGTCAGCGAGGTATGTATAGTGCATCTTCTTCAGTTGTACCGTTGTCATTAATCGCAATTTTGTACACAACTACAGCGCATGTCGATCTTACGTCTATTCTCAACCGAACTCATTCATTTGAGGAGGTATGAATTCCCTACCACCCCTCTTTAGTATCCTCCGGATCCTCCTCCATGTGCTAACCTGAATCAATGCCACTAGATTACAAAACTCTTGATTGGCCCTATAGTAAAATTTGGAAAATATGACTCACCACCTAAGGAAGATAGAAATTTGCAAAACCTTCCATATCACGATATCCTCCCAGACAACGATGATTATCCCTTTTTGACCGGCACCTCGACCCCAATCACTGAGAGAGGATCCTCGATCCCAATCACTGAGAGAGGATCCTCGATCCCAATCACTGAGAGAGGATCATCGACCCCAATCACTGAGAGAGTATATCCACTAGCAGTAGACAGCGGGAGGCCGCAGGAGGCCGCAAAGGCAGCGACGACACAGCTGCATAGCAGCAGGGTTGCGGGAACTACACAGCTGCGTGACATCCGTACTGCGGGAACTGGACTCCTGCGTGGCCCAGGCACTAGCACAGCAGGCAGGCAGGCTGAAAACCTCAAAGTCCCAAAGACCCGTCACCCCAAGCCCGTCATGAGTCTGTTCAAAGCGGGCATGGGTAGGCTAAAGCTACGCCTATAACCGCCCCTATATAGCACTGATACATGCATCGATGGTGGTGATGGTGGCGCGCATGGTATTCTTTAATAATCGTATTTCTAGATTCAGGCATAATTCGGTGGAGGGAAAACCCCAGGATGAAATTCAATATCATAATCCGAGTTTATCCTACTAGTAGTAGTACTACTATACTAGCCAGGATACATATTGTATATAATTGTGAAGATGATTATATTGAGCTAGACTACTTATTTTGAGCACCCCTGACTTGACCCGTTTATACCAAAAATCATTGTACTATATACAAGCATTTTCCGGCCTTTGGCCGGAGTAGGAACTGTTATGGCTTAAACAATATCAGTTTACCAACGCTTAAGATCACTGAAACCCCAAGATGCCCTGTGCACATATCTGATATACTATTTGGTTGACTCAAGGTATGTTGGAACCAATATCTACTGGCTGACTCAAACATATTTGATAGAATATCTACTAACTCCAACATATTTGATAGAATATCTACTTACTGACAAACATATTTGATAGAGAAAAAGAAAACCCCTCAAACCTGGCCAATCAAAACCTTTAAATAACACATTGCATATCGGTATATCTATATACTTATTAGATAAGGAATTGTTGCAATCTCTCCCGAGGTAAGTTGTTTGATCATAACGCGCATGCCGATGAATCGCAGTTGCTGATTGATATATATATATACGTGTGTATTAGTGGGATGATATACAAAACATTGCTTCCAATCGCAAAAACGACTAACAAGAATTATTAAACTCCTGAACAATATATTTACATTGCGCTATTTAGTGTTAGGGATTCCTGTAATATATACTGTCCGGCCGGTCAATGAGGGTGGGACGTCAGTCTAGCCGTCAGCAACCAAATTTTGTACGAAATACTATGGCTTTTGTCAGAGGCAAGTTAGACTGGTACGATCTGTGGAATGTTACGCGGATTATTTGCCTGTACCAAATTCTGTCGGAGCCGTGAAAGCGTTGTCCCAGTATAGAAAGAATTATCAACCGTTGATCGCACAGTTGCGGCAGGGTTATTCATCCGGTGAGAGGCCATTGTTAACTATTACTGGAGTAATTAATATATCAGTTGGTATTGTCAAGACAGTGACCAGTAGCTACCCGCGCGCAGGACAGAAAGGGGTAAACGTTTAGAACCAAGATCACGGCGCGGCCCCTTCAGATTTTACCCCACCAAAATGCAGTACGAACCAGTCTATGTCATATCTCAACCCATACGATACAGTGTACCAAATGGCTGTCACATTGACCTATGTATCAATATATAAAGTGTCAGACTCAATCGACCTGTCCCAACCTCATTGACCGGGACGGTATAATGAGTATTTGTACCAATAAAACACGGAACGTCAGAAAAGTGTATATGCACGCTTACCAGCAATAGAACCAGAAAATGAAAGTAACGGAAACGGGGATTATTTGTATGAGAGAACGGCGCCACTCCATACAAATTACCCTTGCCCTGAGCAACTGCATTTTTCTGGTTCTTATGCTGGTAAGCGTGTACATATCTGTCACATATATAGGGTCATGTTTGTTTCGTGCAATTCAGATTACAGCTTGTATATCATACGCATCTAGCTCTAAAAGCCCACATCGAGCGATTAGTTTTAGTAGCTCATGGAATACTAACTTATAAGCCTATGATGTACGCAATTTGTGGTGATCTAGCCATACTTGGTCTTGCAATGACGATCTTTCAGCTTTGTCTATTACTGAATACTACGTGTGGGTGTGCGAGGAGCACATTCATGAGTGATCACTCGACAGTTTCATTCCCAAAACCCTGATACGATAGCTGATTGATTGATTGATCGATAATTATAATCCACCAAGTGCATCTGATACGACAGCTAATCCTCGCCCCCTCCGCACACCTCCTCCGCAACATCCAGAATCTTGATCACAGACTCCAGCCCCGCCTCATCCTCCGCCGGCACATCGCTCACAAACATGCACCCCGGGAAATGGCTCAACACCACCCCCTCAATCCTGCTCTCCATGACCGCCACCTGCGGCGTGACCCCACACCCCCAGAACACCGGCACCTCCCCCTCGCCCACCTCCACCCACTCCCCAAAGTCCACCTTCCCACCCCTCACCTTCTCCGCAATCCCCAACCTCTCCGCGCCCTCCCACCCCCACGCAACCGGCTCCCCGTGCTGCCTCCCAAACCGCCTCGTAATGTCCCTCACCTCCTCGACCCTCCCCGCCGGATAGGCCCGCATCGACACCACCATCACCCCGCCCGTAAACACCCCCGCCGGACACAGCGGCACCGTCGTCCGGAACATGGGCACCGTCCTTGCCGGCACACACAGCGTATGCTTCGGCGGCAGCCCCGCGCGCTCGAGCGCCGTCTCGAACGAGTACGAGCAGCCGATCAGGAAGCCGACATGGTCGCCCGACCACTCCTCCCTGATGTCCAGCACGCCGCGGGGGCTCTGCAGGACCCCGTCGACGTAGATGTTGTATTTCGGCAGGTCGGTGCGGAGGTCGGCGCCCGCCGCGAGCGGGGTTGTGGCCGTGCCGGGCGGGGTGGTCCAGAGGAGGGGGCAGGAGACGGGGTTGCGGGCGCAGAGGGCGCGGAAGGAGGGGGCGTAGCGGGTGGGGAGGACGAGGAGGTTGGCTTGGATTGTGGGCGCGAGGAGGGAGGTGCTGGTTGTGTGCGTGTTGGCGCGGCAGGCGAGGCGGAGGGACTCGGCGGGGGTTTTGGGTTTGGGGGACATTGCGGTGGTGGGGAGCTGCCGGTGGGGGGAGGTGCTGGCGGGCGGGCGGGCGGGCGGGCGGTCGAGGTTATGGAGCCGGTGTTGTAGGCGCTCCTGCTGCGAGTGGCCTGAATCTCACCGGATTGCTATGTGGTGGAGGAGCTCTTCTGCAAAGCACCGGCTCTTTTAGATGCAGTAGCCAGAAAGGCGATTGATCGACGGCAGCTTCGGACATTATTGGTCATTTCACAAGTACCAGCTACATAATCAACCACGCAGATTGGCCGTAGCTCAACACCCCTTCCCTCTTCAGGAGCAACACAACTGCCAACCAAAACAGAGGCTAACTCTCATGGGGATGCAAACAGACAAACCTACGAGGAGTACTCTACGTGTATCGGACATCCGGATTGCGGGCCGAGAGCCTTTCATCTCGATCCTGTCTATCTCTCCATGCTTGAATTCTGTCAACCAAGGTTTGAAGGAGCGTGGCATTCTTAGGCTTAAATGGCTACATTATTTCCGAGTTTTCTTACAAGGCCAGTCAGAACCTTATTAGACGTGGCCTCCAAGTAAGGTCTGTTGTTTTTACAGTCTTTAATTTGCCATCGATCTGTCATTAGTACTGTGTCAAGACAACGAGTTTCGTTCGTGTCTTGACGATACGTGTTTATTTATCCTTTAGCTATATAGGAGCCTGCTGCTTCTTGTCTCGTTAATAATTAATTCAAGTATGCAATTCCGATTCTCTTCGGTCTGTTATAAAGTCGCGATATCAATAACAAAGGCAACTTCAAAAGCAGACCACGGTAGTGCCCTAGAGACCCTAAGGAAAGACCTATGCACTACGTATATGCCATCTCTGCTTGCAAACCCCCTTCTTAGACCACCAAAGACGCAGAAAGTACATCAACCGTGGCCTGGACCGTCCTCCCAGGCACTCATATACATAAAGGCACCAACCCCCCTCGATCCCCTCCCTCCTTCCTTCCCTCTGGTAAATTGATTGTCAACATGTCAAGCTGGACGGAACGCAGGAGGATGGATACCGAGCCCCTCTCATTTCTCCCCGCCAGCTGATCAAGGAGCGATTTTTGGGAAACATATACCCTGATGGCGTGAAACAAAATTGCGTCTCACCGCGAACTGAACGTTTCGAGACAGCTCCGAGGATTTTGCAATCATTGACACCCCTTGCTTACTTCGCAACTGATCGGCACAATACTCTTTTTTTCGCCATCTACTTGAAAAATCAACATACTCGCATCATTCCTGTCGCCAAGAATGAATGATAAACTCCCCGCCCGGGCAGCGGATCGCGGATGTAAGGAGGTCAATGATAATTTTACCCCCCCCTTCACCAGCCTCTTCCCCTCAAACTAAACCAGCCCGCTGCATTCCTCTCCTTACATATAACAGCACCGGTATCACTTGCAATTTGTCTTGTTTCTTCTTCCCTCCGTGTAGCTATTTCGAACCATCCCAACTCTCTATCAGAATCGACAACAACACCACACACGGATCATCGATAGGAGCTGGTTTATATCCTTCCTTCCTCCGCCCCCAGTTTGTTCCCCCTTCTTTTTTCTTCACCCCGCGACATACACTCATTCATCCGTCCACTCCCTCACTCACTACCAATTTATCCCTAGTCCATTTTTTTTCCAACTACACCACACTCTTTTACCGCAGTCATGCGCTCCAGTCCAGTCCTTCTCCTCCTCGCCCTGGCCCTCCCCGCCCTCACTTCCCCCATACCCCAAGAAGGCAACGAGCAAATCGACCGCTTCAATGTCTCCCCCACCCCCACACTCGACGCCGTCCCCTCCGCCACAGCCACCCCCTCCGCCGCTGGTGCCCCCGAGCCCGTCGACCCTGCGATGCAAGCCCTCGCCAAGCCACCCCAGATCGACGCTGACGACGGCATGAAGTCCGGCATGGGCGCCGCTATGGCCGGCCTCGGTTCCGCCACTTCCGCACTCTCCGCCCTCCCAGTCGTCGGCGGTCTGGGTGGCAGCCTGGGCGGCCGTGATGTCGCGGTAAAGAAGAGATGGGCCCTGCTGGAAGGACTACCTGTTGTAGGCCCTCTCCTGGGCAGCGGCCTGGCGGGACGAGTCAAGAGGACGTTGTTCCCTACGCTCGCGAGCATGCCGGACATGGGCTCGAGCGGAGTGGTCAATGTGGGGCATAAGGCCAAGAGGGAGGCCAACCTTCTTTCCTCGCTGCCGCTGCTGGGCAGCTTGACGGGTGGGAAAGTGAAGCGTCAACTCGATGGGCTCACCGGCGTATTGGGAATCCTGGGCAACCTGGGCGGTGGCCTCGGTGGTAGCAAAGCAAAGCGTGATCCGGCATTTGAGGCCCTGGGCGAGGTCCCGGGTGTGGCCACGACGTTACTCAAGGCCTTCGGCAAACAGAACAGAAGGCGTCAGCTCGATGGTATCCCCGTCCTCGGTCCTCTTCTAGGTGGTGGCCTTGGAAATATCTCCCCACGAGGCGAGGACCCCCTTGCTCAGATCAAGAAGATGGCCGCCGTCGTGGCCGATATCCGCGGTGTCACCTCGAAGCGTGAGGCCGAAGCCGAAGCCGAAGCTACTCCGGAGCAGGGTGATTTCAGACAGGGCCTCCGAAAAGCGGCCGATGCCAAGATTGAAGGCGAGCTGAACAAGGTCGAGGACAAATCCGAGAGGAAAATCAAGATCAAGAACACCAAGTTCCCCGGCGGCAAGGTCAAGTCTCCCAAGGAGGCGCTGGACAAGAGAGAGGCCGAGGCCCTTGGCCTGGACGCTCTGCCGGTAAAGGATGCGGTTGAAGGCGCAACTGGCCTGAAGTCCACGATGGATCTGGTGAAGAACTTGTCTAGCCAAGTGGAGAACCGGAATGGAAAATAGACGGTGCGCGTGTAGGTGGGGGACGTTTAAATTGGGATCGTATATGGAGTGGTAGCGTCGGTTTTTTTTTTCTTTCTGATCTTGTCTCATTGATAGTCTTTTGCCTTATTTACTTTCTTTAATAAAACTGTTCGGTTATATCCCTAGACACTAGTTAATGTTACGAGATTTGGAGTCTTCACTCACAAGTGCCACAAAAATCAACTTCATCATTGACCACTCATTTCTCTGAGAAGCGCAACCTCCTATGGTGCACAGCATCAATGCCTCCCCCAAGTTTGCCGATCCAGTAGTAAAAAAAGTCCTCCAGGAATTCTTCATAATTATAGGCTCTCCTGTAATGATCAGTGTCGCCCATCAATGCAGCCGGGAGTGAGACCCCCGAGCGAATATAAACTCAAGAAACAGCAGAACCCAAACTACAGTCCAAAACTAGCATTTATTGATAAGAAGTATTATTTATTATCCCCTATTCCCCGTTCTGTCAGCGCACAGGCTTCAGGGAAACCGGTAGTGATGCATACGTACGGTGACTAAATAAAATGACATTCCCAACGCCGACTTTTGTATCTCCCAGATGGCCAAACAAAAAGAATACAACGATAAGAATACAAAGCGCCTCGAAAGCGAGCGCAAAGAGAAAAGAAAGAAAAACCAATGCCCTCCAAAAGCCAATCTAATCCAACCCGTGCCCGCTTCCGGAAATTCCCATATACATCTACAACTTCTTCGGTGGCGCCGTAGCAGCAGCAGCAGCAGAAGCCTTCGCCCTCATTTCCAGATCGCCCTCCGACAGGGAGACCGCGGCCTTGACCATCTGCACGACGTTGATCCACTGCTTCGCGGCGCAGACCGGGAACGTGATCGCCGCCACAACCCACGGCCAGCTAACCTCTCCCTGGAACTGCGGGAACGACAGCAGATACATGGCCAGGAAGAAGCCCTCGTTGGCCGCACAGAACGTGAACAGTACCTTCTACAGCCGGATATTAGCCCTTTCTCCAACACAAAACAACATCCGGGGGTTGCGGGCGCGGGCGCGGGCGCGGATGCCTTTTATCTCCGCGCCGCGGGTGACAACAACTTACATTATTCGAGTAGTAGAGATTGAGGATGCGGCTCCTCTTCTTCTCGACCGTCTTGTGGCTGCTCACACCGCGGTCGAGCGTCGCATACATGTGCATGTAGTGGCTCGCGAGATCGAGACTGATGAGGCCCTGGAAGAGGATGGCCCACTTTGTGTATGCCGCGGAGAGGAAGCAGAGCAGACACGCGGTCGTGCAGCGGTCCGTCACCATGTCGAGGACCGCGCCGAACTTTGTCGACTGGTTGAATGTGCGGGCGGCATAGCCGTCGAGGGCGTCGAGCAGGCAGGAGACGGTGTAGAGGAGGGTGCAGTAGTGGGGGTGGTATGGCATGAAGTAGAGGGATGCGCCGGCGAGGATGATGCGGGAGTAGCCTGTGCGTGTAGGTGGTTAGTTTTCTGTGTAGCTCCTCGGGGTGTGAAGGAGAGGATGGGGATTACCAATCAAGTTTGGGATGAAGAGGAATATGTTCTCTCTACTGGGGGGGTTCTTTGGGGCCATTGCTGCGGAGTTGGGTTTGTGGTTGAGCTGGTGTGGTGTTTTTGTTTTGTTTGAGGATGTAGACAGGTGGGCAGGATGGTTGTAGTACCGTCGTCGAAACAGCTCACTCCCGGGGAATGGCGAACAGAGTACAGAATGGTGATGGGGTTTGGGTGGAGGAGGAGGATGATGATGAGGATGAGGAGAGGTTTCGGAGAAAGGGATTAACAGAAAACAGGGCCGTATCGTGTGCTTAAGTAGTCTGACCAGGAGGAGGAGGAGGAGGAGGAGGAGGAGGAGGACACTTTCACTTATGGCTCACTCGTAGATTTGCTTCCCTTCCCTCCCTTCCCTTGCAACAATTTCATGCTCACTCATCACGGAACGTCATTAACCGTTGGCCTTGTCATGGTTGAGTGCGAGTGCAAGTGCAAGTGCAAGTACAAGTACGGATGTCCAGTATGCACCCCCTCCAGTGCGTAGGGAGAGTCAATGGCCCCGCGCCAATGGGAGCGCGAGCGGGAGTAGGACTGAGACTCTGATGCATCGAACGCTGACTGCAACTGCAACTGCAACTGGTACTGCAACTGTTACTTCTACCTGGACATCATCAATTCCTAGAGCTGAATACCTACTGACCCTTCTCAACTATCCTCTGCATCTCACTGCGCCTGCCACCACCCATCCATCCATCCATCCATTCATCCCTCCATGTCGGCACCCATCCTCCTTTCTCGGCCTGCCCCACACCCCCTGTCTCTCGGAGGGTTAATATTCCGGGTTCGGGAGGAAGGAGGTAGCGAATGTGCTCGAAGCTTTCCTGTTCCTGATACGAAAGACATTGCCTTGTTACACACACTGGATAGCATACCAACTCCACGCCGGGGAGTAGGTGCTTACTTCTACCCATCGTGTGTCCCTCTCCCTGTTACAGCAGGTGAGAAGTGCAAAGCCTGGGGACTCTGCTAGTACGCTAATAAACAATGCTATGACATCACGTTGTTCTCAAACCCACCTCTAAGCCTACTGCCACAGTGCCACGCACTCTTCCATCAAAAAAGGTCCGCCCAGGCCCCAGCCACGGCTTATTCTACTCTCTACATACATGTACACGCAGGTACATACATACTTACCCACCATACCAAGGCCTGTCTCGTATTGACACCCTGCCCCAGACGGGTCCTGACACTCCCGATTACGCGTCAAATCTCGCTACCGCTCCGCTCCAAGATTGCGATGTATGATTTGCCCATGGAAACCGGGCGATCTGATCACGGAGATGCGCACGGCTACAAGTCCATCTGGAAACTCAATCTGCCTTGCGTTTGCGTGCTAAATACTAAATACTAATATTCCTTGGCAAGCCTTGATATTACTTCTAGCTTTAAGTACTCTTTCTCATGTCACTCCTCCATTCAGCTTAACCATGTGTATCGTGTAAAGGTCATGCTTCTCGTGTTGCTTCGTGCTCCTAAATCAATCCCAAAACTCCCTGTCCTCCAACGCATGCGCCCAAACAAACAAAGACTTCTCTCGCAAATCGAACTCCATCTCTCATCTAATGCGCCTTCAAAGGCTTGTCCTCTCGTGGGTCAAAGGGGTGTTTGATCGTCAAACACCAGATGTCGAGGTATTCGCAGATGTTTGTAATCACATCGACCACAAAACTGCCATAAACGCCAACGCTCAATCCAAGACAGCCGAAAACATAAGCCACCGCGTATGGACCACCCCCCAAGACGCTCGGCCATCCAAGTACATCTTTTCCAAACTTCTCCTGCAGGAATGGGCCCAATGCGTCAAGGGTTCCGGCAAGAATAGGCAACGAAAGGATGTTGAGGTATGGATACGCGCTCTTTGTGAGATGCGCGACAATGATAAGACCAACTTGGTAGGCAAACGTGGCCCCAATGAAAAAGATGAATGGGACAAGATGCTCCGTGCGAATTTCGGGGCGGAGATAACACCAAGCAGGAATCATCACCCAGGTCAGGAAGAATGGTGCAAGACCAGCAAGCGCAGGGAAGATACTACGGCCCTTTGCACGGCGAGCGCGAATGACATTTTGAGAACTATTCCATCCCAACAAGAGTTAGCATCATCCAGCTCAGAATTTAGGGTAAATCTTTAAAATAATATAAGATGTGGGGCGTCATGAAAAAATTAGAGTTGTGTTGCATTTTTAGTCTTCATTGAGACCTCGGGGTTAAAAATATTTTAATCCTTCGCCGCGGGGGTATTTACCACGTACATGATGAGATTCGGGAAGTTCTTACCTTTGAATAATATTGAAAGAAAGCATGATCCCTCCATAGACAAGATACCAGTGGTTGAACTGCATGTCCCTCAAAACCTCGGGCAAGAATCCCGGTCTCGGAAGCCCAAGAGTCTCCAGCATAGGCTTTTGCCAGAAGCTTCCACCAACAAAGGCCGTTGTCGCGTAGAGAGCACATAATGTCAGGACGCCCTCGACAGGACCAGATACAATGCCTAAGTAGAGGGTGCCAGTGTGGTATTCCTCCCAAGTGGTCAAGTAAAACGCGCAAAGAGACGCGAACAATGTAGCCAATGTAGCCCAAGACTGCCCAAGGTTCATAACGCCAGCAAAGATGACCACCTCAAGTGTCGTGTTCATTGCGTCAACGCCTGTTCGCATTAGTGAAAATCCAAGATCAGTGAGTCCTTGGCGAAACCGACCATGATCAAACAACTCTCCCAACGGACCACTCTGCCTTGTTCTCCTGGCTTGCGCTCCATCGCAGGCATCGAAAGTCTGGTACAAGAATAGTCCAATGGCCCAGCTCATGTAGACCCATCCAGGACAATCCTTATCAAGCGTTGGATTGTACCATAACAGCGTGAGCAAATTAATAATCACAAACGAGAATCCCGACAGCGTAACCTATCCGCCATTAATTAGTACGGATATCCCCTTGCATAGAACAAGAGAGTGATAAATGGAAGGCAGGAATTCGTACAAGATTCGGCCTTTAAATATTAAAATATGTCAGTGAGGGCTCATGAAATGATTTGAGAAAAAGAGCAGGGAAAAACTTACGCCATCCACATTGGGAACACGTGTATGAAAACATTCGTGTAAAACGGCTTGAGTATGTATCGTGAAACCAAAGAGTGATCAACGCCGGAGTATTGGTACTCCTTCAGGTTTCTGAGATGTGAGTGTCGGATATACATCTTTTTTTTTTTCGTTTGGCCCACTGAGCCTGAAGATGGGGGTGGAGGATATGGGTAAAGAGAAAGAAGTTGAGGGACTCTCTCTCTCTCTGTGAGGAGGGTTAAGAACGAGGGACGGCACAGGACAGATGGTGGTTTTTGCTTGCCCAGGAACTTCCAAGATTTACGCGACGCCAAGACATAAACAATGTCATGCAGCATTACGTCTACTAGTGCACAGTCTAACCACAATTCGACTCATGGTTCCGAAGAACCCTTAATCCACGTGAAGTCAAATCAGGAGTCAGGGATGATGATTGGCTGTATGTATGGTGCGCCCAATCATAAAGGTAGTCAAAAAATTGGGGCGAGGTCGAGGTTGAATAACTTTCCAACGAAACAAATTATGAAAAATCCGGTTGGTAAAATTGAAGTACTAGTGATGAAGAAGAACTTTACCAACCAAATTTTTGATATCTCTCCTGGTTAAAAAGTTATTCAAGCTTGAAATTCGGTATTTTAGTATGTAAAAAGCGCCAAGACTAAACAAAGTGGAACAGTATTATACCCATTTATACCCTTAAAGAAGCAAACCTGATCAGGCCATGGCAGTGATGCAGCAGAAGGCTAGAAATGGGCCCTCTTATTGGCCCATGAGGCCATATTGCAGCCACAATTGTTCCACTTCTGTATCTTCCGTATGCCACCCCATCACCTTTAAGAGTGTGCGCACCATAGTTGCCAGCAAGCTGGCAGGCCTCGAATGTTTCTACGGGTCGTCGATGTGACAATATCGACAATATCATTATTTACTAGAGATTGGCCCAGTATTGGCAGACTTTTTGGTCAACCAGTGCCCGTCATATATTCGCGAAATTCTTTTCGTCCTAACATATTAATTAGGGGTTGGTCTAGTGTTATCTACCACTGAGATTTTTAAACTGATACCGTGCCAGACTTGGAAATTGGTCATTGGCATGGTAACAATGATGATCCATAATCTTAGAAATGATTTGATTGCGGATTTATGGATAGTTGTCCCTGCTAGAAAGTGAGTCCTACCCATTCCCGCAGAGATTATGCTAGGAGTACTTTCGTTTGTTAGAAGCTTGTCAAATAGCTTCCGGCGTTCCTGCAGATTTTGATCCGTCCTGACCTTTTATATTATAGGAGATTGTATTATTACATTATAGGAGATTGCAATAATTATATAATACATGTATCTAGTCGGCGATCTGCGTGACGTTATCAAGCATTTAAGCACTCCAAGCAAACACATTCAGAGATATAACAAGCGAGGTGGTGACCTGAGATACTAACAGAGCAGAGTAACCCTAACCCTGGCGTTTGTGTAGAGTAACGAGTGAGATATCATGACCTCCCAGTCAGAAAGGTCAAACCCTGACCCCCCTTGTTCATAAGAGTGGCCAGATTATGGGGCCCCCCAGTGATTCCTCATAAATTTTTTATTCGGGACTCTCGTGATCTTTTAAATGATCCTGCTGACCCCTAGTGTAAGTGTAACTGACCCCTGATCGGCCATAGAATCACAGCAGTAGTACATGTATACGCAGTACTGTGCAGTGCCTCCATCGAGTTTCCTCGACAGTACCGACTATCTAGACCTCTCACTTAGTCCCGTACATACAGTATTTCTTGTTAAGGACTATAAGACTTTGTGTAAAGGTCACAAGCAGGAGCTACTAATTGCGTCTTGTTGATCAAGAGCATAATCATATAGCTAGTAGCTTTAGGTAACTTTAAAATTAGGGTAGGGAACTTTATCTAGCTAGCGAATCACCTATATAGAGCCGAAAACGAAGCTCTGAATTCTTCTAAACCTACATGTATACAATCAACCCCTTAATTCTTTTCCTCACTCGACACAGTCAGCCCCAGATGTCCCAACACAACTATATATACACCCTGTTAGCTACGATATCACCCACTAGGTCAAAGGGAACACTTACCCGCCAATCCCATGTCCTCACCAAACTGCCCTCTCCACAGCTCCTCGCCCCAAAACAGGCCCATCCCTCCCTGCCACCCGACCGCCTGCCTATTTCCCACTGCCAATGCCATCATCGGTTCCACCCTCGGCATGTCCTGACTGACGGTTTCCTTCTCGTTCTTTCCCTGCTCTCCAGCAGCAATCATAGCAACAATATTTGACGCCGCGAACTGACCCATGATCATTGCAGACCCTACTCGCTTGATACCCGGCCAGAAGGCGATATCGCCTACGGCGAAGTGCGAGCGTGCGTTCGGGATGGGGGCTGAAAAAGACATTGTTGCATTGACTTTAACGTACCCATCCTCGGTCAGCACCTCATTGGGTAGGAAGTTAGTTTGGGGTCCCTGTTTTGAAGTTGCATAAATCACTTTGTCGGCGGTGAGTTCTGTGCCTGTAGACAGGACGACTTTAAACCCATTTTCTGTCTCTTCGTCGCTGAGAACACGGGCATTGAGGACTATTTCCACTCCGGAGTCTTGCAGGAGGGATAATGCCTTTTGCTTGAACTCATCAGGCAGTGGCTCGGAGGAAAGGAGCTGCTCGCGGGAGTGGATTAGTGTGATCTTTTTCGACGGGAAGAGAGTCTTCAATTCGGAGGTGACCTCGATGCCAACCGCCCCTTTTTTGTGTTAATTATTTCCTCGAAAACTTTGAATGGACGGAGGGAATATTATAAATGGAGACTCACCACCTCCAATGACGACTACACTCGAAGAATTCTCAAGACTATTTATATGAATCTCCGCGTCCTTCAAATACGACGCCTTATCAAGCGCCTTTGGCACAATGGGCCATGATCTTTTAGAGCCTGTAGAGACGACCAAGTAGTCATATTCCACGCATTCTTCGGTTTTACCGGTGCTATAAGTGGCCATTTTCGCAGCAGGGTCAATACCAGTGGCGCGGCCGTTCAAGATACGAACGTTGGCACGGTTTAAGGGACCAACGGAGCTGAATGTCTGCCATGCCGTTGGAGCAAAGGCTTTGGAGGTGTGCGCCAGGGGGGCACCCATGGTATGGACTTTTTTGACGGGAATTAATATTATAGATATATAGAAAGGAGGCGAATATGTACTTACAAATTCCATCTCTCTCGTCGAGGAGTGTTATTAGTGGTGTCTTTTGAGGTGCAGACACTTGCTCCACGGGTATGGGACTTTGAAATTGCGGTTTCCCATCGCATAGGTTGAGTATATTCATGATAGTGGATAATCCACCATACGCCGCTCCAATAACCAGTATTCTCGTAGCATTGGCAGTGATAGCAGAAGAAGTGCGCAAGTCATTGGGAGAATTAACAAAAGACATGTTGCGAGTGGAAGAAATAAAGGATTTAGGCTTCTGGAAAGAAAATAACCGGCAAGAGATATATGTTGAAGACCACTGCTTTATGACCAACATTTGGAATTTTGGGAAGGTTTCTTTCTCTTTTAAGTCACACCTATATACGTATAATGTGGGCATTTGGATGCTTTTGAAGAATCTGATAAGAAACACTCGGAGTCATTACGGCCGGCGCAGGATCTGATAATGGGCGCTAAGGCAGCTATGATCCTTGTCTTGCAGCGGCTACAACGGCTCGACCACCTCTAGAGAGTTAGTTATTATCTGATCACAAGATAAGGAATGGCGTGGTAAACGGATCAGTTGAATCCGGACCAGTCGGACCCAAAGATGTACTGGGTGTTGAGGGTAAGTGATCAGAATCTGATAAGTGAATGCTGCGGTGAATACGTGTATTTGTCTTATCAGATTCTGATCACTTTTCGCTACACCCTAGTACACTGCTTCAACCCGGGGTTTGGGTGGTAACAAGGGCAAGCTTAAACCCGGTGCATATCCGATAGGCTATGGTATAGTGTTAGGCGGACCAACTTTACTTACTCAAGGGTTGGAAATCTGATTTTTGTATTTCCTTTGCGAATTCGAGTATGAGCGCTTTTGTTATGAGTGTTAAACATCCCGGTTGATCCAGGCACTACGTATTCACCATGCGAATACGACTTCTGAAAATGGCTCAATTGAACGTTATTGGGAGCATATAAAATGGTCTATTGAGACATGGCCATGGTTATCATCCATTGGCAGGCTCCGGGGGGTGATATGAAATACAGGCTGGAAAACACTCTTCATTTCGTACTTCGCTAACTAATACATTTTATTGAGAGGTCGTTCAATAAACATGTAGACCTATGTCGATCCCGGCGACGCATACCCAGTCGACTGTTCCGGAATTTATGCCTTTCTAGGTTTCAGTTTTTTGCAAGCAAGGGGGCAGTCTTGAATATGTTGCGTCGCGGGAATGGCAGGCGTAGAAGATATCGGTACTGTATACCTTGAGTATCAGCATCGGGAAGACGGCAACGTGAGTCTTTAAGCTTTTCTTTTCCCCGTCATTCCTATGGTGATACATGTTTCTTGGTATTGCATGTAAGACAGGATACCAGCCCGACACCCCGCGCGGAGTTGTGCGCACACTCTTAAAGGTGACACGGCGGTATCTGGAAGTGGAACAATCGTGGCTGCAAGGTGAACTCCAAGGCCAATGAGAGGGCTTATTCCTAGCCACTTTGCTGTATTCCTGCCGCAATTCACTTTTGAGGGGGTATAAATGGGCATAATACTGTTCCACTTTGCTCAGTCTTGGCGCTTTTTACATACAAAAATACACAATTTCAACCTCTGATAACTTTACAACCCAGACAGATATCAAGAATCTGCAATGATAGGACTAAACTTCGTCACTAGTACTAGAGTTCTATCATTACGCTTTTTTTTTTACCATTTTTCGTTGCAAAGTTATCAGCCATTGACATTTCGTCGCGATCCGCTACCAAGAATCAGATAAGGGAAGATAAGACAAGATTACAGCAAAACATGGCCGAGAAATCATTTCCTTGCTCAAAGTGTGAATCATCAATATTTGAACAACCAGTACCAGTAAATTTAAAAACTACTTAGTTACTCCGTAAAAATTTCATCCCATCGTACACGTACAGCCCAGAAACAGAAAAATAAAAACCGCATCAAAGAAGAAGGTTACAAAAAGGATACAGTCATTATCCTCGTATTGATATCGTCAGAACAGAAAAAATAAGAAAGGAAATATTAGACATTCATGTGGGTCATATCTCCTCCAGCACCAGTCTGCTTAAATGCGCTCGGCGGAACCTGCGCCGCATCTGTTCTGTCTTTTCCACTGTGAAGTACGTTAGCTTCTACGCCTAATAATGTCCAGGATGGGGCGGCAGGGAGAAGCCTACACAGCGATTTGACTTACGCAAGAGAACTAGAATGAGTGTTTCCGGTGGTTCCACTGGAGTAGGTCTTGTCCTGACCCATGGTCTTGCTTCCGTCGAGGTCGGAGTCGACGCGGGGGTCAAGTTTGTTCATCATATCGCTCTTGTGGGGTCCAGCAGTGTTTGGTGCGGGTCCGGTGCTGTGGACATTGTGGGTACCGAGCCCGTGAAGCCCAGAGGCACCGTGAGCAGCACGATGATCACGGTCAGAGTCGAATCGAGGGTCGGCCTTGTTCATCAAGTTCGAGTCATGAGGTCCATGGTTGGTTGAGCCAGCGGTATGGGTAGTACCATATCCTCCAAGGCCGGTGGTCGTACCATGGTTTCCGGTGGTAGCGTGGGCACCACGGTTGTCTCTGTCAGAATCAACTCTGGGGTCGATCTTGTTTGCCACGTTGGAGTCGTGAGGTCCATAGTTGGTTGATCCAGTAGTTGCGTGGGATCCGTAACCACCAGTGGTAGTGCCATGGGTGTTGTGAGTGTTGTAAGCACCACGGTTGTCGCGGTCTGAGTCAACTCTGGGGTCGAGCTTGTTGGCCATGTTTGAATCGTGAGGGCCATAGTTGGTGGATCCGGCAGTGTGGCTGGAACCGTATCCGCCGGCGCCAGTACCAGCTCCGAGAACTCCAGCTCCGGCACCACGGTGATCGCGGTCAGAGTCAACACGAGGGTCGGCCTTGTTCAAAACGGGAGCGTTGTGGGGGCCGGTGTTGTGTGAACCGTAAGTGGTTCCGCCAATTCCAGTGCCGGTCATTCCGTGGGCACCACGGTTATCACGGTCCGAATCAACTCTAGGGTCGAGCTTGTTTGCCACGTTGGAGTCATGAGGACCGTAGTTGGTTGACCCAGTGTGCCCGTGAGCTCCGTACCCGCCAGTTGTAGTACCAAGAGTGTTGTGGGTGTTGTGAGCACCACGGTTGTCACGGTCAGAGTCAACTGTGGGGTCGAGCTTGTTTGCCGCGTTGGAGTTATGAGGACCATAGTTTGTGGATCCGGCAGTATGAGAAGAGCCAAAACCGCCAACACCAGTGGCACCAGTGTGGGTTGTGCCGCGGTGGTCACGGTCAGAATCCACACGAGGATCTGCCTTGTTCATCAGGTTGGAGTTGTGAGGACCCTGGTTTGTTGAACCAGTAGCTGTAGAACCGTATCCGGTGTTGGTTGAAGATCCATATCCACCGGTGGTGGTTCCACGGTGATCGCGGTCTGAATCTACGCGGGCTAAATAGAGGGTTTGTTAGTCAACTGCAAACCAAATACAATGGAAATTCTTTAAACCTACGATCAGCCTTGTTGGCCACATTTGAGCTGTGGGGGCCGGCATTGGTGCTGTGTGTTGCGTGGTTGCCGGTGGTAGTAGTAGAGCTATCGTGATGATCACCGCTGAGGGCGTCTTTGACCTTGTTGATGATTCCGCTCATGATTGTTGATTTATGAAGTTGTTTGTATAAGTATGAGTGTGTATAGTAGTAAAATGATGTTTATTCGTGGTGTTGTTTGTATTGTTTGGGTAGGATGAGGAAAAAAGTCGAGGGAAAGCCCAGTCCTTATAAGCATACTTTGTCTATGGGCGAAACTAGGCTTCTTGATCTGAGCTTGAATTTTGTTTGCGATTGAGCAATTCGCAGTACCGTATGTAGAAGATCTGACATCATGTATCGTCACTGATGTGGCTATCCATAATTTCCATACCTTGTTGTTGAAGCACTTGGCCCTTGTTTTGAACCTAGATGTGCGGAGCTGCTTAACAAGTTCTTTTCCCACAAGCCTCCGATGCTAGATATGAACATGTTAAAATCCCGAATCAGGCTGTAATAACCCCTTGACCTACACCCTAGGCAGGGCTAATGTGGTTCTGGCGGGTACATACTGCAGTGTGAATTACATGTAGAAAGCCGCAACCCGCCACGTGCCACATGTGGCTGGCACAGTAACGTCATGATGAGCGAATATCCAGTATGAAAACTTCGCTGATCGGTCAAGATCAGTTTGTTTAACAAAGCATGCAGCTCCTTAGCGGTTCTGTAGGTACTGAACACTTTGTTGAAGCTTGGCTGGGTGTGTGTATGAAGGTTGAATTTCCACTTGACACGCCAATGATAGACGCTTAACGGAGCCAGGCATGACGTCTACCTAGCGTGGCTACTGTGCTCTACTCTGTTACTCTACACAGAAGCATGACAGGTATGAAAGACGGCAACTAAATTAAGGATACACGAGGATACCTGCTTTTCCCATGTTCCAAGGCATGAATTCCATGTACCCTGAAAGTCGATTCGATTCCGGCTCAAATAAACTTTCTACCCTTGCCGCAGCTTGAGCCAGCCACAGCTGTCCCGTACCTGATGTGACGAAGCCCTGACGTCACTGCCAAGCCATGTGGCGGCAAGGGCTCGTTACCAGAAAAACGCGGGGTAGCGGTAGTTGGTGGCACTAAAAGACCCTCCTCTCAGCTCTCTGCATGTGGAACGACGCGCGCGACATATGCATGTTAACGACGGCCCACGGGTGTGTATGATGCGTTTTCATTCGTCCAATATGGCTAGACTTGAGATCAAACCTGTACTCTAGTAATTGATGGTCGCGCGTCCAACAACTCACCTTGATTTTTTAGTCACGTCCAATCAAAATTTCTGCTGATCTCTGTCGTTGAACACAATTGCGCAGTGGTAGGGGTTTCGGGCGAATATCAAGAGGCGATATTCTGTGTAACTGCAGCAACCCATAAAGGCGTCATTTTCAAGACAATGAAGTCAAGCGCTGAGCATCCTATCTGGAACATACATACATACTACTGCCTGACGGCATATCTCTACATCTTAGAGTAGCCTAATCAACATACGAATGATAGATGGTGAGCTAGTATTACCAGCTTAAACTCCCACAATATCTTCTACAGTGTTGATGGTTTCACTTGTGCGAAAAGGGCTTTAAAGACGGTCCCTGATAATGAATTTATCCAAAGGAGGTGAAGTGAGGGGCAGTAGCGCGCCATAGGGCATGCCAAGACTGTGGGGTGCATACATTGAGAGCACTAGACTTAATACAAGCATAAACCCAAACAGCTGCCAGAAGACGTGTGGTCAAACTCAGGTGAAGTATGTAGGTATTCGAGCATTTTCCGCGCTTGGCCGGTGGATTCGGAGTCTTTGTTTTTGATGGGCTTGGTACTAAGATGTCAAGATCCGCCCCGCATCTGTGAAATTTGACCTTCACCACTAGTACTTTTAACCACCAAGCGAAGATCTAGATTCATATGATCATAGAAATTGTTAGTATGGTGTAATTAAATAATTACAAATTCGCCATATATTTTTTTTACTCAAGTAATACCATAAATCGACCATTACTGCACCCAGTTTCAGTTACGACAACATGTTATTGGTACGATGAAAGCCGACTTTCTGCAAGCTTGGATACTCTAGTCAGCCAAAGCGTATGCAGTCATGTATGATGAGCTATCTAGACAGGTACCTAGTTTCTCCGTATACTCTAGGTTGTCGGTACGAACATTCGTGCCGAGTCGAGAAACGAGTGATATTTCATGACAAAATGATTCCCACTAGCTGCCTTCGGTGTGAACTTTATGAATACTTGCCCACAACTTCTGTGGGTAGTTCTGACTGCTAGATATGAGAAATACCAATTCAATTTGACACTATCGAACCACAGCTAGATTTAGAACCCTGTTAGGGATCTGAGCACGCAGTCATGCATGTATATGCTATATTTCAGCACTGGTATTCCCTACTCTATGTACTAAGAATCTCTCACACTATCATGCCTACTAAATACAAAAGTGCTTGCTATTCATTTTGTAGTGTCTCAAACCTTTAGACGCGAGTCATGTTTTTATATGAATCTGCTGATTTGGAGGAATGGTTAAGGGTGTTTTTCACAGCTAGATTTCTTCGGGAAGTTTATCGGCTATCACATTAAAATCTATAAATAGACTACATAACGCAAAAACTCTTACCGTAAGTTTTCCGAGGGTAACGATTATTCTTAGTTCTGTTTTGATATAAGATACAATCTTATCTTATCTTATCTTATCTCTGATCAAGATCAAAGTGTAGTCATACGTATAGGTACATACCTACAATGTCGAATTGTGTGACATACAGTTTGGTTATGCACAGACTTAAGTTGTTAGAAAAAGGCATCTACGGAAGACGGAAGCTGTTAAAAACAGCCTCGAGATCATTCTCAGTGGACAAAGATTAGATGAGGCGAGGAAGAGCTTTGTCTGCAGGTCAGTGCAAGGATGTGGATAACCGGGGTAGCTTGGCGACTACACCCCTCTCTCCGCCATCGTATGCATTCATTTTCGTTTACCTCTCTCTTAATTAACAAACCTCTCTTCTGATCCTTCATTCCTGGTGAGCCTCGCTCTCATTTGGGATAGAAAGCCACTCTGACCTTCTGAAAGTCTCGGGCCCTCCTTGCGCTTTTATATACCAGAGCTTGCCTGTGCGCTTGTGTGTGTTGGTGTGTCGTGTGTGTGTGTGTGTGTGTCCGTGTGGGCTGTTGCTGCAGCTGTTGATTATCATCTGTTGATCGACTCTCCTCCTCCTCTTCTTTCGACCACCACCACCACCTCCACCTCCTCCCCCTCCTGTATCACTACCGCTCACTTATTGATATCTTTACTTTACATATATCTCTCCTCATTCTCCCTCGTAGCTGTTCTCACGCTTGGAACTGCTGCTGTGTGTGTTGTCTGGTACACTGATTAGAGTTTACCAGCTTCCATTTCCGTTCTCTCTGAATATCTAGAAGTGGTCGCGTTCAGTTTGTTCCGCATCTTATCTTACCTAACTTCCGTTATTGTCCTGTCATCGTCATTGATTTTCAACCCACCCCTCGACCCCTCCTGTCACAAACCAACGACATCTCGCCTCCACCGAGGGAATTTCAGCCCCCGTGAAGTTTTGCTCTACTACCATCATTAATCATGCCTATTCCATTAACTCGCATTCTCGTCACGATAATTTCCCTTCTCATTATCTTCTGCTTTTCTTACATTTCCTTGGCGTCGCTCACCACACCATCCTCCACCCGGAGCGCCCATAACTTCTTATTCCCATCCACTACTGTTATATCGCTATCCGATGATAACTCAACCTGCTTCATATCACGGCCCGCAGCTTTCGGCCCTTCAATACCAAAATCCGGGCTCAAAGGGGAGCTCTTTGTTCTCGAGGAAGGCCAATTAGCGTGCGATGATACTCCGGAATGGGATCCCTCTGCTGCAACGCCACCTTCAGTAGCAAACCAGGAAGATGGGACTGATGATATGAATTACGCTTCATCTGCTTCTAACAAGGAAAAATCAAAGTCACAGCATGCAGATATCGAGAGCTTGCAGCAGAGCGCCGAGATTGAAGGGAAGATTGTTCTCGTTACCCGGGGCGGATGTGGATTTCTAGAGAAGGTTCTATGGGCTCAGAGAAGAGGCGCTGTCGCGCTGATTGTAGGCGACTATAAAAAGAGTGGAACAGGCCTAGGAAATAGCGGTCTAGTGACAATGTATGCTAATGGTATGCACAACAATCTACATTTCCAGATTGCCTCTGATATTTTTTTTGTGGGGTGCATACGGTGTTCCCTGTTAGAGTGTGGGGAGGTGGGGGCCGTAGATGATATCGCAAAGCGCGTTTGGTGATGAAACTAACTTGCAGATACAATAATAGGGGATACAAGCAACGTTACAATTCCATCTGTCTTCACGACACATACAACTGCAAGGCTGCTGACCTCGCTACTGCCGAAATATTTGACTTCGTTGCATCACTCAATGCCCGCCACTGAACCGCCGATTCCAGCACCCCGAGCTCCGGCACAGCCGGCTTCGAAGGAAGAAGGAAAATCGAGAATCAAATGGTTATTCCCGGGTAATACTGATTCTGAACCACACGAATCCGGAATGGCGCTGCTTTCCCCAACTTCAACTTCTAGTAGGGCTACAATTGAAACATCTACTTCAATTCAAAAAGCTGCAACCACTCCAACTATGATTGCTGGAAGTTTACCCGAGTGGAAAGGGGTCCAGGTCGATTCATCTCACAGACCGCCCATGTCAGGCGAGTTGGAGGGCATTGTGTTTGTGGTCAAATCAGAGGAAATGAAGAAAGATGATACCGTTGTGGAAGGGGAAAATGAAAGGGAGGGATTGTGGATCACACTCACCCCCATGAGCATGAGCACTTCGCCACTGTTTGATACGCTACTTGTATTGGTCATAAGCCCTTTGGTTACTTTAACAGTTGTTTACGGTCAGTTTATTGCTGGATTAATTCTCTTTCTGTGTGTCTGGCTGACCCTGCCGACAGCACTTCTTCTTATCCGCTCAATGATTCGGCGACGCCGTTGGAGAGCGCCGAAATCTGTTGTAGACCGTCTCCCTGTGAGGACATATCAATCTACCTCCACCGCCACTAGTCCGGTTATAACTCACCCATCGTCATCATCATCATCAGCGCCCCCATCTCTACCAGAGACACCATCATCCCAGCCATCTCTACATCCTCCAAGGTCATCGTCGTTACCAACAGTAACTGCGGCGAGTCCTAATCGGAGTGTGGAAAAGAACAATTCTAGAGATGAAGTTCCAAGGAGGAGCAGGTATATGGGCGGATCCGTAGAATGTGTAGTTTGCCTGGAGGAATACGTCGATGGAGTTAGCAGGGTAATGAGGTTACCGTGTGGGCATGAATTTCATGCTAGTTGCATGTGAGTTCCACATTTTCCTTCTAGATCAAAAGAATATATGCTAACTTGATATAGAACCCCCTGGTTGACCACGAGACGACGGACGTGTCCTATATGTAAAGGAGACGTAGTGAGGGGAACTGCGGCAGGAAGTTCGTCTGGGTCAGGGTGGACAAGGCACAGTGATGCTGGTGAGGTATCGGAAAGAACGCCTTTAGTAGCAGAAGATGAAGGGTTGGAGAATTGAATTGTTCTGGCACAGGAGTTTGGATTTGGGAGCTGGCTAGCTAGGGACGGACTGAGCGGATGACTATTATTGTTTGCAATTGCGCTAATCGTTTTGAAAACTTTCTTTTAACCGTTTACTCTATTTGCCATTTTTATCTCTCTTTTTGGAGCGTTGGAGTTTTTAGAAGATATCCCAAATTAGGGAAAGAATATTCTTGCAGGATTGTTATTGTGGAATGCAAGCACGCTGGTGCAATTCATCAGCACTACGACTGGGCAGTTGGGCTGCATGGGAGGGAAGAAATGCAGTAAATAAGATAGCACAGACGTTTAAAAGCGCCATATATAACGATGATTGCTGTTATATCTTGAGAGAGCTTTATCGATAGTGAACTGGCTCTGCAAAGACCTAAGCCCACTCGCACCAAATTTACACCTTTACACTTCCGCCTCTACATGTTCCTACAGCTAAGCTACATCTTTACAATTCATATTAGCTATCATTACGCATCTCCAACCACGTCACGTCTTCTTTCAGACTCTCCTTCCCCTCTCCAATACAGTCAACCTCTTCATTTACCTCACAAAGCCATAAATAACGTCCTCACGATATTTTTCATCGACCCGACTCACTTACTCAAAAACACTATATATATATAAAGATGCTATCAACGATCGACATGATCCTCATTATTACCCAGAGGATCGGGTGTTGGAGTCTCCTCAATCATCAAATCCGGCAGCCTCACACAAATAGTCTGCAGTACCCAGCTTAGACCATTGCCGCTCTGTATGCTGTATTCCTGAACAAGCTGTTACTGCTGCTCTCAGTGTAAACTCGTCCAAGAAAGGACGATTTATCATCTATTATTATTTTAAGGCGCGATCTGGAGACCAGGGCAGCTCCGTTATCGATATGTGCCACAAATATGAGTTTAAAATCAAGCTTGATGGGACATTGCAATTTATTAAGGAAAAGGTTGTCGCTGAGAGTAAGGTTCAAAAAGCCGCTTGGGACAAACATCCATCTCTCACCCGAAAACTCACGCCTATTGGCGAACCTTCTAGAAAGATAAATGTTGTTGAGAGCGAACCTCTGCTAACTGAGAGCGAGGAAGAAGGCTGGAAGGAAGCGGATAAAATCGGGGAGGAACATATGAAGAAGGAGGTGATGGTGTTGGAGCGGGAGATCAAAGAATGGAAGAAGGGGATGGAGGTGAAGGTGGCGGAGCCGGAGCTGGAGAAAGAAGGTCTGGAGGGGGGAATGGTAAATTGGGAAGAAGAGGGAAAGGGGGATGTAAAGAAAAAAGAGGAAGAGGAAGGGAAGGGAAAGGAGGAGGAGAGGGGGGAAGAGTAAGGAAGGGGGAAAGCGGAAGGAGATAGGGGAAAGGGAAAAGAGAAGGGAAAGAAGGGAAAGAAGGGGAAAAAGGAAAAAGAAGAGAGAAATAGAAAGAAGGAAGGAAATGGAAAAGAGAAAGAAAAGGGGAAAAAAGAACCATAATGGGAAAAGGAAGAACAGGCCCATCAGGCCTACCAGATACGTGAACATCGGTCCGCATTATACGGGGTGGGAGACCACATCGCGACGGTATCGCCTATATCCGCAGCTTCTGGTGATGGCACCTGGAGATTATTGGTCAATGATCCGTGCAAGGCAAATGTATCGACGCATGTCATGTTCATTTCACTCCCAGAGTTAGTTTACCAAATAGTTACGTACGGTGTACACCCCAAGGAAGTCCCGGCATCCTTAACTCAAGGCGAGCATGGATGTATAGGAATGAAGTTTGAGCCGACTGTTTGGAGCGGTCCGGAGTGGCTGAGAAGGACTAATCCAAATGAAGAGGCCCCCCCGATTAGTCCTGAGAAGGATGGCTGGTGGTATTCTTGGAAACCTCAAATGCGTCTTTGGGTCTGCTGAGTTTTTGTTTCCACTTCAACATTTCTTCTGGTTGAATTCATGAAAGTATATACATGTATATATATATATTTATGTGTATGATCGATCTTATGTACCGGGACTCATAGTTTTTAACGTGACCCAAGAAGGTACTGGACGACGAGTTGAGTTGATCATCAATATGTACATCAGAGGTGGACTGAAGTACAGATGATTGCGAGAACTACATACATGTGTAATAAAATATTCTTGACAATTTATCACGTGCGCTCCAAACGGTCATCGAGTGACCATTCATGTAGATAGCGATGTTACCCGGACCGTAGTCTCGTGCCCGCGCATGTCTACACGCAGTGCGACAACAAAACCGTCTGGAAACGAGACTACCCGGACCGCGCTTCCGTAGTCAATAGTACAGCGAGAGATAGAATTATTGTAGAAACAGGGGTCTAAAAACAGGGTTTGTATGGCTGGTTAATCCAATAGGACTCCTCCTATATTTCTACTACATATGTAATTATCAATAACAAGAATAATACACCCCGCCCACGAAAGTTCGTAGCTAGCGTATCCGGTTCATAGAGACAACTCATACTAGAACATTCAAGAATGTCACGAGCTAAGATTATAACCCTCCCAGGTTGTTTGCCAAAGCATTCTACATGATATGACCGATGAAACGTTATGTTTGCTAAGTCAAAGTCACACCAAGAGCGTCTTCTCTGCCCCTTCTTCTTCCCTATACATCGACAAAGTCACCACCACCACCACCATCGATCACCATCACCATATTAACCATCGTCGTCATCATCATCATCATCATCATCATCATCATCATCATCATCATCATCATCATCATCATAGCACCCGCATGCAACTAGCTCTTCGCTTTCTCTCTTTATTCCCAGGTTCTAATAGTGCCGCTTTATACTTAGTTGACTTTGGTGTTTGCGATTGTCATCCCCACCACCACCACAATCAGCATGCAGCTGCAGCAGATCTATATGCACACTTTCGGGCGGAAGATTCCCTTCTATACCCTCTCATTTCTACCAAAAGTTCAATGAAAGAATGAAGACTAATTCCTGAATTTATTAAGTCCAATAAATAGAAGCACTCGGAAACATTGTGACCGAGTGATAATTTATGATGTTCATCCTAGAAAAGACACATGCATACGTAGATCTAGATGACGAAAGGTGCAACTCACCGCTGGAAGCACTACTTGCTAAAACATTGGCATGCAATTCTTGTAAGAACTCAATCATCATACTATTTTTCTCAAAACCTTTTTGTTCAAACTCATTGGACGATCCGCCGCTTTAAAATATCAATGTAAAGTGGGATGAGTTCCTAAAAGATCCACAGCCTCTTTTCACGTAGAAATTATTAATCCATCTACTCTTGGAGCTACTAGGTACTATGAGATAACTTGGGGTTGGGGGGGCTATAGGATAGATTTTCTTTCTGTAGAGCAGTAGGAGCAGCTACAAGCTCCCATGATGGGGTATCTCATGGGACTAACATGCATATGAATTAGCGAATAAAGTCAAATTAGGAAGCTTACATATTCAGAATAGGATATTCTAGAATGTTCATGGAGCAGCGACAAGTGAAAAATATCCGTCAAACCATCATGATCTTTGGTTTTGATAAAATGGGCGACGGTATCTACAATACGTGGAAAGCACAGTTTCTGAGTTCATGAGGCTCAAGGCTTAAATGCAAGGATCTTTATTTGATCCTCCCGAGGACCAGGATGGCACAGATATACGCTTAAGCTTTGCTTACCATGCATGCGTTTGTTAAACGTGGGTAATTATGATTATCAGATTGCTTGCTAATCGCTGACAACGCTTATGGGAGCGTTGTATGTCCAATTACTAACTCAAATTTCTGAGAGGGTAAGGAAATTAGTTGTACTTAACAAAGCAGCATTTCTTGAATATATGGCGGACGAGGCCTCCATCACTTCATTGATGATAGGGAAAGGAAGATATTCTACCTTAGGATTTGGATATTCATACCGCTTTTCAACTTCTACGACGATCGTGATCATTATCATGAATGATCTCTGGATAAGTTTGGACAATATAGCCCTTCATCTCCGGGCGGACAGACAGTCCAAAAATACCTTTAACCAGAAAGAAAAAAAAGGAAACCCCCAAATCAACCTTCGGACGCGTATTCACAACTCACAATACGAAACTTCACCGAGACAGGAATCAAGAAGTAATTTTAGTTAAATTACGGACAGCACTTGATCGAAACTACGAAGCTACCATGAGAGGGAATACACTTGGAATATTAGTTATTGGTTTATCCCGGTAAGAGGTATATACTCCCGATATCCGGGTTCCTAGGTGGATGAGTAGCTTAAACAAAGCTTGAGGTATAGAAAATTTCTTATTATGATTCCTGTAATTTGAAGGAAAAGGTATCTACTAATTCTGAAACAAAGGGGGCGCAGCACATCTGAAGCTTATTTCTATTTAGTACATATCCATGGTTCTAGATTTGCACACCAGTAAAACCTTGTGAAACCAGAAGCTTTCAGGTGTCCATATACTTGACTCGCTTCTCCATGGCTAAGGACTGGGAAGAGACATGTAAATGTTGACCCCTACTCGAGATGCAGAGAATCAGGTTCAAATCACTAATTCCTGAGTTTAGATATGAGCATTTGGTCACCCACCGGCCTAAACACCATGCCTCTATATTCTTACTCGGGAATCTAAGCACAAATCATTGGGCATTTTCGAGCTGACTACAGAGCACGGGGTCCTGGTATAGGACCAATTTATTGGTATTTTCAGACGTAGTACCCCAGAGGAACATTTGTTTCTCAGTGGCTATTCGGTCACTGCCTTTGCTGTCGGTAAATGTCATCAAATGGGCAATTCCATACGTCAGAGGTCTAGGATGTAGCTGGTCTACAAGGTACCCGGGAGAGAGCTCATGTCACTCTAAGCAACACACTCAGCTTAACGGCCATCAATTACCCACGTGGCCACATTTGATATTACGCATATTAATTGAGTGATTATAGTCAGTCAGATCTGTGATGGGGCGGAGAAACTCAATTTTGACGATAATCAGCAGCCTCCCCACCAAAGAAAAAGAAGAAAAAAGCAATTCGGTGGGTGAGGTGGTCTAAAGCCTTATAAGGCATTGGCCTGACTATCCCCGAAGCTTCCGACATCCGACGCATCTTCAATTGGGCGATTACCAATATCAATCGATTTATATGCGCAAAATCTCTCTCATGATTATATATCTCGAGAAAAGTGGCTTATTAATTTTACCAGCTCTAGAAAGCCATGGTTACGAAAGCAAAATTACATAAATTCACCAATTCAATATTGTGACATCTTCAGAGTAGAAACCTAGCCAGGAGAGAAAACAAAATCAACATTTGAACTCCTTGCGAGATGCGATTTAACTTCGATATTAAATTTATACAACAAACACCACTTGATGCATTTCCTTGACCGGTGGGCTGATTTGAACCATGCAGTAGGTATTAATGATCTCTGTTTGATTTAGGGGAACGAAGCACCATGAAAGTTGCTATAACAAATGTCAACCAAAGGATGGTAATGGGGTTAACGCGTGCGTTGCTTCTGGAATCTCAATGATCGGTGCAGTATTGCGAATGAGGATGTCGGTTTTATCCGGAACTGCGCTATGAAAATAGCAGGGACATCTTAATGGAAGCAAAGAAGAGGGAAGGAAAGTCTTCCGTGCAGTATGAGCTTTGTTCTATGGAGCAGACTGCTTACCAAATGTGGCATTTATGCATATGTCTGCTTAACTCATCATGCAGACGGGTAATTTAAAGTTATTTCAAGGACTGGGAGAACACCCTCCTGATATTCCACCCAACAATATTGTGTATAGCCTCAATCTGATGCAAGGAATTCGTAGGCTCGTATCCTCAATACATAACTATCAGCATTTATTTTCGAATGAGCTTTATTTACGCGATGCACCGCATCACACTACCGGATAGCGTATGTATGCAAGTACAAACTCATGAACCAGTGGTATGAAGTTTCATATCTCTCAAAACGAAGGTTATGCTTAGTCGGACCGCCGAGGGATGGACCGTGGTACTCGCTATAGGTACATGTACTCTACTAAATATCCAAAAATGCAGATCTAATACATAGGTGTATTTTTCACGGAAGGCCAGTAGAAATTGCATATGAGTGGGTCGCATTCTCGGGTATGTACTAAATACATATACCTGCTGTGATTAGGGCATGCAAATGGGCGCCTGTGCATTCTGCTCCGCTTTATTTGGACCTACCTACGACATCCATGGGCTATATGTATTGAGTGTTGGAGACGTGAAACTTGAGCCGCAAGTTCCGATACCTATGGATCCTTTCTTTGCTTTTTTTCCGTGAATGTTTCCGGCTGAAGGGTGTTCTTAGGATACCTAATACAGACTTGCAGCTGTGTAGCTACTAATTATGCTATTAATCTTGTTACTATTACGCTCGATGGGGTTAGTCGAGAGAATAATATTCAGACATTATTAACACTAGATCTAGTTGTTCACTCAGTGCAGGGCCCTAGAATGAGCCGATTGCGCCAAAGATGGAATTGGAGGCGCACGAGAAAAACCAACGACCAAGTGTTTGGAGTTTCTACCCAACTCTAAATTTCTGCCGCCCCGGGAGCTTGTCGTCTGGATTCCTCGACCCATGCCCATGTTGGAGGGCTCAGCCCCAAACCCAGTGCCAGTGTCGGGGTTGTATGTATTGTACCTACATAGGACTTTATACTCTTCACAGACTATACTCTAGAGTTCTGTAAAATCCAACATTTGCGAATAGCCCGTCAAATGGGCTTTTGCAGGTCGTATCGCATAAGGATTCTATCCTCGTTGGGACCGCGTTACTTTAGCTAGGCAGGGAAGTAGTACCACAGGGCCTTGTCCAATTAGGCCAACTGCACAATCGATCGACAGCCTCGAAAGAAAGCGGGGGCGCAAATCTTCTAGGAATACCAGAACCATTTAGACTCAACGATACCTTTAAAGCTTCCTTCCAATAATTTGTTATCCTTCCTGAAACTTCCCCCGATCACGACTCTGCTTCAGTTCACCCCCTATCCCATTCGACCCGACACATAGTTCTCACGGGAAGGCTTCGGCCTATCGAGTTATCTTATTCTCTTCAGCATAAAGTCCAGGATCTTCCAGGAACGCCAGGTACCAACCCTGCACCCACAAAAGATCCCAGATCCAGTCCGTAAGAGAGAATCGCTCGCGCGACGTTGACTCCGCCTCACAGCCTTACCTGCCAGTACTTTATCGTGACTTCAATATCTTCCGGCGGATATCTACCTGCTCGCCATCTGACAACGTCTGACGGCTCCTCAGCTCCCGGTCATTCACGTACTCTCCCTCTCTCCGCAGTCCCAGACCTACACCCATCAACATCCTTATTCAAACTCCCGGGAATTTCTTTAATCTATATCTAGCTCACCCACTCACGCGCCACGGTTTCGCGTCTACTTGGAGTGAACGGACATCTCCGTAGACAGATAAAAGCCTCCGCATCCCATCTCTAAGTGAAAGCAACTAGTTAGCGATATCCTGTCTAGTATCCCAATCTTTGATTCTTCAACGACATAGTCAAACGAGAAATGGCCTCCTTCTCTCAACAACCTTACTACAATCAACCTCCGACAATCTACCCCCCTACCCCAACACCAACCCACCAGACAGACGATTTCTCTCCTCTTGTAAGTATGAAACTCTCTTGAGCTAGTGGTATGAAAAGTCCACTCTCTGGTTCTATGCTAATCTTCGATTTCCTCTGTAGCAGGCCTTCCCTAGCTATCCACAGTTTGATTTTACCTATGAAGCTCCACCATCCCACCATCAAAATATACCAGGTTCAATTCGAGGGCATACACCGATTGATCACGACAGCCAACAGAGGGCAAGAAGTAGTAGTGAGGAGAAGGAATTGACTCCGGGGCAGAGGGTAAGCCATCACGCAGACGATTATACCAATCTTACAGAGAGCGAGATTCTGACACCTGAGCAGAGAAGGAAAGAACAGAACCGTGCAGCGTAAGGGCTCAAACCAAAGCTTCCAGTACAGATCTCAGTATTGGAATAACTTGATACCAGACATTAACTTGCGTCATAGTCAGCGAGCATTCCGGGAACGCAAGGAACGCCATGTTAAAGAGCTAGAACACAGGCTCAAGACTCTCGAACAGCACGCTTCGGAGACAGCTGCCCAGAACGACATCTTAAAACAGGAACTCCAAAAGACAAAGCTCGAGAACCGTTTACTACACGAGAACAATATGCGTGGACAATCTCCCCCTGAGTTACGAGATGTGGCAGCAATGAGTTTCAAGCCGACAGATCACACTCCAACCAACCCTCCACCGGCCTTTACCTCTCCAATATTCGGGGAACACCCTAACCAGGGACCAATACACCGGATATCAACGAGTCCCAAAACGGGCGAACGGCTCTTAGGAGCTGGTGCCGCCTGGGACCTCATCGTATGTCACCCTCTGTATGAACAAGGCCTCGTCGATATCGGCGACATCTCCGATCGACTAAAGGGGTTAGCACGATGTGATGGACAGGGCCCTGTATTCGAGGAGAGTGTAATTTTGGAGGCCATTCAGGCTTCATCAGGAAGCGGGCGCGACGAACTTTTGGTTGAGTCTCCTCCAGGATCACTCTACTAAATCTCTCCTTCCCAACCAAAGTTATAAAAAATACCAATAACATATCAAAAAAATATATATATATGAAAGAAAACAGATGGAAAATGGGTAACCTATCAGAAGTAACAATACGAGGTGGACGCGCGGACCTTGTCCGTGACCCCGCTTTAGCTTATTGACCTCCGAGGGTCCTAAGGTTGCCCAGCGGCTAATGTATTCTTCGCTGCGCCTCGTTGGACTGGGTTACTCTATCCGTTATTTGATTCCCTGCGTTCTTTGTGGAGTTTTTATGGGGGTTCATTTTTACTTTTACTTTACTCTTACTCTCTTACTCTTTACTTTTTATCTTCTTCCTCTTCTTTGCCTTGGATCTTCGTCATTATCTTGTTCGTTATCATCATTTTCTTTCGATCGATCCTGATCAGTTAGTTTTTCCTCTCGGAGGTAACCTTAACCGAAGCGATGGATGACACTCTTTTTCCGAACCTCTATTCACTTGGTGAATCAGTTTTGATCAGTTTTGAGAGTTTTGAGGTGCCGCGTTAGAAATTCCATAACCATGTGCATATTTTTTTTATCTTCTACTGAGTACTTCTAGCTATCTTTAACTACCGAGATCTCGAGAGTGTCCGTAGTAGCAAATCATATATATATATATCCTGTTTTCGAGTAACGTAAACGTATTGGCACTTGTATTCCTTGGTTTTCTGATTGAGACTGTTTTATTATCGCATGTCCTGATATCTCTATCTTTCGTCTGTTCTTTCCCAAGATCTATTGTGTGTTTCCAGCTTGGCACTCCCGCACGCGTGTGTATCCGTCAGAACAAGCACCATGGCGGGAGAGCCGCGAGACTCTTTTTCATTGGCCCGAATATCCACAGGTTTTTGAGCCCTGCAGGCACACGGATTTGGGCGTCGCGGTATGTGCACACGGGAACGACGAGAAGGATGGTTCCACCACTTTATTTTTCTGTGAGGCGAGTCAGTGATAATACCGTAGAGTACCTAGGCGCCCGATGTATGTAATACCTATTGGGGATCAACGGTAATAACACAATTCAATTTCGCCTGTTTGTGCCAGTTACGATATTCCGATGTTTCCACACCGGCTCCCTAATGTTTGGTTTTACTTTCGGTGCCGGTGGTGGCGATCAAACTTTAGGTAGGGGATGCCAACGATCCGGGTATATGGGTCGAAGTTCCAAGCTGTGCCTTTAATAATATTTGGATGGGGTTTCTCTGGAAGATCTTTCGACGCCCACAGAACCCCCACTATGAAACTCGGCTCACCTGGGATTAACGCCTATAGCTTGACTTTTGTGCTACTTGAACTCGAAAATCCTCGTAGAAAACACACCCGACATATTAACCTCAGAGAGGCGGTGCACATAAAAGCACAAAGTAATGAAATCTTACCTTCCTCTCTTTTCAGCAATTTTTTGCTGGCCTGTGGATCTAACTAGGATGGTCCCACAAACGTCCGGGAAAGACGAGTGAAACCAGCGGATCACCCTCCGTAGCCAGTTTCAAAATGCTTATGCCTTATAAAAACCGTGTGGGTTTCATCATCGTGATCATGTCTATGACTACTGAACAAATTAACCATCAAAAAATAAGCCCCGCAGAGTTAACATATTCAGAATCTACCTGTATAGTACAATAGACACCGGGTCTAAGCCGAATTGAATCCAGGTAACCAAATGAAGACCCATGGATAGAAAGCGATAGATATTATACTTTGTCATGTGAGAGGAAAATCGCAAGTTCACAGTGGGCGGGGAGCACACTGTAGAACCAAGACGGCCGATTCACTTTCTCTTGTATGACATAATTCTCCTGTATGACAACTAAATAGAAAAACCGTTGCCCTGGGAGCCGGTGGTATGTAACTGTACTAGATTCTGCAGAGATTACGGTGGTCGAGTTTTTAGCTGCTATATAGTTGAACTTTTAGTCCCAGACGGCAACATAACCATTAGATGAAAGCTATAAGAGTGATACGGTGGTGACCTGAATACTTCTGAGTCCTCAGATTAGTCTATCATCAATATTGTGTTGGTATTCTGGGGTGACAAAAGTTCTCGTGATTTTCGCATAGCAACCAGCAGAAATTGTCTAAAAGACTAATCCACAAAGTCGGCAATCGGGATTCATACCTAGGAGGTATGTTCTATCCATCTTCCCCTCTCTAATCATATTAATATTTTCTTTATATCTTTTGTGGTCGTGGAGTTATAGTCGTTTCATGACCCATCCTCGTACAAAATCACGAGAACTTTTGTCACCCAATAATATATTATAATTTTGCAGCTAGCTAAGTTGAAAGGGAGGGGGGAGAAAAGTAGCTATAGAATATAATCGTACACAGTTATTTGTTTGGCGGTAAAAACTCGATAGCATCTGCCCGAAACAAAAGTCCATTAATCCCAATCGTCGTCATCGTCGTCATCAACTCGAGATCCTCGGTTGCTTGTTTTTATTCCAGTTTTGTGGGCGTTGCCATCGTAATCGTCATCTTCTGTCTTCTTTCGTAGACGCTGATCATTTTGTTTGATAGCCTCTACAGAGACAAGCAGCTTCTCGATATCTATACTAGTATTAGCACTATACTCCTTATTGCTCGCTATAGTAAACCAGTAAGGAAAGGAAAATAAATGAACGCAAGCGATAACCTGAGGAGGGAGGAAGAACCTTCGAGCCTCGTGCTTGTACCTCCTAGCTCGGCGAGTGTTACAATCTGTTTAACGATATCCTCATTCTTATAAACCAAGATTGTCGGACAATTTCTTTCGGGATATCCCTCAATGCACATATCCCCTCTGATTTGACAAAACTTGACATCTCCAAACTTCTCCGCTGCTCGCCGCCACAGCTCAGCCAATAGCCGCGATTCCATATTCGAAGAATTCCCAGAAGACAAGAAGACAAGAACTGTAGTATCTTTTGAGGACGCCGTGACATCTCGAGCGTAATCAGGCTTCTGTATCGGGTATACACGGCCATGAACAGACTTTTGCGAGATTGTTGAGAGCTCAGCTAGACGTCTCTGTCTAAAAGTATTGATTATGAGTATATATTTCTCGAATCAAACAACCTCTTTGGGGCTCCGCTATACCTGTAGATGGCTAAAAACTCCTCGTCCTCCTCATCCTCAAGCTCATCTAGTTCATCCAAGTCCTTTCCCTCGAGCCTGTTTTCATGAGCCAATCTTCGTCCCTCAAGAATAGCCTCCTCGATCATAGGAGTCGGGGAAGGCGGCTTCTCGGGAATGACCCCATGTTTCCGAAGGATGTCGTTCCTGAGATAGGAGGTGTCTATTAGCTGTATGTACATATAGTTTTGAGAGTAGAGGCTATACCATTCAGTGTCTGCGTTTGGATCGTCTATTGGAACATTTACTGGCATATTCATGTCCATCTTGATATATCGGCGCTCCTATAAGCTGGTTACGGCAATTGTCGGACTTGTGAGGTTGCTGTTCGTTGGTGTTGTGTTTTTGGTGGGGTAAACTTTAGCTTAAGGAGAGGTTTAGTGGGGCTTAGAGCCGCGTCACAGGCCAACGTCGCCTCTTGGTCCCTCTTAGTCACTCTTAGTCACAGGCAAAACATACGTTAAAGGTACATACATGTCGTTGACATACATGTATGTACTCTACGTATAACCCGGCCATCTCGGAATATATATACCTACATGTATCTTTTGCAAAGAAGATTCTAATAAGCCTTGTATGAGAGCTCGAAATAGATCATTGATTTCTTGGCAAACGATGAATTAGTAACCCTAACCCAAGTCTTACCTAGCTAGCAACTACATAATTCAGGATATTCGATCTAGCCTTACTTACACGCGGAAATCAGCCCCAAGTACTACCTCCTTCAAACACCCACAGTAATTAAGCAATCCATATATTATATGAAGCTACGTACTTATACACAAGATTATATATCTACTAAGTAATACCTCTCTCTCGAATTGACTAGATCTTGCGTTAATTTATCTAGAGTCATCTTACAAACTACGTTGGTAGTTACATACAATATTGAACCTCCAACAACTTCAAAGTTCTACAAGGCTAATGCATACATGTATACTTGCACTTTGTACGTAAAATATAAGAAGTATTTACATGTGGTTACATATTGGTCATGGCCGCTCCTCGACCCCGAGCTGCAGGTGAGCAGGCTTTTTAAATTCTTACTCCAATTCAAATGGTATTGGATTATCATTGAATTTTACTTATATACATATATTTATCACCTAATTTGTACATTCTATCATCTATTCTGGACTCAATTCTGGGTGGTTCTTCGTTCAGAAAATACCGGTACCTAAAGTCGACACATAATCTATCCGTACTATTACCAAAGCCTCGAGGGTTTGGGGTGAGGTACGGTTGCGTATGGTGAGGTACAAAATACAATCATGCGATAAATGCCCTCGACTTCAGTTTAATTGAGCTTGATCCGTAAGATGTTGCTCCCAAGGTTTCCACGGGAGATCCGGTAATTCACCCCTATCTTGCATCAGCAAGATTCGTTGTCTACCTTAATATTAAGTACATATATATATACCCGTATCACACACAATCGAGGATTCCTTGATCGAAGTATGTACATTCTTACATCATTCCGCGGGCTAGACCAACTGCATGTCGAAAGGCCTCTCCCCACACCCCTTCATCTTGAGAAGGGACTAACCGGATATTTGGTCCAACAAAGGTCATTTTGATTGACTGTGTCATAGCTACGCGGTAGTACCATGGCCAGTTCTCGATTCTTGAAAGAAGATTCAGCTGGCACAAGGTAATATTACAGCAAACACTTGAACCCTATCAACGGGACTTCTACCCACGACAATAGATTTTACTAAATATTTTATTCGCGTGCGAAAAGTTTTATAGCTATACATACATATCTTTTAAGCTCATGAAAGTACCACTAGGTCCTCTCTGGCACATGGCCATGGATCATGGTGGGTATACTATAACGAGCACTATGGTTAACGTTAGCTATAGTACATCTTAGCAACCTGATACTCTCCATGTTATAAGCTGGCCTTTTGGTAACGAAGAGGAATTAACGATATTTTTTCTAGCAACTAGCTAAAATTAAAGTCATGAAAGTAACGGAAACAGGGATTATTTGTATGAGAGAACGGCGCCACTCCATACAAATTATCCTTGCCCTGAGCAACTGCATTTTCTGGTTCTTATGCTGGTAAGCGTGTACAGTAATTTTCCTGATCTGACGCTGTACTATAAATCTATATGGCGTAAATGTTGCCCGCTGACAGCTGACGTACCAGCAAAAGTGCTTATTAGAGATTAGTGAACTTCTTTGACACTTGACTACGTACGTACGTGTACATACAGCCACTCAGCAAAAGTGTTCGTGATTTAGTTTTAATATCAGTGCGCAGTGTGGCGCACCCGTAATGTTGATGTTATTAAAGTTGAAATCCAAAACAACGAAAAATATATAATATAGTTCGTGACTATATATAAAAAAAGATAGGTCATTGATCTTATTCTTCATTGATTCCTGGCGCCATTGATCACTGGGAAAGTCTTCTCTTGGTTTTTTTTTTTGATGGTCCGCCACGGTTACCTATGGAGAAATGTCTCACTCCGAAATCGGAATCACGAACACTTTTGCAGAGTGGCTGTACTTATGCGTAGTAGTACTAGGGCGGAAGATACCAGATATTGTCCGGTATGTGCCATAATATAATCTCGTAAGGCATGATGTACTACATGTGCGTTCCACTTTTTGTCTCGGAATTTTAAGGATCATCTTTAATACATGCCATCATAGAGAAGGCTTGCTGATATATCCCCCTATATGTTGCAATATCATTGATAGCTAGCTATATAGGAGTACTTTCGTAATCTGCATAATATAATGTGCCCGCACAGGCCTAGGGTTCGAAAGGCTGCATGCGCAATGTTCCAAGAAACCTTAAAGCAGGATTCATATGATAATCTTCATGATCAATCACTCGGATTTATAGCTTAGCGCCTTTTACACGCACCCAAGTCCCAAATGTTACACATCTTTAATTTGCTGTATATAAGAGTGCTTGCATGCTTAGCGAGTCTGCATAATATCTAGATCTAACGAGATCTCATCGAAGGGAGAATCTGCCAGTAGCTTCGCCTAGAAGACAAAAGGTTCTAGTTAATTAAACTAAGACAATTTTATACTACCCTTAATGAGTTCCACATATGATGTCCTAACAATATGAAATTACACGTGCACTAGCTACGCTCGCGCGGTAACTATCCCGCTATTAGAAGCCAATAATATGACGATCTAGCCCGCATGAATGACATTAGTGCTGTCTTTGTGTGTTCATAGCGAGTAAATCTCCTAGCTATCAACCTATTTAGTTACTGTTAAACAAAAAAGAATTATTTAGTTACTACATAACTCCAATATACGAGTGACATTATATGATTGGTAATGATTAACACAACTACATAACATAGCATAGATAGTACCGCCAAAATACAAAACCGAGGAAGTGATTTGACATATTGGAAGATTTACGTTTAAAAATTCGTGGAGATATACGATCCCACCTCGACGATCGTCTAGGAATTTATTCCCGATAATCTTGCAATGCGGCGTCGATTCTTGCCTGAATATATATATTACCCCCCCCCCCCCCCCCGGCCCCACCCAAACCGGAACACCCTGCTCAGCGGAACAAATAATTCCAAGAAGGAATACATCGTCGTCGTAAGCTGTTATCTCGGGCGTGTTCCGGTGGAGAGGAAGGCGTCTATTCTTAGCAAACGTACTGTCTTGCAAAAACATTTATCCAAAACCGGGATACCTGAATTTTACGAGATGGCTCTCAGACTTCTTTCCTCTCCGTCTTTCAGAGCTATTTTCTCTGGCTACGTCCAAAAGTATTTGTGGGACTATATACGATAACATCCCAGATCCTGTCGTGCATCTACATAAGTAGATATAGCTCATGCCGATCCTAGTTAGCTATAGAGGTACATGTTAGCTACATCGGTATGTAAATTTGTGTGCACGAGTCCCTTCAGCCAACTTGATACCAACTCAGATGTACCTAAAGATATATATAATACACAGATGAGAGGTACGCCAGCTAGTCGACGTTCCTGGCTGGCGGTACGTACATACATGTACATACGCAGCATCGTCATAACGGGCATCTGAGACCTATGCATGGTTCACCCGAAGTCTGATGTGCTTATTTGGATAAAATTACAGGCCGCGTTTCGTTTGATCAATACATCGTTATCCCATGTGTTATAAATCCTTGGCGGAACAGGCCTGAAATCACGAGATGTCACTCGAAGGCCAAAAAGCAAGTGTTGTATGTACACATTTAGGTGACGCAAGTCTTAGGATGCCGTATTCATATCGTATTTTGCTTTCGCATGTGTTCTATCCGTGATCTAGAGCTTATGCATGCTTCTACCCATGGCTTTTCTATGCCGCCACGCCGTCCACTTACCGGAGGCTGGCTAGAGCAAGCCATGACTGTTCACTGTCTCACAGTTTTGAAGGCACATAACTCTATGTGCCCAATATGGAAAGAAATATTTTGGCATGCTTGATATCTTTCCATACTCATACTTCAAGCAAAGCGATATAATAGTTCGTTTTAATCTCGGTAACGAATCATATTACTGTTGTATGGGATATGTAATGCATGCAATGATCAACACCCCTATAGAATTCGTCCACTTTCAACAAATCAATAAACATTCTCTTATTTTAACATTATAAGTACTAAAGTTGATCTGTGAAAAGCTAAACACGGAGAACCAGTATTTTGAGGTATTTGGTTTATCACTCAATGTTTGGCCTGCCCTACCTCTCTTGATTGGGTAATCGAATACTTTACAGAAGTCTAGAACTAACAAGTAGCTGAGCACCTCAGCCTCGCCCCATACAAAATATTGTTTCAATGTTTTGATTCCACCGTGTCTGTGCGTATGTTTTCTTTTACGGGATCTACAAAACCAACTTCCAAATCAAAATAATAGAGTGCGTCTTTCAACCTTATGTGCATCTAGATATGATTGGCGGCAAGCTTGATACCCCACTATTTCCTCAGGTTTACAATAGGCTCCGGACCCTTTACCATCGCGTGTAACACTGATAGTGTAATGCGAGGGGCACTTACTATTTCCCATAGAGTTCCTAAAAGAATCCAACCCCTCTCTTTAACTCCGTTGTCCGGTCTTTGCCAAAAGCAAAGGTATTCGATGCACCTTTGAACTCACGATATGAGTGGAGTTACATATGTTGAGCTCTCCTCCTCTCCATCTATCCGACTGACTTGACACCCTCCCCCCTCTCCCCTAGGCTCTTTCGAGCACGTGCAGCCACCCTAAATATCGGGTGATAGCGCCTGATAAAGGTTAGAATCGGGGTATGTGCTTTTCGAGCACCGATGGCTCACGCATCCAGCTCATCATATGCCATCCATCTCTCGCATAGCAGCATGAGCTACTGACGGTCAAGATCTCGGAATAACCAGATGCGATCGACAGAGGGAAAGCTACGGTTTAGGTGATTCACATTGGAAGGTTGAAAAACAGCGCACTGACAGCCTACGACTGTTGGGAAAGCCAGGTTGCAGGTCGCGCGGTCATCTAGCCTGACTTGAACTGACTGAGGGTTTATACTCGACAAATCGGTAAAATTAAAGGAGGCTAACAATCGGTTTCAATGCTGCACGCAGAGGGAGGGGCGAGGACGAGGGAGACAGATTTTCAAATCGAGATTAGGTAAAGTACCAGACATACAAAGTGTAGATTGAATCTCGTGTCGATGATTCACCTGAGCAGCTGGTTCATCAGAACTTCAACACAACGACGTGGAAGCCTCATGTACCACCCACGTGTTCAAGAGTATCCTACATCCCAGAGGTGGGTAGATCTTAGAATGGCATGGCATGGGCATAGGTCAATCGTCAATCAATGCATTGCTTAATCAATAGATCGCTGAGTAAACACATTATCTTTAGATAATTGTACGCAGGGAAGAGGATTGCTTTGAATTGGAATATTATTGAGAAATCCATCGGCATTCAATTTTTAAAAGATAACTCTCCTATCTCGATCACTAGCACTACCAACAGCGACAGAGCTACTTTGCTAACACCCCTTCCCTCCCTCTCAAATCTTGTTTCAAGACTTGATTAGGCACCACCCAATCACCCCACCAAACTAGCCCAGCACATTATCGATCCGAACAAGCACGAAAAGAGAGACTGATAGGAAACATTTAAAAAAAAAAAGCCACCCCGGAAGCCGCCCTTTCACAGTGTATCCTACGACTCAGGCCATGAACCTAGTAAACTTCGTTCTTCCTCCATTCCCCTCCATTCCTCGGTCAAAATGCCGAAAAAAAGGACACCGTCCAGTCACCTCCGTATCAACCCCACACCAGCCACTCACCAGAGATATTGAAAAAAAAACAAGCAAAAGTAAACTAAGACAAAGAAGACAGAAAGAAACCCGAAGAACACAAGCATACAGATAAATCCCAACAATTAGGGATAGCAAACAAAGTGGCAGAACAAAAAACAAAAAACCCAATTCTGCCTGACTACGTGAAGAAGAGCCAGGAAGAACAAAAGAAAAATCAAGCTATCCAATTTAAAACCCCCTTTTGTGTGTATTCGAGTGTGTGTGTGCGTGGAAAGAAAAAGATAGCCGAGATAAAACTGCCAACACGATCCCCCTTCTCCCTTGGCCAGCCGTCCGGTCGAGCCGTCCAAGTAAAGCAATAACAAGACAGGAGATTCAGGTGGAGAACTTTCTCCCTTGCCGCCCAACCACTACCCCTCCAAATAGATAAGCCTACCCATTACATTCTTGCTGACCAATTCTCATCGTAAAAACCCAGCTTATACCGACTGGAAGGCGATGTTGGTGAAGAATAATGCCGATTCCAAGACAAAATTGAAAACCCGTAATATGCCCCATCAAACCGCGCAGTTCTATGATTGAGTGAAATTCGAAAGACGCAGTGGTGATGACATTAAGAACGAGTTGAGGTTGTCGGTTTCGGTGTCGGTTGTGGTTTGAGTTTGTCTCACGAAACAAGACGAAATATTCAACCAAGACTTCCAAGGAGAGGGAACTGAAAACAGAGAGGAAATAAAACACGATAAGGGAAAAATGCGTAAAGGAAATATAAGAAATCAATGCCCCACGAACGAGAATATCGTGAAAGAACTTTCCATAGAGCGCACACACACACGGAATTGACTGCAAACCCATTAACAAAAGAAAAAAGAAACAATTTATGCTCGCGAAAAAAAGGTTGAATGTTTAAACGCGATGATTCTTGTAACGGGCGAAATTTTGGCGACCAAAGCGAACTAAAGTTTCACTCAATACCACTGCTGGGCACCAGAGCCACCGGGCTGGTCGTCTCGCTTATTAACACGATAGCCGCCAGGAGCAGCAAAGCCGTTGTTGGTAGTTACCTGGGCGCCCTTTGATGCAGAACGAAGCCTATACATCTGTCAGCAAGGTTCAAAAAAAAAAAAAAAAAAAGAAAGAAAGGAGGTTCTAGAAAAAGAAATTCTTCCTGACTCACATCCTATCAGATCCACTCAATCCACGGGTGGTATCCATTGTGCCAGGTGTATCAACGCCCATGGCACCAGTTCTGTCGACAACCTTTCTCCTGGTGCTACTAACAACGCCCGCAGGCTTGGCAGAGGCTTGAGCAGGTGGGTGACCAGCAGTAGCAGCGTTGGTGCGTGTAGCGCGCTGTTTGGTCAAATCCTTATCATCCATCTCCTCCTGCTGGGGAGCTTGCTGTCCACCGCCGGCTGCTTGGGCAATAGCTTGGGCATTCTTTTGCTGCTGGAACCCCACACATAAATTAACTCCCGTCATAATGATATACACATACAAGATTGTAGATGATGATGCTTACGTATTTGTAGACAGTCCAGTCAAAGACATAGTCGTATTGGAAACCTTCCCTGACAAACAAATCCCTGAAGATCTTACGAAGATAAGAGTAATCGGGCTTGTCATCAAACCTGAGGGATCTGGTGTAGTTGAGGTAGATAGCAAACTCGTTGGGGAATCCACGGCAGAGAACCTCAGTGGGAGTGGTCATTTTCTTCTCCATTATACGATCATACTTCTGCTTTTTGGTAGCAGCCTTCAATCCCTGCCAAGGGAGTGATCCACGACAGAAATAGAGCATGACATATCCAAGGGACTCCATGTCATCACGACGAGATTGCTCTAAGACATATTAGTTAATTTTTCTTTTCTTTTATGATGCATCTCAAGGATTGTACATACCAACTCCCAAATGTGTGTTGATGGACGCGTATCTTGCAGTTCCAGTCAAGTTCTTGTTTTCTCTGTAAGGGATATGAAAATGGGTCTTAGGATCACGATATTTCTTTGCAAGACCAAAATCAATAACATTAACCTGATTCCCACGCTTCCCAATTCCCATGAGGAAGTTGTCGGGTTTGATATCACGGTGAATGAATGACTTGGCATGAATGTACTCGATACGTGAGATCTAATCATGGGTGTTAGTAAATGTTTCATCGAACGTAAATATGTTATACATACCAACTGATCAGCAAGGAGCAAAACTGTCTTGAGCGAGAACTTGCGGTTGCAGAAGTTGAACAAATCCTCTAAACTGGGACCAAGAAGATCAAGGACCATGGCATTGTAGTCACACTCTGTTCCAAACCAGCGTACGAAGGGAATTCCGACACCACCGGCAAGTGATTTGTATACCCTAGCCTCATATTCTAGCTGTGGGTGCTTAGCCTTGACTGATTCGAGCTTGATGGCGATCTCCTCGCCAGAAATGATGTTGGTTCCTATTAATACAGCCATGTTAGTTCAGTACTTGAAGGGTCCGTCCATAGGTATCTACTAACCAAGGTAAATGTCACCGAAACTTCCGCTACCAATCTTTCTTCCGATGCGGTACTTGTTTCCGACCCGTAAATCCTGTGAGGGTTTAAAAATGTCAGCCTTGCGAGTTTTTAAGGCTGAGGACATACACTGCCCCTTGTTTCTTGGGAAGACCCCAAAGAAAGCTGGGGCAAATTTTCGTCCAAGGGAAAAGAAAGAAAAAGGGAAAGAAGCTCGGGAAGTAGAAAACATACCATGGTCGCCATCTTTGAATGATTTTACTTGCTATCTCTATGTAATTGTTTTGTGGCACTCAGGTTGTCCTGAAGGTTGATGAATGTTAGAGTCGTTGACAGCACAAACGAACAGTAATATGAGGATAGAGGGAAGGGACACAAGAAAAGGAGGAAGGAGGAAGAGGAACAGTAGGAGGAGGAGGAGGAGGAGGAGGAGGAGGAGGAGGGGGTATGCACTGAGTTGTTTCTATGAAGGCCTGATGTTGGGCAGCCTTGTTGCAGTTGAAGTCTGATGGACGGGTGGGTGTTAGTCAGTAAATGGAACCTCTCCTCAGCCTTCGGTGCACACTTCGGTACACTAGTCGCCTCCTTTCTCCGCAGCCTAGCCAAGACAAGGGTACTCTAGAGACACCAGAATAATTGCGAGACAACCACCGAAAAGGGACAACAACGGAAGGTACTGGGGGTTTGAAGTTGGGAGAAGAGGGTCGAACATACCAGCTGCTGATGATTTTCTGATCGATTTTCGGTGGCAAGTTTCTGAGAAGAAACCCGATGTAAGCAATAAAATTGTCGGCTCGGATGGCGCGGCTGTGGGATGCGAAAGGATTTGAAGGAGGGATTTTTTTGAAAGTTTCTCTGGAGTGAAGGAGTAGACAAGGTGTTGGGGGGAGGTATGTGAGGAGGGGGTAGATGGAGAGGGACAGAGAGACAGGAGCCCGGAAGCAACTTGCAGTGTAGTAGGGTAGGCGGGGTTCTTCGTCTCAAAGTCAGGTGGTGGTGGTGAAAAGAGAGGAGTAAAGAGAGGGTTAGTCGGATGCTTAGTGCCTGATGGCTAACGTGCGAAGGGCTGGGACGAAGAAGGGAGAGCGGGCAGCGTGTTTGACCTTTCACAGATATTTTTGGTGCAAGAATTAGATCGATCCGGACTAGCTTAGGCGCTTTCGGACTAGGCCAGGCTGGCGGAATGGTGGACTCAATGCCAACGACCAGAGGCAGCTGCAGAAATTGAACTGGTTTCAGCGCAATTCAATAATAATTGGCATCACTAGAAATTCAATCTCCTGCTTTCGTGCCTACAAATAACTTACTAGTTACTAAAATTAACTAATTAATTTTCTCTCTGCTTCTCACGCCCTGAGTACTGAATTCAATATCAAGAATGAAAACGAAAAGTGTGTGCATTCATAACCAGCTTCGTCTATCCTCAGTTCCTCCCTCTTCCTCTCCCCTACAGAACAGCTCACCTCGCATCCAACCAACCGCTACGTATCCACGCCCCTCCATTCAGAGAAAGCGAAACCCCATGAAACCGCATAAAATCCGAACAGCGAAACGGAGAATGGGGGTTGGATGATATGAGAATCCTCCCTGCGTACACTATCAATCCCATCGGCCTCTTTCTTCGGGGAAAGAAGAGTGCTTGTGTGCTCCGGAGAAAAGCAAATGCTTGGAGCACTTTTCCCGTCAACTTCAATTTCAACACCGACCCGGTGATCCGAACTTTGGAAACATATGCTATATTTACCGTACGGTACAGGATATTGACTCTCATCAGACTATGGAAGCTCGGTAAAGCTACATAGCGCTTTTGCACATAGCTCATCACGAGACGCGTTTTTTTATGGATACGGGCTATCTAATGCTCGTATTTACAGGTTGTCACTGCAATCTCAGCTATTAGGAAAAGACCGGTGAGATTTCGACAACTCCAAGGGATATACTTGCTGGATCTGAGATTGGCCTATGTTCAGACAGCTATAGTGGGCTTCATCAAAAGCTCCTCGCCTCGGGCTTCGCATCGCACACACCCTGTACTACAGTAAAACCACACCCTGATATCCATGCCTGTTTTATTCTAGCCTGGGGACCCAGGAGATCAAAATAACTTCTTCAATGCGGGATGACCCGTACCCCCAGTTTATCGTTCTGGCATCATCGAGGATTTTCAGCCTCAATCATATCAAAAGAATCTCATGCCACTCTGAACTCTGTTCAGCCCCATTGAAAACAATAGTACTACTACTACTATTGCATGTACTACTACATGCAATACCTACTTCTACTACAACTACTACTACATACATACGAGCTCGATATGACTCTTTGGCGGCTCCTTTTTCTCACAACGAAATACCCCTCATATCCAGGCAATGTTTTCACCTCAGCCGACCACTCACAGCACGGTGAACGAGGCTAGAAAAAGTAAATAAAAAAAAAACAAGTCAGATATTATGTTGGTCTTTCTTGTCGCACGCCTTCCGCATGATTCGGTGACGCCTCTCTCTCTCTCTCGGTCTCCGGCTTCTGCGGGTGCGCACAGTATGTACATTGCAGGTACAACCATGGATTAACTCGTTACGTGACTTGCCGTCGACTGCCATCAGTTGTCTTCTTCTCACTTTTCGCATCAAAAAATAAATTTCTATCCCTATCCGCCAATACATAGCCGCCGCGTGCGTGACAGCAGATTATCAACCAACGTTGATTCGAGGCTTCTCCTAAGGTTATTCGGCTCATTAAATTACGAGGAAGAGAAATAAAATAATCCACGTAGTAAGCCAAACCAGCGAATGTTGCATAAATCTGCTAAGTAGAGTAGCGCCTATCTGACATAGAGTAGGTAGAGTAAGGGTATAGTAAGGGTAGTACCTACCCCGCCAGAAGTCCGATGGGATTTGTTGGTGCATCCCTGAGCATGGGCATAAGCCACAGTTAAGTGATGATGCGCCAAAACGGAGATGTCAAGTAAGGGGCGGTTCCTGCTCAGCCTCGGCTGCCCTATTTCAGCCATGTCCCGCGACGTGTTCTACGTATCTAAAGCCTGGGGGAGACTGAGATTCAAGGCTAATGACGTAAGAACAGCGATTTAATCGGAGAATTTCATGGCGTGGAAGAAGTTTTCTTTCTTCCGTGCTTTCCTTCCTTCTTTGCGTTGCGTGTTGAGTCTTGACTGCTTTCAGGGCAAGCCATCCCTCTTTTGTATGTACCCATGATTTAGAGTAGGCGTGGGTACTCTAAAGTAGGTATGTGAGTGAGGGTCTGCCCGGATCATCATTCTTCCAGTTCCTTGTTTTTTCTTTTCGGTTTTTCCCCCACGAACCAGCGGCATCTGGCAGCAGCTTGATTAGAGAGCACATGTAATGACAACTCAAGGAGCCCCAGCGACCCGTTAACCAAAGAAAAATCAAAAACACGCACGTGAAAGAATAATGTAAGCGTGCCTCAGGAATAGGTAGTTACACCTCCTCTGCGTACTGCTCGCCTACCAGCATAAGAACCAGAAAATGCGAGTGACAAACTTGAAGTCAAGGATTATTTGTATGGCAGAACGGCGCCACTCCATACAAATAATCCTTGACTTTGTCACTCGCATTTTCTGGTTCTTATGCTGGTAGGCGAGTACATCGCTGTTGTAAACTGTAGTGGGAAGTTCGAGCATCATTTCCGACTAAATCAAGTAACTTTAACTCTGACGTGCGATGAATGTGGCATCCAGTCCTTCGTTGAAGAAAAGGGGGAAAAAAAGAAAGGAAAGGAAAAGTAATACTCCCAGGTATCTAGAGTACATGAGCATGAGTACTCTACTCGCTTTACCAGGAAACCCCTTACATGCCATGGATGTCCACCAAGCATGTATCCAGCCTAAGTACGATCTGACCGGTCAAAGTATCATGACCCTTGGAAAAACAATGAAAGTACCACTGCGACAAATAAAGTAAAGTACTCTATCACCATGCCCCCACACACTGTCGTTTTGTTCCTTGGTTCTTGTGCGTTTTTTCTTTCTGCCCTGTCTTACTTGGCTGCAAGGTCCGTTCGATCTGCGACGAGACGATCTCGATGCCACGATGTTTCGTTTGGGCTGACGGACCGGACGGGGATCAACGACAGGACGCATATCATTTGTTATTCCTATTATCAATGTTGACTAGTACCCTGGTAAGTACGTGAATTTGTGAGGCGGTGGTACTTACTCTCTATCCCACTGTATCAACATAACTACATATACATGTGACTTTGAAGGATGTTGTCTCATGGCTCGCCCGAGAAAGCCGGACGCTGTGCTATGTGTTCTAGAAAATGCGGGGTTAAATCAGCGTTAGTGTGGAGGGGTTGGTTCTCTGCAGCCAGCACAGTGGTTCTAAATTAACTCTGCGTATTATTATATATTACTGCGGCTGCAGAATTCAGGACGACGGACATAAACAACACCCTCCACGGTATGATATGGTGCTCGATAAGAGCACTGTTAAAATAAGTGATCGCAAATCAAAAGGTAACTGGTCCAGGCCTAGGATGATCGCCGTTCAAAGATGATAAGTCAAGATGAAGCGCTCCACTAGTACTGTAAGGTTCTCAGTGATAGTAAAGGGTGTACGTACCTACGTCTTGCAATAAATTATAAAATAAATGGAAGCCGCAGCAGGTACAACCGGGTAAATCTTTCTGCAGTCCGAGTGATAATGCATGAGCCACCGATGACAAAGTTTATTCTCGGAAAGGTTGTTACTGATAAGGAGGCTAGCCAGGAGAATCCAAGCGAATTCAAGACCAAATACTCTCGGCCCGGTTATCAATGCAGGTAGATAACTCACCCGGAACAACTGATGTTGCACCACCGCAACTAGTCTTGGCGAACAGTTCAAACCTCCGGATTGTTTGCATCCTGGCACCTACTCTAAACAAATCGGATTCCCTGGAGCAGATCTTGAATCCCCCCGCCGCACCACCACCACCACTACTACCGCCCCCCACCCGTCCCAGAACTCATGAAGGGTCTCACAGGGACATGGATGGATCAATGGGATGGCTGAAGTTGCTCGGTCGGTCATTGCTCCCTACATAGCTACCTACAACTCCTCGTGATACTTTAAATGCCTGCATAATTACCTGAGAACTCCAGGTTGTCAGGTGTTGCCGATGGGGAGGAGTACTTACTTTACCTACTCTGGATCTATGTACCATGCTCCGCCACCGTCAAACATCAAGATCTGTCAATACGGGTATCCGCGCGTTTTCATAGCACC